GTTAAAGTCTTAAGTTTACTAGCTCTGTTGTCATTCCTCAACATACAAGTATTTAAATCTCCCATAAGAACGACATGATCATACTGAGTCACTAAATTTTCCAGTATATGTTCTAAGGTGCCAAAGTAATCAGTTTTGTTGGAAGGACAATACAAAACACCAAGTAGAATCTTTTTATGGTGAATCTTCAAAGAAAGAAACAAATATTCGAGAGAACCAATATATCCTGGCTGAGATGCACAAACCACATCCGCAGCAATGTGATCGCGAAGATAGATCCCTACTCCACCTCCGCCTGTAAGAATCCGATCGTTGCGAAAGAGTTTGTATCCCGGAATGGCACAACTGACAGATGGTAGAGAGGGCTTCAACCATGTTTCGGATACAAGTATACAATCAACTATGCCAGCGCTGAAGGATGTGAGAATATCAGGGTAATGAGCTATAATACTCTGAGCGTTAATATGCACTAGGGAAAGGAATTTGGAATGGTCAGTAAAAGCAATAAGCAATTTATTTTCAAGAGGGTCACCATCAGATAACGAAGAGTCATGACTAGAAGCAGTATTAAAATCATCAGAGGAAGAACAAGAAAAATAATCATCTTGTATATTCATAAATACTTGTTAAATGTATAAAAATAATAATATATTAATAAATAAATATTAGTAAATCTATATTATCGCACTAAATATATCCTATATAAAATATTAAAAAAAAACAATAATAAAAAAATGCTTAATTTCTGCTTAGGTTGACGCAACGAGTTAAGTACATACTTACTACAAAAATATCACACACAAAAAAAAATATATCAAAAAAAAAGAAACATAACAATCATCAAACATTTACAAAATTGAGAATATTGATAGGTAAGGATGAAACTAGGTCAATCGATCCAACGTGAAGAATAAACACACCAAGAAGCAATCACACTGGTTTCCAGAGAAACCGCGTAAAGGTCGACCTGTTAGAGTATATTGGGTCGCTTATCCCCATTGCTAACATCTTCCCCCCACTCTCCTATCATATAATAAAGGAAATATTTAATATTTTCGTAGACGTTTATTAATTTGCAGTGTACCTACCAGATGAAAATATACGCAAGTGGCCATAGCCCACGCGAAAGGAGTCGAGCGACCGCAACCTGGCCACATGCCAGATAACTGAATAGCAGAAATAACGCTACTATTAACATTCCAGGTCACTTCGTATGATTATCTTTTTTATTGTAAGAAAACGATTTGATCTCTTTACGTATGTAACATTTTACAACAGTCATTAGAAAAGTTTCTTGTCTATGACAGTATATCAAATTTCTCATACTTGCAAAGTCGTGACTTTTGTGTATATCTATTGGATTAAAAATTGATGCTAATTAGGTTAGTTGGATTCGGACGCACCACGTGTCAAGTTGATCACTCATGGTGGTCTGTCGACGATGTGTTATGTTTACTGGCTAGTATCTGGAATAGATAACACGCTTCGATACTTTTCAATATTATCTTAAATTTCTAATAATAATGCTATTGAATTAGCTGGGTAAGTATTGTCTTTTTCAATAGAATTTGATGAAGTAGTACAAATCTAAAACCGTTTAATTTATCTTATTGATTAATTCAGTGTGATAATTTTAGTAAAACTTACATATGTAGATACTAATAGATAATCGTGGCGCAGCAATATGTAAATGAGGTTCTGAAAGTACTCGTAATTTCCTCCGAGAGTAGGTATATTTAAAAAGCATTTTTTTCTAAATTGGCTCGGGTCTGAGTGTATTAGGTTTTGGTCTTTAGAGGCAATGGAACACTATGTGATCATTGAATTGAGTAGCATAATCTGAGGATCATTAACCAGCCAATTTGTGTCTTCATCTGGCACTTAGCTGTTAATTAATTAACATCTGACGTTATTCGGTCTAATTCGAAATTCAAAATTTAATATAATTAAATTTATAAATGTTAAACTTCAAAATTTTTGGTTAACCACGCCTAAGTGGCTTGACAGTGACAGATTTGAATAAAATTTAGTACCTACCTACACGAATTACACACACATTTTACCCTAATTCACGCAGGTAAAGCCGCAGGATGCGGCTACTCACTAAAAATATTTCGACTGACCATCTTAAACAATTTCGTGGAACAAGCCACCCACGTAGAATTCAAATGCCGCAGCTTGACTGTGGTCACCTCACCACGTATATGGTCATTGTATTGTAACGTCGTCTCATTAGATAGGCTTATCTAATCCAGCGTTTAATACTAGTGTCACGTCGTTAATACCGTTATTTTGATTCCTTGACGCACATTAAGAAATTTGTTTAACATAAACGAAATTACGTAATGTCGAAAAGGACTGGACACCTAGGAGGCACCTCTACCTACCTAAAAGAGAAATGAGCACATCCAATTATTCGTCTTCCTAAAGATTTTTTATTACCGACATAAAACTGTGTCTGTTGTAAGTCTGTTTTGGTATACGACCTCATCTTGGTTGCAGATAACTCCTCGACAATAAACCCAACACGAAGAGGCCGTAAAATTCTAATTCGAAGCACCCCGCCTGTGTTATTCTGTTTACGAAGTCCACATCATAGATAAATAAAACAATACTATATATTTATCATATTCTAGGGAATCTAATATTCAATATTTAGGGTAGGGGAAATGGCTGGCTTCATTGCTAGCAATATAACCTGTTGGATAGGCCTGCATGTGGTACCGCCTCGGAAAACGTTGCGGTTTTCTTGTCATGAATTCTTCGGATTTGTCCGCATTAATTTGCTAAACTACCCCTTTCATTCGCACTAGTTCAGCTGTTTCAACGCAATTAAGTATCAAACATATTTACAAGCAGTAACACAAAATACATTGGTTTCCATACCTAAGATAGTCTAACGTCTAATACTTAGTGCCTACCAAGTATTTTTATTTGTTGATGTTCTGTTATTTCAGTCTGCTTGCTATTTTTGTTTAATTTATTTTTACCTACCTAGTAATGTGTTTTACTTTCCTAATTTAATGTAAATGTCAATATAGCGAGTTACCATTTTTTCAACCATACCAAAGTATTAATAATTTTGAGTTTCTTTATTAGTTGTCTAAGTAGGTATGGCATAATGTAGTTACTATGATGCGTACAAAATTATTTTAGTGAGACATAATTGTTTGAGGAGTAGATATTTTTTAATAAATTTAGTATCTACCTTCCTACACATATAGCATTTTTTACCATAATATACCACAAGTATATCTACCATTACAATCTTTTTGTAATCGCCGCCACAGGGTCGTCGACCGCACGGAGGCTGCCTGCGTAGCGGATGAGCGTGCACCTTTCTCTCTATTACTTTACTGCCCTGTGGCAGTGGGTAGATAGATATTTTCTCTACGCTCTAAGTTCCTACTTTCTTCAGCAATACTAATTACTAAATAGATTGTTTTAGGAAGAAAACATCAATAGTAAATACAAAATTTAATTTAGATTACAGTAGTTAATTATACAATAAAAAACTGAAGATTCGCAATCCCATACAAAAAACTTAAGTAACACTGTCCTAAATAAAAATATATAATTAAGTATACCGGTATCACAATAATAGCTATAAGATTATAAGGGAGGAAATAACTGTTAGTAATGAGAAGTGACAATTCCATTGCTAGCAATATATCCTCAATTTGCTCAACCTCCACGCGGTTTCCCTGGAAACCTTTATTACGAATTCGTCGTGTTTATTCTTTTGACCTGATATCATCCTGACTCTAGGGTTACCTGAATTTTTTTGCTAACACCGTTTTTGGAGTTAGTTCCCATTGATTATATTATTATCAATGGGAACTAACTCCAGAAACGGGTTTAGCAAAAAAATCAGGTGACTCTAAAGTTAGGATGATATACCCTATCAAGTCGAGCTCCACGTGGTCTCCCCCCCCCTCCCCCACCAACCATCCTAATTAATTCCTGGTGAATTCGTCACGATAAGCTTTCATCCTTATTGCTCACATATCATCCCACAGTGGTGCCGTGTCAAAATATATATATATATATATGTATATCATTACAACAAGCAAGATAATCGTTCATCTCATCAATTACACCGTTCCACTATCATCCATAAAAAAAAAATAAGTTCTAATAATATTTCGTTACTTTTGACTATAAGTGTGATATTTGTATTCATTTGTTATACATATAAGTTTATTACTTCATTTGCAACTCTGTCAGTTATAAACCGATTTGAAAAACTTTTTTCTATACTTGCAAACTGGTCCCATAGAAATTTTATCAAAATCGGTCCAGTAGTTTAGTTTTAAAATCAAAATAACAGGTTTTACTTCAATTAAAGTCGTTTTTTTGTGAAACATCTTAAATTATTGTATGCCGAGACCTACCTGGTTTATTTATATTAAATTCATTCATCATTTGTTTGTCACCATACACGAACAACGCATGTCATAGTCTTACACTGGTCTGGTTATACACGTTCACGGTACGGCCTCATCGACACACTGTCACCACGTGTCACGCAACCCTTACGCATGAGCATGGCAAGTGTTTTCAGCGATTTCATATTCAGGCAAATACGACATTGCAACCTTTAAGAAAAAAGCATATTTCTTAAAAGGCTGCAATTTCTCTGGTGTTTTGAGTGCCTATGGGTGGCAGTAATCATTTTCCATCAGGTGAGCCGTATGCTAGTTTGCTCCGTGTTCAATAAAAAGCAACGGGCACACTTAGACTGCTGCATGCTTTCTCTATAATTGTTAATAATGTATAGTAGATACTGCCTCCCGTTAGTTGGTATACAAAATTTATGATGACTCTTACTTGTAACATTTCGAAAAAAAATTGAGAACTGTCTAAAGTCCACCCGAAACCGAACCCAAACAACAGATCGCCCCGACTCGACCTGCCAACCGACCGACCGCCGCCACGCCGCGCCGCGTTTCAATCCCGCGCCCTCCCCCTTCCTCTCGACTCGATCCATCAGTCAGTCACTCGATAACACGCGTGTGGGGTGTTTGCCTGTTTCTGCTCTCCACTTGATATTCACGCGGACAACTGGGTCACAGAATTTGTGTTGATTTAGTTTACGGCTGCACGTGTGTGATGTTGTGAATGTTTATAGTGACAGTGATTTTATTAAAATTGTAGTGAATAACAAACTAGCGGCCCTTTTGAAGTACGGGATGCGTGCGTGAGCGCAGCGCATGACGTGCTACGAAACATTGAGAACTTCGGCACCCGCCGCGGACGCCCCCATGGCGCACCACTTTGTCAAGTGGTGGCGCAACAAGTTTAGAAATGGTTACAAGAAATTTAGCAGTAAGTACTTCGATACCTACCTTAAATTCTAACATACAATGAACGCTGCTTCGTAAGAAGAAATCTGGTGCTCGATCAAAACAAGATATCGTGTAGATACTGAAAGTAATCACTTTACAAAAAAAACTTTGATATCTGCCTAATTAGAATCTTCAGTTTCTTTTAATTAAGTATCTATGTATTTATTTAATTTGATCTAGATATCTTGGTTACAATTACCATTATAAACTAAATTTATACCTAACAAAAACGTAAAACTATTTACGTTAAATTTAGTGCTTAATAGCCAGAAACGTTTCGGTAAACGACTAAGCTATCACATTAAAATTTTAATTTTATTGGCTCTAAAGGTATACTGAGATAAGTTTAGAGAATCCACTTTAATAATCAAATCCAGTATATAGATAGGTACCAACAAATACCAACATGAATTCTCCTTTTATTTTTCCCAAACATCTACTACCTAGGGACCAACTTTAGCATGCGATTAGAGAAAGAGGTAGATGTAGTTATGTAATAAGAAAATCTAAGATCTATAAGTCACCTAAATTAAGATTACCTACCTTAGATTTAATATTTATTTTTATATCTATACCTACTGAGTTTAATTAACTTTATAATAATACTAAAGTAGGTATTTAACTACCTACCTATCTGCTTATTTTATTCAGTCCCACATCAAGATCAAAGGGGCCGTTCGCCGGCATGCCTATAAAACGAAAAAATAACGATAAAAAATCACAGCGGGAGGTTAATCTGAAACTAACAACCAGTCGAAAATTACTCACGTTCTCAATGAAACGCCGACAACGGTCTTATACCACTATATGTACCATAACAATGCTTATATTTAATTTGAATACGCATATCTATCATAACGCTGTGGTATAAGCGGCAGGGTAGGCAGACAGAATCGAGTGCCAAAGCTTCTATCATTACTACACACCTAGCCACGACTTGTCTCATATATCTATAGTTAGGGTGAATGTGTTGGTTTACAAGCAGTTAATGCACTTGTGATCTTTAATAATTCAATTTCAATGAAAACAATTGTTATTATTTAAAAATATCGCTGTATTGTGAAGAATAGTTTAAATTATTTATTTCTTACTTCGTCCGTGTGATCGGAATATGTTAAAACTGAGTTAAAAGTAGCATATATCTTATATTAGTACATGTATACAAAATTTCATAGTGATTGGTTACGACGCTTATAGATATCAAACAATAAAACTTACTTTTACATTTATAAGTAAAAATGAGTGTTATATCGTTATATTAAGAATAATTATAAAAAATCTTGAAAAAGCATTTAACAATTTTAAGACATGGGTATATTAGGTACAAAATAGAAAAAAAAATGAAAATTGCGTTTACAATACTCAAAATTATAAATATGACCAAATTGTGTTACTTGTATTATTGGCTTGAACTATTGAATGCATTACTTTTGTAAGATTTTTTTTTCTAAATATTTTATTTAGTGATGATCGACTACTGATCAGAGGGCCTACCATGAAATGTTTTCCGAAATTTCAGAGCCAAACGAAACACAAATTTGATGTCAAAATTACATAATACATGCTGTTTGGAAATATTTAAAATGTTAAAATATTATTCCTTTGGACTTTTATGATAGGATGTATGACGAACGAAATGTTAAACTCCATTTATTGGTCCGATTTTGGTTGGGTCCGAAATTTCGGAATTTCATTTCATGGTAGACCCGCTGTTCTCAAACGCCGTGCTATCGTTATAAAACATGCTTTGATATATGATTGTGAGCAAGAAAATGCCGGTCGTATTCTGACGCTTGTATTTTCTGTCCATTGATTAAAGAGTAGGACAAAAGTATTTCTGACTATATCATCCACAAAGATGAAAAAGTGTAAGTGCTAAAAAATATAAGTAAAAATGTTACTTCACGCCCACTGGTCGTAAGCTGACAAAAATCTTGTTCTTGTTTTTAATTGTGCGACTATCATTTTAATAATACTATTGAATTATTGCTTAAACATTAATTGGTCATTAAATTATACACATAACTGTAATACATATTAATCTTGCTATTAAATTTAGTTAAATTTTAAAATATATTAAATACAATCTCTGTCTCTACTTAGAAACACTATTATTAGACGTTTAAGTGAAAACGACCTGACAGGGTACATTGCTAGCAATGGGACTGATCTGCATTACCTGCCTTACTCAATATTCCATCGAACTCAACACGTGTTTATTTTCAATTTCGTGGTTAAGTAAGTTTTCAATAGTCTGGATTCGATTTGTTTCAAGTGTATAAATAAAAAAAAATTTACAATTTTAAAGGATTCTTCTTAAACTCAGTATAAATTTGGCTTCGTCAACAACAAGAAGTTTTCAAATATTTTAATTTAGAACGGGGTATCATATGTCTCTCTAGTCATTATCGAGCAGAATTTTGTTCCGTAATTAAATAAAACCAAATTCTTTATTTGGGATTAACTTGGGAATAAACTTTATGGATTGCAAAATAATTAATAAAGCCAGTTCAGAATACCAACGTAATCAGGTAACATTATAAAAAATACAAACGTATTGAGAACCACCTCGTGGAAGACTATTTTTCTTCAGTTTTTCTTCCTTGTTGCCAAAAATCTCCTAAAACATAAAATTGTTTTTTCGAGGCGCGATTACCCAATTTAACTCCACTCTACTAGGTATTTGAAACCTGCTTTAAAAGTTCAAAGTAGATAAAAATCGCTTTGATCTCTTTCTATTTAGCTGGTTACGAAATATACAAAAACTGAAGACTTCAATTAGTAGACGATATCTACATGTTTCTTTTTAATATTCCCGCACACACATCACGTCAAACTTGTAAAGCGGAGTTTGTTAATAAACTTTCAATGTAAAACGAGTCTCGGCTCTCATTTAATTAACTTCAAAGAGAAAAGTTGAAAGCACGTCGCCCAAGCGGAGACAATGATACCTTTTATTCAACATCAAAGAAGTTTCCGCCCCCAAGTATAAAGCTCTTCTTTTATCGTAAATTTTTGACATATTACGCGGTCTTCTAGATATAATATAGTGTATTATTTAGTAGGTGTTTGTTATTCAATCATTGAAGATTTGAATAAAATTTGTTACACAACTGTATTACTTTTTATATTAATTATACGAAAAAGATTCATGAGGCACAGCCATCATTTTTGCAAGAAAAAGTTTATCATATTAGCAGAAAAATAAAAAAATACTCAGGACTAATTTCTAATGGTATAGTTAGAGGTATTTGTTTTTGACATTTCGCTGTATTAGAATCCATTGTAGAAAGGAACGAGCGTACCATCAGTATTTCAATTTATTTGGGTTATCTGTGTTTTCTATCATCGAAAAGTTAATCAGTAATATGAATTATTTGAAATTTTATATTGTACATCATATATCATATCATAGAACAAGCATGTAGGTTAACTAACATGATAAAATAATAGAACGCTTAGAATAAAAATAATCTGTGATGATCAGCAGGTACATATACCAGTACCTATACAATTATATTCTTGAGTTCATTTTTTACTATATGTATATTAGATAATGAATGGTTTTAAAATGCCACGGGCGGTACTTATGCTAATGTGTCAATTTATTGCCGAATTGGCGATACAGACCAATTTTTTGCCCATGTAGTCAGTGATAATAATAAAATAAATTTGGTATAGATAGGAACATGACCAATTAATAAATTAACTAGAAAACTCACTGATATTGATATTCGAATTTGTCGAATATCACTAAATCATCGAAGTGTGTCATTTAATTTCGGTAGATTTTTTTGTTTTGTATTTTCTTAAAATTTTTAAACGGTTAGAAAAGCGAAAGTTTTCAATTTGCCTTTTTTTGTTGTCTGTACTTTTTTTGTACATAACATACACAAAAAAAATACACGGGATGTCTTCGTCATTTGATAGTTTATTTTTATTTCCCTATTAGTTCCAAAAACCATATACGACTAAGTATTGTCACAAAACCGCTGTTTTTGCTAGAACCAATTCTCAAATTAAGTTTCTGTAAATAGTCTATGAAAATATCCTATAGACTTCTAAGTACTAAATTAAACCTAAAAAATTTATAACTAAAGTTGATGAATATTAAGTCCGTGATGCTCACATAATGCAAAAACAGGGCCATCCTATATTATCCGATACTTAATATATAGTTATTCCTGTTAATGGCATAGCTTTTTTATCATCACTATTATTCGAAATCACAGTTGGTACGTACTTCGTTTCTCTAGCCGCCTCTTAATAATTTCCTTAAGACGAAAACAAGTGATAACATTTAGTGTATTCAATTTTATCTTACTTAAGTAACATTAGAAAATGTTAAAGACCTTTACTTTAAAAATATCTTATTGTATTTAAATAGGTAATTTAATAAAATAATCAGGTATTATAAATAATACGGGTTTAGTTTTTACTAAGTCCGCGTCAGTTCCAACAAAAAAAAGTTTAATGAAATCCATGTAATCACTTCATGGAATTTTGAAATTGTACTGTTTCTATTACTATTCGTTTGGAGATCACCCTTTGATATCAATAGATTCTAGGTTGCGATCCTTATATGAGAACACATATCGGACGCGGCTTGCCGAATGATGACTTTACGTGTCGTCGGAAATACAAAGCATAAGTGGACTATGTTAATTGCGCATTAACAGCCGAACTGATGAATGAAATTTTGTACACAGAATTGTCGCAATATTTAGAAGATAAAAAATCTGTGCATTCATGGTATCCGCGTAACAGGGATATGTTGATTGACCGGGATAAAAAATAGTCTACATAAAAACTAGTTATGAAATAAATATGTAATTACAAAAATATTGTTGAACATTATGTTTAATTAGCTTAGCTACCAGTAGAGAGTTATTTGGCCTTTTGTCAACTGGCTTTAATGTAGTGTAGGACTAGGAGCCTTTTAAAAACTATATCCTTAAATATTTTTATTTTATTAAGTACCTAAGAAATTACTTATATGATAAAATGTTGGTACTTTTTCAAAATTGGTCATTCAAATTTTAAATACCAAAAAATTTATTAAACGACACAATTATTGTCTAAGCTGTAAATTATATGAAATAATCAAAGATTTACAACAACAACCCTAGTTTAAATAACAATAATAAATAAATATTTATCATAAGGCATATGTTAGATAGTAGACGCTGACATATTATGGTATATGTTTGCAAAATTTAGTTAATTATACTCTATCTATTGCAGTATTGTTTAACCTCAGTAGCACTTTTAGTTTTTTTTTTTTTAATATTATTACATTCAGTTTGCCAAATATAGAAAAACAAATTACCCAAGATTAATCACACAAGATTCACGATCAATCGCGGACAAATCTACGATCAATGCGAACAAGTTGATAATAATACATATATATATTTTGTTATTTTATACATAACTACATCTGCGTAATACGGTTACCTATTAGAAACAAATATCCCACCAAAAAAATAAAATTGAAAGAAAACCAAACCTCACAATGTAGATCTTTTATTAAAATAAAAATTGCGAGATTCGTGTAAAAACCAAGTCATTTATTTTAGTTAGTGCCTACAGAAGCACCTATTAATTTTTTTTAAAAAATTGTTATCTAATTAATTACTTACTATTAATTAAACTAATTAATTAATTACAACATTTATAGTGACCGTATCAGTCTTAGACATCTTATTTCTATAATAATTATAATAGAATAATCTAATACAAAATCTACTATTTTGGTTACTAAGTAACTGTAAACAGTAAACTTAATAATATAAATATTTTATTAGTTGATTATATTGGATACAATAAAATTACATACCAAAAAAATCAAACTTCTTGCTTTATCCACAATGAAGTTACTGGTGGGTTTAAAATTGCCGTGAGTCCCTTCGAGTAAAGAATGGTATGGCAGTGCTCGCCTTGGCGGGGGCACTGCCATGCCTCCTGATAAAAGCTCGGTCGAACAAAGCTGTCCAAGTGACGCGCCGCGTTTGTTCGCTGCATTCCATACTTTGATTTAGTTTATCAAGAGTATCGTATTCCATTACATACCCTGACCGGTAATCTTTATTGCCCGAGGTTTTTACGATTAAGTCACTAAGTACTTAGGTGCCTATCAAATTTCAACTAATGTACTCGTATACAATTGAATTCCAGTATAACTTTCACAATCTAGAGCGATATTTTTTTAGAATTATCATATAAAAAGACACCTATACCTTCATTGTAATGTAAATTAGTTAGTTAAGTTGTTTGTAGAACTCTGTAGAATTTCTTTATTGAATAAAAAATATTTGTACTGGGTGCCTTACCTAGGGCTACCTAACCAACTGTAAAGCATAATTGTATAATTCTAGATCAATTCAGCCGATTTATACCTTGTTATACACTTTTACTCCTAAAGTAGGTTATGTTAGGTCAACTTCCATGCAAATCTCTATAAAAGTAGCTGGTCGGTACGTAGGTAATAAATTAATAACAGAATAGACGATAATTATTTTAAATATAATTATACCTTAATTACTTAATATATATCTACTTGTATAAATTAAAGCAATGTGTTTCTTCAATAATAATATTTAAGCATCGGCGTATTCCTTGTGATTGGACAGAAGTAAAAATGCTTAATATACCAATATTAATTTATTAATAGAAAATAATACAGATCTAATTATTATCTAGCATAAAATCAAATTATAAGAGCGCAATATTTGCCATCTAGCGTGTCTGGGAGGTAATCCGGTAAATAAATAGGTTGCTTCACTTGACTAGCGAAACTAAAGATGACGGATAATAGAATCGGCGCCTTTTGAGAAAAATAACATTAGACGCAGATGTGGGATGGCGGTACCCGAGGCCTGTAGGCATCGGCTCGAAGGCCTTCCAGGAAATGTGTAGTGGGGCTATAAACTCCGCGATGCGACCGGCCCTCCGAATAGAAACTTTTGACTTTATCGGTAACTTGTTATACTGTTCGACGTATTTACTATTGTACGTATCTCTATTGTATTAGACAAAATATTCTTTTCGCTATGATTACAATGATCTAGTACAAAGAATAATTATTACCTACTATTCGATAGTATACAAGCACCTTACCTTAGTTACCTGGTCTTTTTGTTGAACGCTTGTTAATATTTTAAATACTTTATTCACAAGCATAGATATAATACTTACATTATAGATTATCCCCCTTATTTATAAACACGGCAAATTCCTCATAAACCTATTTTAACTATTTAATTGTTTTGTCTTTTTCTTCTGTGCTAAATTTTCAATAAATAAATTCTCAATATATGTAGAATTGTAACTTTGTAAATATTGGGATGACAGTAAAATCAACGTAGCGTTTTGTGGCTCTTAGCAGTGGTTTCTTAGCATAAAGAAAACTGACAAAATTTGTGAATGAGACACTGTAGTAAAATTATATTATTTTAGAGACTATCACTATAGTAAAATAATACAAAAAATGGTTTCCTGGTCCATTCTATTAATTTACTGGCTATAAGGCGGTTTCTTAATTAGAAAACTCAGAAAATTTAAATGTTGATAAATTATTTGAAATTCAACGAATTTAACGAAACTTTCAAATGGCTAGTAACAAATAATCCTGCAGCGGCCTAGGTCTTTATTAATGGAACTTAGAAAACGCATTTGTTTGATTTGAATATTTGTTGATTAAATAAGTATGAGGGATTCATACAAAATATATTTTTAGGATTATAAACAGTAATTAAATAAATGCGCGATGCAGTAGTGGCAGATCTCTTTGCAGCACGTAATCCCAAGTCTGAGAGCATCACACTATGGTTTCTGAACCAATTCAAACTTTTTCTATTTAAAATTAGATATCTTTTGACCAGATTATGTTCTAGTAATTTCAGTATTCAATTTGTCTCAAATATGCTTTCATTTGAAGCACATTCCCCGATTCCTGATCTCAGGTTGAAAGGTTTATTGAATTCTCTAAGATATTTGAAAGTCTTCCGCATCTCAGTTCAACGATCGTATTGAATATTAGATAGGTTACTGTATCACCGTATAAAATAGATAAGGTACTATTAGGTAATATATGCTATTGTTGAAAGACTTTATTTTTAAGGTGAAATTTTTAAGATAAGTCCATAAGTAATATCTACAGATACAGTACTACTACTCATCTAATAGCTTAATTAAGAGCACTGACAGTTCAGTTGAATTACGCTCGGCTGAGATCCGGGAACCCAAAGTTTAATCCTAGTTTATACTTCTGAAGTAAAATTTTTATTAAGATGCTTTAATAGTAATTCTCACTTAAGTATGAAAAAGCCGTCGTTTGACTCTACACTAGAGGGCGGCACCTGTGATGGTGTGGACTTGTATTTGTTCATACAAGTAGGTATGAGTATTTTTTTAATGGTTGATAATGAAATCGTTAACTCGCCTGTGCTGCCGGTATATGTTGGCGGACTACAAGTAGGACCAGGTGAGAATAAAAGCAGGTCGGTTGACCCATCATACAGAATTCATCAACAATTAACCATGATGATTTTTAGGGTGGGTCTAGTGAAGGTCGACCTTAGAATTAACTGCTCCTTTGCCAGCAATATATCCTATATTGCTGGCAAAGGAGCAGTTAATTCTTCTTACTAACAATCCATCCCCCTCCCCACAGTTGTAGAAGTTAGCTAAGTATATTACTTAACCCGATAAAATAACAATTTTCTTTTCTTCTTTTCAGTTGGCACAGAAAGTGAGAGGACAGATACAGAAGAATTAGTTGGTCGTGCAGCATCACAGTGTTCAGCACCACCCGACCTACTGCCCAGCGAAGCACGGGCTTATTTACAGCCCACGACTCCACCGCCACAACCATCACGGCCGGTGTATGAACCTACATATAAAGCACCGTCTTCACCAATACCGGAGCGTCAAAATGATGACAAACAGCCTAGATTGAGATTTGAGGTAATTTTTTTTTTATAATACGAGTATTATAAAACGTTATGTAGAGATAGTGATACTGTAACGTCCTATAGTGAAATAAAAATGAAAGAGGATTTCTCATTCGAAAAATTGTTCAGAATTCGCGATGTATTTGATTTGTTGTTCTTTTAATCTAAATCCATCTTTTGCTACCGATTTTTATTAAATTTTAGTTTTTTTTTTCTTTTAATCAAATTTCACGTTTAGATTACTTCAAAGTATATGGAAGATTTTTCATATTTTTCAGCATCTAGTGAATATTTACACCTTCTTCCTTTTGTCGTCTTTTATAAATAAAAGGAGATGGTGAACTAATAATAATAATTATTATTAAGTTATATGTATATGTCGGCACTTGGTGGAACTTTACCACAAAAAGACATACTCGTAAATAATACTTCGATTGATTACACGGGATAAAACTAGTATAAAAATAAAGCTTTATATAAATAAATGCCCTAAACGGCGAAATCGATTAGAGATTGCTTAGCGATAAGGCCGCCACTTCTCATTAATATTTACTATATTTGTTATTTCTCTTTTTACTTGGTGCAATAAAGTGTAAAATAAATAAAATAAATAAATATTATAAAACCTTTTTATGGAAGAATACAAGAGTTTTCTAATAATATGAATTAAATATGGCAACTCGTAGTACGTTTCACTAAGTCTATGTGTGGCAATAATTTCTATGCTTAGTCAAGATAGGGATTGTATTTTGTCTTAGATTTATCTTAAATAATTATTTATTTTCATTCTAACAAACATTATGTGTCAAAGTGAATTTTTAAGTCTTTTTTTGTTACCTTTTTGGACACGTTGTCTGGTCCAGTCTTTGTATTTATACCCTAGTTACAGAATTTTGTGTTTCCTCGAAGGCTACAAAAATGCCCCGTGTGCTGTACAATATAATTTATATTTTTTTTTTATTAAATGTACGTCTAATCAGGCTCTTTTCTCTAACGGTAGTTTGTAACTATCCACGTTATCACAATTTATTCGAAATTGTATATTGATGATAATTTTACAGGAAAACTAAATATTTTGTTAACATTTACTACTCTGTTCGTATTAATAGCACAATACTCTGGGGAATGGTTTGATCGTCTTCTGCCCTTTCAACTGTTATGTTTCTGATTAGTTTTGAACAGTTCAATTATACATATGGTAAACATTAAAAATTATGCACTTGACCAGCTAAAATATATTTTGTAATAAATAAAAAGTACTAAATAAAAGAGGTCTTTGTTGGTTTTAACCACACAGTAATTTTTTCTTTGTTACGTCCATTCAGTTTAAAATTAACGTTTCAACAATTTTATTTATTTATTAAAAGTTAACTTGCCGTTAGAATAGAACGAACGATCGAAAGTGGCGATAGTTTAAAAATCGTGAATCGTGACGTAAGATTTAATCTGTTATTCATTTTAAGAAAGAAAGTTCTTTCTTAGCTTACTGTCTGTATCTTTACCCTGTAGACTTGTATGGAGGTTTATTAGTAACAGATACCACATCCTTTCGGAACCTTGTAAAACCGAACTACTTTTCCCAACGATCATAATATTGAAAATATGAGATTAATATTTGAACCCATTACAAGTTTTTTTATGCAACTTTAAATGCCAAGCAAGTATATGGTCCATATGATGATAACCGTCACTTATACATACAAAGTCCTGTCTAGTTATTTACAGTTTTATTTATTTTTGTACAGTTAACGAGGATGCATTTTACATCTTGTTTTACAATACAAAAGATGTGTGTATTTTGTGATAATAAATGTATAAGGGACTTAAACCTTGGAAAGGGAGGAGAGTAAGTGTTCAGGCTACACATAGGGGTGCCATGAATCACGCAATAGTATTATCAAATTGAATATTGGTGGTTTTGACTGAATAGCGAGACTGTGTCCTCTGGAAATAACAATTAAATTTCGCTAGACGGGAATCCAGCAATCCATGTCGACCTCGATATCCTTAGTGGTCTTTTTAGAGAGTTGTTAAAAATTTGCTAATTTTACCTAGGAACCAAATAGGTTAAAGCTAGCATTGGCAGCAACGACTAGCAGCCCCATTGACAACAATATGAAGATATTCTTAGATTCGTGATTAATTCCCGATGAATTCGTTACGATGGGCTAATAAACTTGACTTCATTCTCACCTATCATCACTCACTGGTGCCCAGCCAGCGCTTACTGATAACGCAGGCGGGGTTATCATTCCATCTTCACCTATTAAAAAAAAAACTAAGTATTTGGTTCTATCATGTTTAAAATGAATTCAGAATTAAGATGTTTTCTAAATTTTATAAAAGTTTGTCCGTGTTAGTTATGAAACATTAGCGATTAATTGTCGACATGTAGTAGATAATAAATAGTATGTATTAGACAAACGAATATGATAGTATTATAATTCATTGAACAAATCATGAATAAATGAGATGAATCATCTATTTGTGTCATGTCGTCATATCGCGATATCGAAGCAAGCGGCGCTCTTTTACTTCACGTATCATTGATCGTAAAGACGCGGCTAGTTTCCTTTTATGCACGAGATAAGGACGCCGCTTGTCGTGTCCGCTATGCGCGCGCGCCTCTCGCCAAGCCGGTCGGCGCCGCCAGTTATCTTTAAAAACATTCATACGTTCACTTGCACACTTAGTTTTGTGTAAATTATTTATAACATTTGTTATTTCTCATAATTTTACTCAATAATTATTGGAATGTGATTTTCATATTTCAATAAAATTACCAATCTCTTCGATATTCAGATGTAATAAAATTATATTAAATTACAATAATTAACGTACTCTATTGTATTGTTTTTAGGAGCTGACTTGTGATGTTGAGTTGAAGCACCCAGAATCGTCGAAACAAAAACCTCTACAGTTTTCGTTTACTCTATATGATCTTGATGGGCATGGACGCATGACAAAGGATGTAAGTATCATCTGTACCTAATACTAATTAGTCTTAAATATTATGGTACTATTTTTTGCACCACTTTTTCTTCGGCTCAAGCCGCTAGTTGAGCGTCGTTAAGTAAACACCAAGAAATCATTAAAAATGAACTCTGTTAAGCTTATAATGTTAGTAATAGTACGAGGTTTGTCCGGAAAGTACGTATAAAAGTTTTTTAAAAATTTTATTTTACAATTATTCAGGTAAATCAATTTTATCCCCTTCAAAGTACTCCCCCTGTGACATAATGCACTTGTGCCAACGCCGTTTCCACTGTGAGAAGGCTCCTTGAAAGTCCTCTGGTTGTAGGTTTCTCAGCTGCCCCGTCGTAGCTTTTTTTATCTCATTTATGTCCCCCAAATGCCGCCCCCGAAGTACCAATTTGGTTTTTGGGAACAAGAAGAAGTCACACGGGGCCAAATCCGGCGAATAGGGGGGGTGTTCGGTCACCGTAATGGAATTTTTACTCAAAAACTCACGGAACGATCTTGGCGCAAATTTTTTTCATTTGAAGTTCGTTTCTTAGAATTTCGTGGACCACGGTTTTGCCCAAATTAAGCTCTTCAGCCACCTGTCTGACCGTTAAACGACGGTCCCCATTAACACAAGTTCGAATTCTTTCCACGTTTTCGTCGGAATGTGAAGTGGAAGGACGTCCTGAACGTGGGTCATCTTGAACGCTTTCTCGGCCCTCTCTGAATCTTTTTAGCCACTTGTGGACGGTTGGTTCCTTCACAGCATCATCCCCATAAACTGTTCTGAGATCGGCAAAAATTTCACGGCCATTCTTGCCGAGTTTCGAGAGAAACTTGATTACGACGCGCTGCTCTTCAACGGAAGCGGGCTCCATGCCGACGGGGTTTCGTTAAGAGGTAACTTCACAGATGGCGTGACAAGCCAGTTCGCACCGCACGGCGGTCAGACCAGAACTGAAGCATTGTTAGGGACATAAGGAAGGGGTCCTGCGCTTACCTGGCCTCCCCACTCCTCTTTCTCGCATTCCAGAACACTTTTATACGAACTTTCCGGACAGACCTCGTAAATGAATAGACTACTATGTGTAAATTCTGCCTATACCATAAAATACCATAAACATGTTACAAAAATTTATTATTTATTATCAAGACGTAACGCAAAGCGATTTCAGTCAAATATATAATATTTTATTATCGTGGTCATGATAGGGCTGAAGTAAGTGTTGCCCTTTTTAGCAGCTCCCGCCTTTTGATTTATAATACACCTATGAATGTCGCGTGTAGTTCGTGCCCTCCGCCACCCTCAAGTTACCAAATGTTTATATCCACCCTCCCTACACACTGCACTTACGTAATCATAGTGTGTTTAAACAAATTATTTATCTGACATAAATGTTATGTCTGTATTCCACGTTGTTTGAAAACCATTATATTTTAACATTTTTGAATAGTACTCATACGTGTAGTGATTGAAATAATGCATCTTGATTTCATAATTTCCAATATTATTTGGGTATACACTGTCAGTAGTTGGTATTCATGGTTCATGCAGCCCAATCTAACTTAACTAGATCATTATTAATCATTAATAAATATTTATTTTGCTTTGTAATTACAGGATATTGCTGGTATAGTATCGACGATATACGAATCAATAGGAAAATCTGTAACAGTTCCACACTACGGGTCCAAAACAATACAAGTCCGGTTAACAGTCGTGCCGGAAGGTGAGAGCACACGGATTCATCGAGAACGGAGAGAGGGGAGACGAAGGCGGCGAAAGGACGCTGTCCCTCCTGTGCCACCTGACTGCGCTGAACCCAGTGACGAAGAGCAACGGGACAGATTATCACATGACGACGATGTGTCGTCGAAATCTTCGTGTTCAGGAGATCGGAGACCTCCGCCTAAACCTTTTAACCCTCGACCACATCGCCATCATCGTAGAGAGCCGCGAGAGCGAAAACACGCGAAAAAGCGCTCTGGAAGCTTGCAGAGACGAGAATTACTCGAAATCATTCAGGCTAACATGGAAAAAAACCATCTGAGCTTTCAAGCCTCAAGGTTGGTTGGTGAATTTTTTTTGGTTTGAAATTGCTTAAAAATTCTATATGCTGCTATCTATTTTAAATTAACTGTATTGTAACTATTTAATAACTCGTGCGAGATAAAAACATCACGTCTCGGTAAAAATGTTATTGTAGTTCAATACTTGTTATTTTATTTAAAATGTCAATACTCTGTAAGAACAATTCAGTGCTAGCAATAAATAACTTTTATTTTTTACTTTCAGAAAGCCCTGTGACTCTGTTGCCAATGAGGAAGAAATTACGTCTAAATATCAAAAATTACGAAACAGATCTTATACAGTAAGCGAAAGGCCAGATAAACCTGTGAATGCATTCCAAAAAGTTAAATCGGAAAATAGTGGTAATGGCTATTTGGATTTAGCGAGTGGCGGCGACTCCAATCTATGTCGATACGATCGATATCTTCACGCAGTTATATGCTCTTCAGCACGGCATGCGCATACTGGTTATCACCAAAAACAAGGGCAGACACCGCGAAGTAACCGCGCAGCGCCAATGCCACATCCGCGATCACGTTCCCACGATTTGCCTGCACAAGCTCAGACACCTCACCAGCCTAGAGTGCTTCAAATTATATTTTTATAGAACTCACAGTAGAGCATGGCTTATGACGGCTATGTTCTTATTTAAATTTTGACTGATTGTGTATTTGTTATAGTGAATTATTGTGAGTTACCAAGTGCTGTACGGAAAGAAATTAATGTTTGTGACTAAATTCTCAATTGATTTAGCATAACGTAATTAATGTTATATATAAATTAATAGTCATTCATCAGTATTTATTTGAGGCAATCGTGGCTATAACATCTTTTGTTAACAAAATTCTTTCAAAATATCTTAAGTAAGGTAAACAGTAATCACTGTACATGCAGTGTTGCCTGTCTGAAAATATTTTAACGTGTTGAAGGTGGATTGGGTAAAGGAAGTTTAAATTTTTCAACATAAAATTTAAGATGTTTTAGTATTGGTAAATTTTGTTAATAAACAAGATATTGTATGAAATATAGTTATTTTAAATAAATTATACATGCAATGTACTTAAATATTTTGAAGGTATGTATAATGTGCCTTATTTTGGTAACTGTAGTTTATACTGAAATGTTAAGATAACTGCAACTGAGATCAGTTTAAACCCAAACACTTACATAAAAATAATGTTACTTTGTTTTCGAAATTCCTATAGTAAAAATTATAGAGTTTTATTAATTTATCAATTAAATTTATAAAATATTTCCACTGGGACTACATTGTTTACCTGTTTCATCACAGTTGCAGTTAATGAAATGTTAGATGTCAAGATTTGTATACTGCTAGTTTTGAATGCTCAGTTTTGTAGTTGGTACCTTATAACACTCATTTTGGAGGTTTACAGACTGATTTTAGAATTAAGTGTTAAGTACTCGGAAGACGATAGTTTATAGTTTTGTTATTTAACAATTAATTACCTATTGTTTTTATAGTATTTAGTTTATTACCGCTGAATAGATGCTAGGTATTCTTGTTCTCAATACAAGCGGTTAAAAAAACTATCAGTTTAATATTTAATGTTACTACTCGTTTGCTTTTACATCAGTAAATTGGTTAGACCAACATAAGTTAACACTGACACCTCTTTATACTTGCATCAATAATGTCAAAATAAGTAACTACAGTCATACCCTAAACGGGCAATACTTAATAGTGGTATGTTTACTAGAACATCAGTCATATAGAATATTATTTTATTAACAGTAGGATCAAATAAAATTTCCGTGTAAAGAAATATATAAAAACGCAATTTACTAAGCGCTGGCACTGATTTCGAACCCGTATTTCTCATATAGCCACAAGGAACAGTTCTGAGTACACCTGCATAAATCTACTATGTTAGTAAGAAGTAAATTATACTTATATGTTATAGATAAAATGATATGTACTATGTTATCTTATTTTTCATCCATCTCCATTTGCAACTTTAAATAATGATATTTGTATGTTTCTTTTCTAATGCAAACAAGTAGTGACATTGCCAAAATCAGTATTCACTATTGTAAGTAAATGAATCTCTAGAATATAATCTACCTCTTAAATTACTTTTGTATTGTATTATTATTTAATTTATTGACAGCTGCATCCTAATGTCATGTTAGTTTAGTTATCTGATACATATTATGTGATAATTTGTTAAATTACCTAATGTAATGATTACACTCAAAGATGATGTTCAGTTGTTAGATAATCAAGGTAGGTAGGTATATATAATTTTGTACAAAGTGCTCGATCTTGTCAAAATATTTATTTTCAAATATAACCATGAGATTAATTTACAAGACTATACTTTTTCATTTGACCTGAATTCCTGCAAAGTACTTTGTAGCGATACGCACATAGAAATGTGAGCGAGAATAAAATTACGGCTGTAATAATTATTGTGGTCTCTCGTGGCAGACTGCATTTATTCACGGCATACGTATTCGGCGTAATTGTTACCTAAAATTGGTAATATAGAATATTAATGCTAATAAAAATACAACAAATAAGAAAAAAAAATATATAAATATTTTGTGTTGAGAGACAACTTAATTATATTTTGCCTTTTTTATGAAACTTTGAATGTCAAATAAAATGTCCTATAATTTCACTACCATATCCTACTCAACAAACAACAAACAAACCAAAACAGCTATGTACACTAGTTGCTTAATGGTAGAAACAAAAGTAAGTCAGGCCATGGTTATTCAAAGGTGGCTGGGTTTGTCGTGCCCATCTCATCACAATTATCTGGACCCATTCTAGGATGTGAACGAAGCTTCGCAAGGACATTCCTGAGAGTAAATATATGTATGTGCTTTTTTAAGATGCCAGGCTTTCTATATGGAAAATAATCTTAAATACGGCAATGGGACAATCTTTCGTAGTCTTCTTTTGATTTTCATCTTAAAATTATGACTTTCAAAGACTTGTACTGTTGAAATTAATAGCCAAGTACCAAAATGGACAAAGAAACCCTTATAATTCCTGAAAATGTTTTGGAAACAATTAAATTCCATTTAAGATTACACCTAGAAAAAACGACTGACTCTAATCGCGACAAGACATATACCAACACGAAGTAAAACCTATTAAATGCAAAAATAAATACTTTTCTCAAATAATATATCATTTTGTATGGAAAGGTATGTTCTTTAGAAAATAAGATACAATGTTTAGAAAACGTGATAATTCAGATAACTAAAAAAATACATTACCAGCATATATTTTGGTTCTACAATATTTCTCCATGAAAATGATGGCACAGTATATTCAAAGAAATCAACATTTTCATTATTAATGTTGTATGAATGATGCTCTAAACATCCATAGTGTGTATGCCCATCAAATGCTACTCTGGGTTTTAACTTGATAACAAGATCTTCTGTTGCTTCTTTAGATAATGCATCAATTTTCAATCTAAATGGTGTATATTTATCTGATAAAGGAGGTGCATCAGGTTCTGTGCAAATTCCATCTGATAACCTGTATAAAGGGAAATGCTGAAAAAAAATTTTTTTATAGTTAGATGTATCTAATACAATATATTGTACAGAGTAAAATCAAAATTAATAACATATTTTTAAGTAAATATTTCATCAGCATAATCCGACTATTTCCAAAGAAACATTCTAGTCAGGAATTTTTGAAAAACTTGTATATGTATATTTAGATTATTTATATTTCTGTTCTGCAGTAAACTATTAAATTGTATTCCAAAAAAAAAAACATCTTCAGTTGTTGCAAGACCATATATTGTGATTTTAAAACTAAATTACTGAACCAATTTTATTAAAAATTCAATGAGGCCAATCTGTAAATAAATACTTTTAGAAATCTTTATAAAATAGAAAGATTTTTCTAAACTGTTTTACAACTGATAAAGATATAAGGTAACAAACATTAAATTGCAACTAAATTGATTTTTTTTTATGTCAGGTGGATGGAGCGAAAGGAAGGACATTTTTATTCAGTGAGCTTACCTGCAATAATATAGGTCTACTGTAGTTTTGTACATCAATATCATTATTGCACTGATCAGGAAATTCAGAACATTTCAATATTTCTAAAACATAAAATTATCTCTTTATCAATTTATTGTTTTAAATAATATAATAATTTATTAGAAAATGATATTCATATTTCTAAAATATGCAATTAATTGGACAAACAATAAAAAGAAAAAAATTCATACATTAAAAATTTACATCAAGATCAGATATAGGTTTGTTCTTTTCTTACATATCAAAATAAAAAAAATAACCAAGTGATTACTATACATATGGAGGAGAATATTCACCTGAAATATTATTAATAGTTTGTCTAGCTTCTGTACAAAGTTTACAAGTATCTCCCTCCAGAGCCATTGAGTTGATAAGAACAAAGTGATTGTTTTTTATAGTAAGAAATTGTACAGGTGGAGAATTCATCAATTTGGTGGTTTAATACTAAAAAAGCATAAATTTATTGCATAATGCAAATAAAGTATACTCATTCATTCATTTAAAACATTTTTAATTTTTTGGTTATTTATATTTTTTACTACTATACCATACTATAATGTTCATCATATTATAATATACATTTATGCTTCATTATTGGACATTGGTTGAAATGGAACTGCAACTGTATGTATGTTACATTTAATTATTTGGCTCCAAGTAATCTACCTGGATTTTGAAATGGACTACATACATATCCAATAACGACATTGCCTCGAGGTGCCAGGTCAGCATAGAAAATAACACTTCAGAATCAACTCTATTCTCTTATTTAAAATACTTTTGAATCTTAAAATTTTGCTCTTTTTATAATAGATTTTTCTATTATGACCAATATTAGTACACTACTTACTATCTAGATTACTAGATACTATTGTAAATACCCATTCTGAAACTATGATATCATTCGAGTAATGCATGCCAATAGAATAGATACATACTTATTGTGAAATCCTATATCATGATTACCAACAATAATGTGCATTTGTATATTTTCAGGAACCATAAATGTGTTGTAAAATCGAATAACATATTCACTGAAATATTCATCACTGCTCAACTCTCCTTCATCAAAAATATCACCTGTAAAGTATAAAGTATTACTTTAATGATAACATAATCAAGTGAATTTAATTGTTTTACATAGCATCATGAAGTTTTAATTAATGAGAAACAAAGGTAGAAGTTGAAAATGATTATTGGTGTTTTACATTATTATTGATAAAAATAATAAATAAATAGGCTCATGACTATAATCGATAAAGTGGTAATTAGTAAAATTTTTAAAATTATTTATATACAAATGATATTCATTACATAAAAATTAAGTAGTTATTATTAATAATGTGATTTGCAAACATATTTATTATACCTTACAAGTACAAAAAAATATTGGCCCTTGATTTGTAATCCCTAAAATCTACAGTAAATTTGCTAGTGAATCACAGCACAGAGAAACTGATATTTTGAACTTACAAGTTTCTTTTTTCTTATTGAAACTAAATTAAATTAAATTTAAAAAGATTCTATAAAATTAACTAACTACTAAATTAATTAATCAACAATTGGTGTCAAATGCTCTATATAACTATATTGGTAATAAGTATAAGTATATAAAAATATCTGTTTATAATTACTCTTCATTTAAAGACTACCTGAGATCTGAGAAGAGATTGCTTTTAACTATAAATTTATATATACTTTATTGTAATTGTTTACTAAGTTAAGTTGTTTAAATTTACTACTATAATTTTTGTAGGAAACAAAGAGTATCTATTTATGTATATCTATTTAGTGACTTGTTTCATTTACAGAAAAGATCTTCACCTAGAATGAAAATGAGGTCCGGTTTATGTAATTTAATTATAGTTTTAAATGACTGATGCATTTGCCACCCACGTCTCCATCGGTCTGGCCAAAAACTTTTACGATGGCCAGGTAAATGAGTGTCGGTCAATATTAATGTTTTCACTAGATTTGAGTTTTCTTGAGTTTTACCCAAATATTGCCAACCGCACTGCAAAAAAAATCACGGGTTTTCATTAGTCACGACATCAATTTTTATGTATAAAGTAATATAAAGTCAGTTATCAAAGGAATCTGTTTACCTGTGTTATAACTATATAATATATAAGATATTCGCAATAAATAATAGTAAATACGACACCAAAGAATAAAATTATGATTCTTTTAAAAAAACCAGACATTATTACTTTTTAATTCAAGACTTATAAATTTTTAAATAAGTATAAGATTATTTTCATTTTGTCTCATTGATAGAATAGTAATTACAATAACAGCTGTCAAAACAGCATTGACACTGACAGTGAATGTTATCAGAGCAGTAGTAGTATTATTTACCCACTCATGTTGTTTTTAACTCGAAGGGCTCTGATGAGTGGATAAACCTTTGCTTCGGAGCCCTAAGAACACCGGAATCTGTTTTGGAGCCATATTATAAAAAAATCTCTAGAATGGAAAAGGCAAAAAAAATTAAGCCATACAGCCTAATCTTCAGTATAAAGTGTGTATATGTATGTTTAAACAAGGCAATGTTGCTATATCTTTTTCAAGATTTTATAGAATGGACACAAGGTTTAAGTTTTAAAATAAATGATGTATAGATCTAAGAACCAGAAATTACATAAAAGGAATGATAAAATAAACTGTAAATCATATGGTTACCTCCTTATAGATACACCATCAGTTGATATTTTTCTCAATTCATAGCAGGATAGTGTATAGAAAATGTTTTATGTCAATTATTTGTCAATAACAAATTTTACATTAGTAGATTATATATTCGCCACAGTTTATGTAGAAAGTATGCAAGCAGATTGTATCTGAATTTGGTAGGGTTATACGGCCATATAACCCTAAGAAATTCAGATACAACTACCAAGAACCAATATAAATTTGTATTAGATTTAGTCAAAGTATAGTTAAAAGAAATATTGTTTATTAGTTTATCATGAACCATAAAACAGTAATTATGGAACTAAATATTTCAGTAGCTAATATGGAACTTCTTCAATTAATCAGCTAATAGCATTCTTACAAATAAGTTTTATACCTACCAATATAAAAATAAAGTCACAATACTTAGATATTTATTATATAACATAATATACAACGTTGTTTACATATAAATAAGTAAATTAAGTAATAAGATTATATTTTTTTATTTGTGCTATTCTTCTACTGAGAAACCTTTTTCGATATGTACAAAAGAAAGTAAGAGAGAACATAATCACAGCCGTAATGGCTATTGTCGTTTCTCGGGGTAAACTGCATTTATTCACTGCATATGAATTCGGTGTAAATGTCACCTAAAACAGAATAATAAGTATTAGTTCTCTAATAACATTCAATTAAAGTGAATTAATTCGATAATAAAAGAAAGAATAATTACTAGCATATACTTTGGTTCCATGATATTTCTCCATGAAAATGATGGTACAGTATATTCAAAGAAATCAATATTCTGATTATTATTATGATAAGAGTGATGTAGCAAACATCCATAGTGAGTATGCCCATCAAATGCTACTCTTGGTTTTAACTTGAAAACAAGATCTTCAGTTGCTTCCTTAGACAATGCATCAATTTTTAGTCTAAAAGGTATATATAGTTCTGAATAAGGCGGAGCGTCAGGTTCTGCGCATACTCCATCAGACAATCTATACAAGGGAAAATGCTGTAAAGAAAACAATAAATTTGTTTTAAAACTTAATTTGTTGTAAACACCAAAAATGTAACCACTAAACAAAAATATGGATAAAATTTTAAATTATAAATAAAAATAAACTTAATTCAATAAGTCTTTCTAGGTAATCAAATCTATAATTTTATTTATAGATCTAGTAATGAGACATATAACTTTCAATTAAAATTATAACTATAAAAAAAATGTTTACAGAAAACATTAATTCAACAAATTATAAATTGGTTTGAAATATAATAAAAAACACAATATGATAACATGTAATATAATTATTAGGGCTTGTTAGTAATGTGGACAACCATTTCTATAGCTAGCAATATACCCTGTCGGGTCGACCTCCATGTGGTCTTTTTTTATACATCTTAGAATGACAATCAAGCTGACAGTCCACCTGATGGAAAGTGGTAACCGTTGCCTATAGACATAAAAGAGTATACTGTTTCGCCCATGATACCCCCCATGTGTTGCCATTCCTGAGGACTCAGGTGTTATTTCTCTGTACCCTGTAAATTCACGCCATATCACACCCACCCTTCAAACCGAAGCACAGCCATGCAAACACAACTGCTTTACGGTTGAAACACGAATGGGACAGAGGTATCCAAGCAATCGACTTTTGTACAAAGTCTCCCTCTGGTCTCCTCTGGAAGCCATCATACTGAATTCCATGTTTATTCATCATGATGGGCTAACTGACCTGCTCTTTCATTCTCACCTATCATTCCTCACTTGTCATGTCCATGGTACTGCTCATGTCTATAGGCGACAGTTTTTTTTCCATCAGGTGCATCATCAGCTTGTTTGCCATTCTAATTTGCATAATAACATTTTTTTATTACTTTCTACATTTCAAAAATATACTGTACTAATATTATTTCTTTTAATTTTCAGTCTTTCTAATTCTATATTATTTTTGTATTGTCTTTTATTTCTCTAAATAAACATATGTATCCACATAAACAAAAAAATCAATACATTTGTCTTCCATATTGATAGACACAAATGGAACTTGAAATAAAGTCAATCTGGTTTTTCTTTTAGATAAAAAAAAAATATTAAAGTCAACTTACTTGCAATAGTATAGGTCTACTGTAGTTATGCTTCATTAAGTCAAGCTTGTTGCATTGGCTTGAGTTTTCAAAACATTTCAATATTTCTACAAAAGAAAAATTTAATAAAGCACTTTCTCATTTAAAATAATCATTTTTGACAAATAGATATGCTATTTGCCAATGTCCAGCAGAAAGCTATGAACAACAGTTCCAAATCCGTCCAGAATGGCGCTAGAGTAACAAGGAGTATAAAATAAATTTAGGAGTGAAGTGCGCAGAGTTGAAAATTTTAATTACACAACAAAGTCGCGGTACACAACTAGCAGTAAATATCTTTATTTAGTATACAAAATCGTGTTAAGTTAGGATATAAACTACCCATGTACCAAATTTCATTTAAATCTATTCAGTAGGTTTAGCGTGAAAGAGTAACAAACATCCATCCATTAATTGTTACCAACTTTTTTATTTATAATATTTAATTTATAAAAGTTTAACAATGATATTTAATATAAAATTAATTTAATTATTTTTTATTGTTTTTCTATTGTATTTTTTTAAAAGTGCGTCATTAAAAAGAAGAAGTTTTGTTTTCATTGTTTAATTCCTTTAAAATTTACCCATCTGCCATAATGCCACCCTATTTTTTTCTTAAAAGAAGTGATGGAAGAACTTACGTTCTTTTACAAACATTTTATAAAATTAATATAAAATATATAATACCTGAAATATTATCAATTTTTTGTCTAGCTTCTGTGCACAGTTGACATGAATCTCCTTCCATAGCCATTGAATTTAAAAGTACAAAGTGGTTACTTTTCAGTGTTAGAAATTGTACAGCAGGAGAATTTAACAATTTATTGAATCGTTCAGCAGACCCACGCCTGATACTAAAAAAGGTTATAAGTAGGTAACATAACTATGTAGCTACGTACATAGAGAATTAATATACAAATAATAACATTTTAGTAGTCCATACTAGATTATGAAATATGAATACTGTTTATACTTTAGTGTTTATAGTGAGTGAGTGTTTATACTTTAACTAGCAACCTGCAATTTTTTATAATATTATTGCTGAATTTTTAGTCTGTAGTAGTTTTTAGAGTTTATCCATTACAAACAAAATTTTGAATCTTTCTTCTTTGTAATATTAGTTTACATTGTGTTCTCTAACAACACCAACTATCATCAAAACCCATCAACAGCATTGTTTTAAAAAAGTGTTACACCAATTAGAGACAGGTATGACAGATATGTATATAGAAACATGAGTTAAAAATAACAAAAACTTAGAACATCCACACTAAATTGACAGCTGTAAATATCACAACATATTCATGTTTCATAAAAAAAAATGTTCAATTGGACTCATATAATATTTAATTTTATGGATGGTAATAATTTTGATTTCAGTCTGTGTAGGTCCTAATAAAAAAATATATTAATAATAAAATATATAAAATAGTGTTTAGGTATTTATTTACAAACAACTGTAGTTATCTATGACTACTTACTTATTGTGAAATCCGATATCATGATTGCCAACTATAATATACATTTTTATATGATCAGGAACTTGAAATGCCTTATAAAATCGATAGACATATTCATGGAATTGCTGATCACTACTGAATTCTCCTTCATCAAACAAATCTCCTATAAAAGAAAAAAATCATACTCATAAGGTTAACACAAAGCTCGTTTATAAGAGTATTTTTTTTAATGGGTGATAATAATCATCCATTAAAAAAACTATGTAATAGTAACCTTGTCTATGCTAATGGAATATACTGGTCGAGTACCAGTGAGGGATAATAGGTGAGAATGAAAGGCAGGGCAGTTAGCCCATCATGATGATTACACCTAAAATTCAGCATGATGATTTCCAAGATACCTTGTGAAGGTCAACATTACAGGGTATATTGCTCCAATGGAGCCTTGAAATACCCATTACTGACAATCCTTTTCCTCTTATAAGAGTATGTACGCTACATCTATTCTAGTATACAGACATATATATAAGGCTAGGATAATATGTCAATTGACTGAGATTAATAGTATCCTATGTCTTTCGCCATGCCATATACTATGTGTACACTAAATTTCAGATTAGTCAAGCTATAAGAGTATATTTAATACGATAGATCTGAAATGTTTACAGTATTACAGGTCTTTGTTTGAAAAAGTTCATCTTTCAATAAGGCACCAAGAGGTAAGAAATAAACTCACATTATTTTATAATATATATATCCTTGATTAATATATAGGAAAATTTATATCCTAATGTAAGCTGTAGGATACTATTAATTTCAAATACCAGAGTGGTTTTAAAGTGCAAAAATGTCTTAAGTTGGAAGTATAGATAAATACACTAATATGCGAATTATTTGTTAAAAATATACTGATTATTTACCTAATACAAAAACTACTTCGGGCTCATGGAGAGCAATTATAGTTTTGAAAGCCTGATGCATTTGCCATTCTCGTCTCCATCTGTCCACCCAATAACTTTTTCGTGGACCCAACAAGTGAGTGTCAGTCAATATCAAAGTTTTCAGCACTTCAGATTGATCATCAGTCTTCTCCGGCGTAGGCCAACTGCACTAAAATTAATTACATATATAAATATTTCAAAAAACATTACATATAAAGTACCTACCTGCGAAAAATGCAAAGAATTACATACTTACTCATTTTACGACGATATTATTTTTATTTACCTGTGTAATAACTACATAATAAATAAGAAACTCGCAGTAAATTATAGTAAATATTACACCCATAATTAGTATTATAATTTTTTGAGTAAAGCGATTCATATTTCAACAATTAAACTTTAAAAAACAAGAAAAAAGTATGTAAATAGTAAATACTATGTTATAAGAGTAGGCAGTAAATATAATATGTACAGAAACTGGAAATTGAAATGCATGTTACCTTTTCGAAGTAACAACACAATGAAATAAATATTCATTGTGCAACATGGCTTACTACCTATAAAAAGATAGATAGATACACTTCTTCTTCTTATTGTTTCCTTCAAAAGATTACAATAGTAAAATTATTATAAATATAAACAATTACAAGAAATAATCACAATGAAAAAACAATGGGCGACCTTATCGCTAAAAGCGATCTCTTCCAGGCAAGCTTTGGATGTAGGGGTGTGATTATAAACAGTTTGATCGGAAGCAAAATGAAATTCTATTATTTCTTAATACACATGTAATAATGTAAAATATATATCCCTACTCATTATATACACTTATATTGGCAGACATTGTCTATATTGTCAAAACCAATATTAGTTAAATAAAATGTATGTATTTATAAAGTTTTTCTATGCAACTTATACAAACGAGCTGATCGCCTATCCGATGAAAAATAGTACTTAATTATCGGATATAAACAATAACAATAATACCAGTGGACATAACAGAGTATATTGTGTCGCCCACGATACCCTTCATGAGTTGTTATTCCTAAGGATTAAGGTGTTATACCTTTATTATTTCCTCTTTTAATTAATGCCTTTATTTGGAAACACTATTTTTGAAATAACCTATAATCTGCTATGATAAAATATTATATTTTAATATTGGTTGTTCCCAGGTAACTTATACAAAAGTTTTTGTTCTAACTGATGCTGACCTATGCTACTAATTTAGTGGTGAGTCAATTCATAGTAGAAAACAAGGTATGAGTGGGTGACAGCTGACATTTTGGTTTGTACAGTAAAATCCTTAAGAATAAAGAATTACATTGAAGGAATGATAAAATAAAAACTGTAAATCATATGGTTGCCTCCATTCTTCTTATGCAAATATAATTAGTAAAAAGAGAACGAAAGATATACCATCAGTTGATATTTTTCTCAATTCATAACAGAATAGTGTATTGAAATTGTTTTATATCAATTATTTGTCAATAACAAATTTTACATTACTAGATTATATATTTGTTACAGTTTATATAGGAAGTATAAAAGTAGGTTATATCTGAATTTGGTAGGGTTTTACGGCTGTATGACATTTTCTATAGACTAGTCTGCTATGAAATGACAATTTTATTACTCCTATGTAATTCCTCGTTCTTATTAACCCTTTGCACTCGAGCGGCGCCGATACAGCGCACAGCGGGCTGATAATAAAAGGTTGGGACTTAAAAAATAAAAAACATTTTTTTGGTATCTAGCTAGTTGGTATGGCTAGTATGGTAGCTAGCTAGCTTACATTTAAAAAGTTTTTATTCTTTGATTTTTTGATTAAACTAATACTTTCGGAGATATAGCCATATCAAATTTGTATGAAAAGTAATGACATTTTAGTTCAGCAATTTAAATTGAAAATAATGTATACTAAACGGACTGAAGCATCTCAATACCTATTTAGTTCTTTGAAAAAATCAATGTTCGATATTTTCCACCACCATAGGTATGATTTGTTTTAACACTTATTTCCGGGAATCAAGAGATAAGAGCGCGCGACGCGCAACAATTTATGACGTATCGTAACGTGATTGGTGCAAGTGACAGTGTACAGAATGTACGGTTGCATTCAAACCTACTTCAGTGTTCTATTACCCGCCATAATAGACGCACTACCCCCACATACTAATTATTCATTAAATGCTTGTTATTTTGAGTTTGTGAAAATGTTTGAAGATTTAGTGTCAAACCTTGACTTTTTTTTTCTAAAAAAGAGTGCCAGTATTAAAAATAATAACAGTTTGTATAGCAAGATAAGGACCAAATTTTTAGTCGAATTAAGTGATCAATACGAAAAGACCCTTTTTCGAGACGAAAACCGATCGTTTTGTGCAAAATTTTGTTATAATTTAAACAGAAGATGGGAAAACGCTCATCGTAAAGAAAATATATTCAAAGCTAAAAATAGCGAATGGTTACAAGAAAACATAATATGGCCAGAGTTTATTAAATATTTAATAGACAGTAATTAGAGATGGGCAATCCACCTGGGTGGGTTTAAAGTCTGGTGGGTAAAAACCGGGTGTTTTGGGTTTATTGGGTTTAAACCCCATAAACACCCAAATTTTTGGGTGTTTATGATTTTGTACTTCATCATCGTCATCTCAGCCGCAAGACGTCCACTATACTGGACATAGACAATATTATTATGCAGCCTACAGAATAAAAAACTTTTAATTTGATTTTGAGTTTATTAAGAAAGAGATGAAAGTAAAATGTAAAACTACAGTCAATCACTGTCAGATTCAGAGTTATTACAAGCGATGAATTGTATAGGTTCGATAGGCTCTATTTCGTCTAAACTGTTATGTTCATTTACTTGCTCAATGAAAGCTTCTAAGGTATTTTCTTCATTAAACTGAATGTCCTCGCATTCAGCTTTATGTTTAAGATTCCAGTTATAACAAATGAATGAAATTTTTTCAGTTCTTTCAGTTGTAAGTCGATTTCTTTTGTTATTATGTATGTAGCCTTGGATACTAAAGGAACGCTCAGTGGCTGCCGAAGTACAGGGAGCTGATAGAATACGAATCGCTACTTTGCTTAACTCAGTGGAACCACAAATACCTTTCCACCATATTAGGGGCTCAATGCTATCTAATGAGCTCCATACAAATCCTCTGGCCCAAAAGTTTTCTTTAGCTTTATAACACGCCAAATCTGCCATTACATTTGACAAACTTAAGTGTTGGCTTAAATTGTAGATAAACTCCATACCCTTAAGTTCTTCCTCTTGAGTAAGTTCGACTCCTAGAGTCCTGGGGTCTAGAATATATGCTGCAAAATGTATTGGCCTCATTGCCATATTGCATCTTGAAGATACTGATGTTAGAATCTGCTGTTTGCTTTCTTCGCTCAATGTCGAAATCTCATTTAATGCAAAACGTATCTTAGCTTGTACATCTCTAAATGTAATGTATGTGCGATGCAAACGATTCTGGTCGCTCTCTAAGTAAAATATGCTTTCAGTGACTGGTTCCAAAATACTTATACATTCCCCTGTCTTCGTCCAGAAATCATCACTTAGAATTAAATCTTTAATATCTCTTGAAATTACCACATCTTCTCTAACTGTTAATATTTGCAAAGCTATCTTATTTGCTTTCAAACTTTTTAACGAAGTAACATGACTTCCCCATCTTGTAGCACAAGGCAATTTTAGTGTTTGTGTAGAATCTTCACCCTGCCTTGATTTTATCAACAAGGAACTTAATCGTTGACTCCTTTTAACAGTTTTTATTATATTTATGGCTTGCATAATAAACACAGTTACTTCTTGTATCTTTACAATATCTTGGCACAACAAGTTAAGGATATGTGCACAGCAACCGAGAGGAACAACATGTGGATATTTGAGTTTTGTTAATTCGAATGCCTTTTGTATATTTCTAGCGTTATCGCCAATAAGTACAAGAAACTTATTTGCTCCATACACTTTCATTACTTTTTCAACTTCTTGGCTAAGGTATTCACTAGTGTGAGGATTACTTTCTGTATTCAAACTTTTAACGTATGCAGGTTGAGGTTTTGATATAAGAAAGTTTATTATTCCTTCATTTCTTAAATTAGACCAGCCATCGCACTGAAGGTGTAAGTAACTACAAGCATTTAGTTCCTCATTTAACTCAAAACGCATTTCTCTATATATTTTATCTAAGTATTTTGTCGCTAAAGCTTTACGTGAAGGTATTTTAAATTTTGGTTGCAATTTTTCGAAAAATTGTATCCATAAAGGATGTTGCACCATCGATAATGGCGTCCCTGTTACAAATATAGCTCTCGCTAATTCTGTTTTTATATGATCATCGGTGTCTTGAAACTCAGCATTTATTGTAGTGTTAGCAGACGACGAGGGGCTTATAAAAGAATCATTTGTCTCTATCTCTGACAGTCCAGACATTTTGGTTTTGGACGAGCTATCTTTTATAAGTTTCATAGAGTCTTTTAATGTTTCTGGAGATTTTGGACAAGTGATAAGATGTTGAAGCATTTTGGCAGCATTACTGAATTTGTAGACCTTATTACAAAGCTTGCAAGAAACAGACTTGTTTGGTAAAGTACGGTAGTGCTCCCATATGCGTAAATCTTTAGGTCTCCCCATTGAACCTAAAAAAATGAACGATGATTAGTTGGTCTGACGAAAATTCAACAATAGAGTGCCTATTTTTTTACAATGATTATTTCTTGTTATTTATAATAAATTTATTAAAAAAATAATAAAATAAATACAAAAAACCTTTGTAAAATTACATCTCCTCGGAGGATTAAACGCAGACGCTAGTTTATTATCGTATTGTTCTGTATTTTTCTCAGCAACTTCTTTAATTCGATTAGGTACTTACGCATATTATGTTAAAAATAAATATCTAGTACACATCTTAGGCTATCCACCATTATTATCCAATGACGACTCTCAGCTAACTATGCACTATCATCCAAAATAAACGTGTATGGAAAATTTTATCCCAGTCGGTTGAGGATTGAGGATAATTGCATCAACATACGAACATACCTACATACTTTTATTTACATAACGCAAGCTAAATAAAAGCTTGTAATAATACATCTAATTTTAAGTTAAAATTGTTAAGTGATCATGATATAATTGTATCATTCAAAAATCCACTTACCTTTAATTATTTCTTGTTAAGTATAAATATTATTTCAAATCTGCTCCCTTAATATGCACTTTTTTACTGCTTTTCCTACCTAACACGTTACCAGGAAGTCACGTTACCAGAGTCAGAGTAATAGTGAACACGTTTGACAGTGATTGTCGTCGCCTCATATTCAGCGTCGACGAATAGGGGAATCCCCAGTCATAATGTATTGCAAGCGTGGCGATCTTACTTCAAATCCATAAACAAAGAGATAATTACAGAACTCGATACTAGATGGCGCTGTTTTTGTTTGAAGAAAGTTTGCGGGCTAAAATACATAGAATTTCATCAATGACTTCCACAAAGAACAACATTTCTGTTTTTTCTAAGTCCGTATCTCTTCCGTATATTTCATAAGATATAAGCTTGGGCTACATTGTTATGCAACGTGATTTTGTCGCTGTCTTGCTAGCAGGGTTGACAGATATACGATTTAAATCGTACTCATACTATTATTTGTCTATTTTTTAATGTACGATCGTAAAGATTATGATCGTAATTCGCACAAAAACATACGACTTTTTGGTTACCTGGCAACATTTTTATTATGAAACGAACATGCTCACATCATCAGTCACATGCAACAATTTATTGGGGATTTCCCCTTCACATCTGGCAGTCCTGCTTGCTAGAATATAGGTAAGTCAGCCACAGTTACTGACGATCGATATTTAAAGGGTATTGTTTTTGTGCTAAATATTTCATAAAAACGTTATTTAATACTTTGTGGATTATTAATTTAGTTGATAATCACTGGAAGTAAAATGGATGCTAATTTGAGAGATCAAGATCTTCGTATAAAACAGTTAATAAAAGAAAATCTACGTAAGTACTCTTTTTATACCTAGGTAGGTAAGGTATAATAAACACAAAAGGTACTTAGATCGCGTGTGTTCGAAGCATTTATTCTAATAAATTTAATTTAAAATTGTAGAAAGAAAAAAATGTCTGCCAAGCCGTAGCCGAAGCCGATCTCCAAATATATTTGGCGATAGTGAGACCCAGTGTCCAGATGATTTACCCAGCGTCGTCGCAACAAAGAAAAAAACGAGGATAAAGTAAAAGAAAATTTACTGAAAGAAGAAACAAACTGTTCTAAATGCTTAATTTATGGAGAAGAGGATAAAAGAAATGAGTATTTCGGACTGTTAGTGGCTCAAGAATTTAAATATATACGGCCATGTGTGCGAACGAGGTGTTATGAAGAAATTTTAAAGTATCTACGGGAAGCAAAAGGCCAACATGTTGATCAACTGCAACATGAAAACACTGAAAATTAATTACTTTCATTTTATTATATATAGATTTTTAAAATTTCCTGAAATATTATTAGTTAACGTTTTATTTAATATTGTAGAATTGATCAATACAATTTATAAAAATAATTTATTGGTATTACTTACATATTTTCAAGAAAATACGTAAAAACCTATTTTTTTGGGTGATTATGGGAGTTTATGGGTGTTTATTGGGTTTTTACCAAAGCACCGGGTTTAAACCCGGTGCTTTGCCCATCTGTAATCAAAACCGAATGATCCAAATCTCTGTAGATACGGATTGTCATCATTGCATATCTGGATACAAATGATGGAATGCACTCTGCATATAGCTTACAGATTAACACGATTAACTGTAAAGGGAGACAACAAGTGCATCATGGAAAGTAAGAAGAAAAACATACAAGACGCTTTTAAAAATAGAATGGAAATTCTGATTGATGTTGTCAAACAAGGTCACGGCTCCACCAATGACGGAAATACTGCTAAAAGATTTTTTGCCGATCCAAACATGACTGCTGAGGTAACTGGTATCTATTCTTCAGATGCTAAGTCCTTTACCGGCCCACTGTCCGGCGCCCGGCCGATTCGAAGTGGCAATTCGAGCGGCGCTGCTGTGGCCCGCCAGAGCGATTTAAAACTTTAAATCGAACTACGCTGCTACGATGCTAGTCTTTTGTAACTGGATCTCCTTATTTACAATATGCGATAAGATAGTTTTCTCGGAAGTACTTTCGTGGATTAGGCTCTGCTTACATTGCAAGCGAAAAAGGCCTCGAGTGCAAAGGGTTAAAATCCTTACCGTTCCTTTTTAAGTAAAATCACGTCTTACTTCCTGTTAGTGGTATAACATAGGTAGTTACGTGATAATTTATAATCGATGCTTTCTCACTATCGAATCTGTAAGAAACATGTATTTTTTCTATGGTTTTAACCTGTCAGTCGAATCATGTATGATAATAGGTAGGCAAAATAGGTATGCTTTGTCCATCGTATTCGTGGTCGTAGCATGAAATGTAAAAGCTTATTTTACTAATTTAACTGTAATATTGGTACTTATACAAAAAGCTTAATTGGTTTCATTGACATTGACAAGGAATGTTTGCTGTAATTTTCAATATTAATAAATAAATAATGCCTACATTATTTCTTTTTGTATGTTGGTTAATAAATTATTTACTTAATACTTAAAGCTGTTTGCCAGAAATAATTATTTTTTCCAAACATGATTAAACTCACCAAATTTTGTGACATTTGACCAAATTTAAGTAATTTGATCTGGAAACAATTATAGTTATGATTTTTGGGTACAATCGATGAATATGTTACAATGGCAACCTTGCTTGACTTCATTTTCGTCTATCATTCCTCACTGGTTCGTCTGTGTATACCAATAGCGAAGGAAAAAATATTAAAAAAAAAAAAAAAAAAACAATTCAAATACAAATTGCAAGTTGATTTTGAGGCACCATTTCTTTAAACCTATTTCTAAAATTTAGATTTAAATTAAATATAACAACGAACTTTTCTCTTAGTTCTAAGAACCAATATGAACTAAATTTCTAATAGAAAATATAAATTTAGTTTATGATGGTCCATTAAACAGCATTTTAGCGAAATTATCAAATTAAAATATTACGTAGAGATTGTATTTTTAATAAAATGCAATTTCACATAACAGTATATATATTTAAGTCTAGGACGTGAAAGTGTCACAGTTTAATATATTTTTTAAAATAAGTACACGATAAGGTTCTAACAGTATTAGAAAGTAGGCGCCACAAAATCCAAACTCACAAACTTTACAATATTAACATAGAAGTAATAATTGTTTTCTATAACCAGAGTGGATATTTTACAATTTTAAGATATAGGTAGTAGAAAAGAATATTTTTTTTAAGTATTAAGTCGTTTAAAAATAGCCTTGTTTATTGTAAAGGATAATATGAAAAGAATATGTACGAAATATAATTAAAGGCAAAAATGAAAACAAAGAATAAACGCCAGTGATGTTAAGATATCACAGAGGTGTCAACTTTTTTCTCAAAAGTTCAGCTATTAACTGTAATTATCAAAATTTTATGTGTAATAATGTCGGCAATTTCAAGTGTAAAAAATAATTTACTTTTTTATTTGTACAAGACTCGGATATATACAATACTATTTATTACTTTATTTAATGGTATCAAATAATTTTGATTAATTCATCATACATCATGTTAGGTCAGGTTAAGGAATGTAGCAAACATTTATAAATAGTAATAATAAATTAAAAGTCGATAGACAATTATACAATTACAATACAACCTTCGGTGTACTGGAGTCACAATTCAGTATGTTTTACCTTGTATCTGTATTGTTTAGTAATTAAAAATAAACTTGTTACATGAAACCGAACCAAAAAATATACTCGTAATTTTATCGAGACTTTAAGCTCACTACATGAAGTATAATAACAATAATTTAAATTCGAAAAAAAAGTATAATCCTGTAAAATTACAAAATGCGCTGTAGTGACCTTGTTGCATCAAAGGTACGAATGTTGTTCATAAATTAATTTACTGATAAAAATATTTTGTTTGTAATATCATTAATTAATGATAATTAAAAAAATAGCCTTCCTCTATAGTAATTAGTACTTATTATATCTTTAGTCTTGTGAAAAATAATAATTGGATACATTGGTTCACACATTCAGTACAGATTTGTCTGAAATTTACAAATGCCCAGTTATTTTTGTAATCAAATGAAAATGCATTTCAATTTTAGCTAAAATATTTTTTAGTATTATTATAGTATTATTCGTAATCTAAATATAAAATAATAACATAAGTACTTTCGAATAATGATTTGATGGTATGAACTTTTCATTTGCAAACTATTTATTTAGATTTCTCCTACATTGTTTGAATTATTATGATAGTTTTAATAGGCAACAGAGAAATAATATTGAACAGTTTACATACTTATCTTTCTATGCATTTTAAAGTTGTATTTCACAGAATCCATAAAATGAAAGCAAAAACGAGCTCTAAAGTAAAATAATAGTAGGTATCCATTTTACAAAGCTGAAACTTTCGAAACAAATGGTCAATACAATTCATCTGAAATGAATGACATTATGAACTATTACTAATATTAAACTTAAATATAAATTAAGAAAAAATTTAAAAATAAAATACTAATAAGCACATGTTTAAATTCATTATAAGATATTAGGTAAATATTTGGTATAACGTAATACTTCATCGAAAAGTAGAAAAATTTGGTATATGTTTTAATTTTAATTACACGTACAAATACAATTTTATTTTTAAAGCCATAATTTGAACTATAAAATTGTAACTATGAATATCACGGCCACTTGTAAAATCTATTGTACTGACATAACAATTAGTAGACTTTACCATTCATGTATGCCAGATCGTGTTATTCATAGACAATTTTACAATAAGCTTACTGTGATGTTAAAGACAGCCTTACCTTTAATATACATATACTAAAATGTTATTTCACAATGTTATTACTAATAAGATTTGATTTCTAAACCAGTACAGGTCTAAGGACATGCGTTTAAGTATCATAATACGAGGCTTGCCTCGCTAAGTCGAAAGGTATGGTAATATAAACTGTTTATAATTTACTATAGAATAGCATGGTATAATATAAAGTAAAAACAAAATCATGGTGTGCCGTGGACGTCCTTATATTATTGTATGAACCTAACAGTATCGGCATCATATCATTATTGACAGAAAATTAATTCAGTCTTGAATGATACAATGGCATAAATGTATTCTTGCTTTCCTAATTATATTACGATGACAAAATCGTGCCGTGATATGGTAAATTATAAGAGTGCCCAATGGGACAAAATTACATAAAACTACATCTAGAAGCCATCGACTATATAAATCATAAATTTGTAAATACAATCGGCTCAATAGTTAATTCGAACAAATTATAAATATGAAATGTTGAAATCTCTCTCAATATTTCAGTTATCTGGTATTTAATATCAGATATTCATAACCAATATACAGATATAATTCATTACGAGATAAAAGCGATGTTATCCATACCTAATGTTTATCTACCATCATTAATTATCGCATTGATTGATATTCATCGCACACAGTTATTATGATTTGCCATAGAATTTACTATTCAATAAGAAGATCAGTAGATTAACATTTATTTTTGCTTTCCCGAATATATCCATTATGGCACAGCCCTCATATTGTTTCTGTAATAAATCCTGAATATCTATCTCAATTGATTCCATTTCCACTCCCATAAACTTTCCTTTAATTGTAAATACACCATTATGATCGGTGGGTGTGATTTCAAATTGCACATTCTTGAATTGTGAATGTGAGAGCCCATCTATTTCTAACAGAACACCCCTTTCCATTAGTTTCGCACCGGAGTATTTCACAGTAAGCTTGGATTTCAATTTCTGTGCATCTTTACCTGGTCTTCTTAAACAAGCGTGAACACTTCTGTAAATTATAAAAAATAACAATCAATTCTTTACTAAACATTTCTCCCCCACTACACTGATTTTAATTATAACAAAATTATAACGGGAATGTTAGTCTTATATATATATAACTAGTGATTCGCCCTGGCTTCGGACGGGTTGCACATTACAAACCTCTAAAATTATCAGTGTTTCTCTACTATATTATGCATGTATTATACATATAAGTCTTCCTTTAGAATCAAATCTTTAAAAAGTAAAAGGATTTATAGCCCACCTTTTGCCAGCATGAAGATTAGCGAGACACGATTTAATATACTGGTCATATGATTGACACTTCTCTTCATAGTACTTTGTTTTCTCTTGTAAACTCTGTTTTGTACGGATAAGAGTGACTAGAGACCTTCTTTGTATTTGTCTGTATTTACCTTTGTTACACAAATCTAGAGCTATGGCGGTTACTAAAGTTTGATATCCATCTTCCCTGGTCACAAATCCTTCATCTTCTAATAATTGAAGGTTGTGACGCAGTTTCGCAATATGTTCTCGTAACGACATGACTTCATCAGCTTTGGCTTGACCAGAATAAATACGTCTCTGCACTATTTCAGCATATTGTTCCTGTTGTTCTTTAGTAGTACCAATGCATAGCGCTTCTAGTAGATGATCACCTAAAAATTATAAAAAAAATCAGTGAATTAAACTCAATAAAACTGTACTGTACTTTTGAATATTCAGTTACTAAGGGGAGTTTTGTTGTTTATTCGGTTTTTAAAGGTCGGATTAGACTAAATGAACAGAAATTAAACGACAGGCGCTATAACATAGGACCTAGTAGGTTTAAACTTCATGTGTATGACAGACAAGAACAATGTATAAGATTTTCAAGAATCTACATTCTTTGTTTATCTGGATACACATGTTTATTTAGAGAAACAAAAGACAATACAAAAATAGTATAGAATTAGAAATAATGAAAAATAAAAGAAATAATATTAGTATAGTATGGCTTTAAAACATAGAAAGCAATAAAAAAAAAATATGCAACTTAGAATGGCAAACATGGTGACGACCCACCTGATGGAAAGTGGTGGAAAGAAACACTAATAGGGAAGAGTACCCAAACAAACGGCTTGAGAACAATGAAAAATTCCATCCTTTGATGTAACACTGGCTGAACACAAATGTAATTAAAAAAAAATATCTTTGTGAACAATGCAACTCCTAATTATGTATAAAATCAATATCATTAAATTTATATATTTAGATTGTATATAGTGACCCCTTGAAAGAAAATTTACAAGCTATTCCTAAAAGAAGGAGGTTAACATATGGTTTATTTTTTATACTACACACATCAAAAAAGTTTAAGCAACACATACTATTTCAAATTATTAATCAATTATTATATAATTTCTTACCAAGTAGGTAATACCTATGTAAATTGTTTATTTGTTTTTTTTTTTACAAATTCAAAGCGAATGCATTTGTTCGAATTTTATAGTGTTTTCTTTGCTTATTAAAATTTAGTATTCTGTATCAATTTATGATTTTCAATAATTTAAAAAAAGTTCTGAACAAATTTGGATTTTGAGACATTTTTTACGTCATGGAGCGACGTTATTTGAACGCAGATGAAATGCAAAGAGCTGTAGGGATGTTGCAAGCAGGAAGAAGTCAATCTCAGGTATCTCGGTATTTTGGTGTCAACAGAAGCGTTATTTGCCATTTTCATCAGCGTTACACTAACACGGGAGATACTGCTGAGCAGCACCCAGGTCGAGGAAGGTGTGCAACCATACGGCAAGATCGATACATACAACTGACTGCAAGACGCCAGCCGATGTTAACCGCCCGAGAGTTAACCTACAAAATTCAAGTGTTATTGTTCTTAGCTGCCAAACTATGCGAAATCGACTACATGAGTATGGCCTACGAGCAGGACGGCCAATTAGTTGCCCTCCGATACGTCACGAGGATGTGTATATATACGTGTATATCGCCAGTCTTTTTCGCTATTTTCATAATTCTTTTTACTGATAGGGTATATTGCTGGCATTGTTTGGCTAATCATCATTATTAATCCTTAATTATCATTAAGCTCAAATTTTATCTTCTGAATGTTTAGATATAGAATCATAAAGTAATAAACAGTTCCATTTCAGGTTGGAATGTTATATAATATATAATATTAAGAGTGATAATGTAAAGGTTTAACTTACCATTTAGAAAAGGTATAATAGCGACACATAGTTCTTTGGTTTTAACAAATAGTTTATTCAGATTAGTCATATCATCAGAAGGAGCTTGGAATTTATTTACCAAAGCTAGACACACTTCAAGCCTCGCATTCTCTTCAGTCGTTTCCCCGATTTGCTGTAATACATAAATATTAAAAACTATATACACTAATATATATTTTAATTAGCATTTGAATTTGTAGGTCTGAAACCCAGCTCATATAGAGAATAAATGCATTGTATTATGCATTTTAATATTATGAAGGCAAAAGTTTGTAAGGTTGGATGGATGGATGTTTGTAACTCTTTCAAACAAAAACTACTGAATGGACTTGAATGAAATTTGACACCTACCCATTGGTTACATCGTAACTTAGCACATAGGGTACTTTATGTATGCGGGTAAAGCCGCGGGAAATAACTACTATAATATAATAAACTTTGTATCTGTATTTATATGTATATGTATAATAAACAGTGTATCTGATGTCCCTCTAAGTTTTTATCAGCGTACCATTGATGACGTAAAAGACCTTTTATTATTTACTTTTTACATCTTCCTCTTCAAATAATAAGTTATGTATGTATTGTTTTCATAGGAGAAAAAAGGTCGCCACCTACTTCCGTGTACAACTCTGACTATAGTGTTGATACTCAGGACTCGTCTGACTAGGACGCCCGTTAATTATTAATATTTGATAGGAGACAATTCTTTATTAATATACGGAACCCTTTTTTCGATCTAAATGCTCCCCTTTAATCTTAGGATCCCCGGGCACGACCCGGCCCGGTATCGAATACATACCATGTCAACATCACGTGACGCAAGTTGTGCCACAGTGGGTACTTCTCCTAAATCATCCAATAGTTCGTTCAGTCGGTCATCAGGATTCGGAGCTATGATATGCTGGTATTCCTCTAGAAGCGCATGAGTGTCTACAATTTCCTAAAATATATACTAATAATAGATAAATTGTACTTTTCAATTTGACACTACACTACGTACCATGGATTTTTATTTGTAACTTGATTTTTTTTAATTTGAACGTCTTCGTCTTAAGGAGAGATTTTTTTTGTTTTGTATAAAATCTCACTAATATATTTGATATGTTAATGTGTTTTGTTTCTTTCAATGAAATAGAAGAATAAAAATTTTACTTAGGATTTTCATATATTGATATCTTATGAGATTTAGTGAGATTTTCTCAAAAAGATTTTGGGTGGACCGAACTCGTGATATTATTATAGAGATTCGGTTCGACAGGCTTTATGATATGCATATTGAGATTAGTCAATCAGAGTTCAAGACTCTCAGAATAGTACTGATCAAAATGTTTATCTTAAAGATGAAAAGTTTTCAATTATTCACTACACCGTGTATTTTCTTACCTGAACAGTAATATATATATGAGGATGGTGTAATAGAGTGGCTTCCGTATACTCATCCACGGCGAAGTATTCCTCTAGAGTCGGTCCGCGACAGCATTTTTTAAACAATTCTTTCATCTTTTCGTGGCATTCTACTATAAATGGATTTAGATATCTCAGATGCTTCGACTCTTCGCCAAACTGTAAACAATATCTATACTTAATAAAACATCTCAGACGGCTATTTGAAAAAAAAATTAGCTAAATTTTTATCGAAAGTTGTTCTACTGTCGATATAGAACAAAAGCTTTTTTTTTTAATTATTATCTGTATGTTTGAATGTTTCAATGTTAGGTAAAAGCATGGACGGATTTTGAAGTGATATTGCTCAAAGATCTAAGATACATATCATCGAGCTTTTCTTAATAGGAGTCGAAAAGAGGGATATCATTTTTATAGTTACTGCGTATCTCGTAAAAACATGGTCGGATATTGAGAGGATTTCAGAGGATCAAAAATATCCCGTCCATGTAAAAGTCGTATTAATAAATATAACCTTAGTGAAAAAAAAGTTTTCAATTAAAATTATTGTTTTTAGAGTTTGTACAAAATTTTAGATAATCTGAAAAACAAAACGGGATTTTTTTTTTATATTAGTAAAGAATTCCTTATGAATATAATGGTTGATATTCGGTTCTCTTTGTCTATCCTATAAGGGACTTGGCGTAGGGAGAAATGATGTAATAATAATAATAGTGGAATAAAATAAAAAATAGTAATGAAAAGTAAACGCTGATTACTAAGTAATAGCAGGAATATTTCCAATCAGATATACAGAAATGTTTTTTCAGTCCTTTCTCTACTTATTAATTATTAATACGTACTCGTGAACGAAGTCGAAACTAATCTAGTGTAAAAAAAAAAAATATTTCGCTAGATGATTTTTAAAATAAACAGTATACGAATATAAAAATTACCCAATATAAAAAGACTATTCTGCTATCGAAAGTGCATCCATAAGTTTAATTTAATACTTGTAAAATAATAAATTTTTGATCTCACTAGTAGATTTTAAAAGTCGATGTATCTACAAGGAACAGAAAAATATTAAATTTATTTTTGAACCTTTTATATACTAGTAGTAAATATTGATATATAACTTACGCCTTTTTTTGCTGCAGAGAAATGCAAAATTTTTGCTACAGATGCCAAACTTTTTCGCTGGTCTGCTGTGAGTCCTGCTCCTCTTGGTAAATTGATTACGTGAAAAGCATCGGGAGCTACAATAACAGCGTTCAAATATTGATAATAGACTAAATTACCAATTACCTGAAAATATTGAGTATGATATAGATTTTATATTATATTTAACTCAAACGACGCCATCTAATTTCGAGGGAAAGACTAACTACTAAGTCTACCTTTTACACTGTCTAGGTGTATTAAAGTTCAATAAACAAATATATTAACATAAACATATATGATCATCAACAGTTACCTCCAACTATTATCATGAACATTTGTTTAACTATTTGTATGAAATTCAAATGTGGCTGAGTAAGTAATTGAAAATATTAATATTACTAGAAAAATAATATATATATATACCTTCAGAATATCTTTTTCAGGTATGTAAGGAAATTTCGAAACTAACATTCTGTGTAGTACCCGAGCCATATATTTAATACAAAATGGAAAAAGTTCAGTAGATTCTGTAATTTTATTTAAAAACATAGTCACAACTGTCTTGAGCTGACGGAATGCTTTTTCTAAACGCATCTTCACTTCTGGATAGTTTAAAGCTTCTTCTTGACTTACAGTATATGGTAGCTTTCTAAAAAATAATAATAAACAATTATGAATTTTTTTTTTAATATTGTTATTAGAATTTTTTATGATTAGAATCTTGGAGTACTTACGAAATTTGGCCAGTTTTCATTTCAGTTTCATTTCTCCAAGCCTTATAAATTTCTACTGGACCAGTTTCAATGTTCAAATCTTTATCATTCAGCATTTTTTCTACAAGTGGGCCAATAATAGTTTGGAGATTATTTAAACCAGAGAGTTGTCTTGACAAATTAACTGCCATTTTTAATACTAAAGGTGTTGATGCAATCACATCAAATGGCTTAAGAACTTTGCATCGTATCTCTTCCTCTAATGTAAATCGGAACAATTTTAACAAAAGATACTCATCTCTGTCATATGCACCAAAATTATATAGGCTTAAAATTACATTTTGTAAAAAGAGGTTAGTTTTATTCTGTGGTATACAAAAAAGAAGCTTCGAAAGGTACGTTGGGTTAGTTTGTAGCTCGTAAAATAAATGCTGATATCCATCCAATAATCTTTTACTTTCTTTTGTCAGTGATTTTAGTCCTTTCACTGCTGTTGTAACTGTCATGAGTGATCCCTTACCGTCGTGACGATTTTGATATACCAATTTTGTTATAGAATTGTGTTTGACCAAATTATTTAATTTCAAGCCATGTGCAGCTACCTCTTGCAAAGCAATACGATTTTGTACCAAAAGACCAATTTTTAAATCCATATCATCTATTTGTTTAGATAGTTCCTGATTTTTCCTTATTGACTGGACAACTTCGGATTTTAAAGTCTGTAATTCCATTTCTCTTTCGTAATCTTCCGTTGAGGAAGCTAACAACGGCATGAACTTTTTTACTGCTTTGAGAGGAGGATTAATTGAATAACATAAAGAAGTAAAGGCTTCACGAGCTCGTCGTCCGCGCCACAAAGCTTGAATTTTAATTATTTTTTGTTCCTGTCATAAAATACAAAACTAAACATAGGCATCTTTAGAATTGATAAAAAAATTAATAACAAAAAGAATAATTCTTTATAACATAAATTAAACTCAAACTTAAAATTAAACTTTTAGAATTTTATCGTTTCCACATACGAGATGCATGTTACATATTAGTAATAAAAAAAAAAAATATTATAAATGCGAAAGTTTGTAAGGATGGACAAATAAATGAATTGATGGATGTTTGTTACTCTTTCATGCAAACGCTACTAAATGAATTTGAATAAAATTTGGTACATGGATAGGGTAAAATTTGGTATTTGCTTAGAACATAGGATATTTTATGTACTTACTAATTCAGGCGGGCGTAATTGCAAGATACAGATAGCAAAAAATAAAAATAAAATTAATCTACCTGAACTTTATACCATGCCATGGGATTCTGTTTCCTCTCATATTTCAATTTAGCCTCTATAGTTTTCATTTTTATCAACATTCCATATTTTCTTTGAATCAATACTCGTTTCCACCATGCTTGAATCTTAATAATATATCCTACATTGTCTCTAAAGTATTTCAGTTTTCGTTTCAATTTTAATCTAAACAAGTATCCTCTACAATAGGCCTGTAGTTTTATGATAGAACTTTCAATAATCATCTGTTTATATTTATTGACATGATGTTTATTTGTTTTTTCAATGAGAATACTGACGTCTTTTCTAGACAAATATCGAGCATAAGGTACAAAATCTTTAGGAGTATTCCAACTGTACGTGTAAGACTCCACATCAATATAAACTGTATTTCCAGCTTCAGTGTGGCAGACAATCCAAGGACAAATGTGATGCCCTCTCTTCTTTAAAGCTTTAGAGAATATTTGGAAGTAGATATCTATACATGAACATTCTATCATTACTGAACCAGAGAGTAGAGGGCACGAAAGAGCGTTCCAAAAATCATTGACATCATTTTTTATAACCGCAAGATTCAGGCGAACTAAGACGTCAGTCAGCTCCTTTACTCTCATTGACTCTGTATTGACTTCATTAATAGCATCAACGATGTCGTCTAGCCACAGGTTTTGTGTTTCTCTATGTACCAATTTCTTTTTTAACATCCGCAAATATAAATTTTGTTCATCTTTATGCAAACGTGATGTAATTTTTATAGATGAAGATTTAAGCAATGTCATTAGTTTTTCTGAATCTTCTTCAAACACTGCTTTATTAATGCTATCTACTACTTCCACTACTAAAATAGAAAGAAAAGCAATTTATTGTAATGTCAGACAAAAAGGAAATAGAATAAACCTATAATATTTTTAAAGTTCAATATTTAATACATACATTCCTCATCATCATCATCTTTTGTATTAACCATTTCAATAGTATCACAAATATCTTCTAATGTAAGAAGAGGACATGCGCAGTGTTCCCTGATCTTTACTTGGAGTGCATTTACCAAAGCTGAAAAATAACGACGTCTACAATGCGACCGAAGACCTTCTAAATTAATTTGTTTCGACATAAGAGAATTCCAAACAGCAGCCTCGTCTCCTCTGTCCACAGCTTGAGATATAGCAGCTATAGACGCTAAATAAGATACAGATGCTGCTATCTCATTTTCATTTAAATTTCTTTCCATCTCATATTTTTCTAATTTCATTTCTTCAAATAATAAAGGTGCAGAATATTTTTCAATTTTTAAATTCAAACCTAAATTTGCATTGATTAATGCTGAATACAAATCATTTGGATTTCCATTATCTAGTGCATTATTTACTTCAGTTATAGCGCTTTTGCGATTATTGTGTTCATTTGATTTTTGATTCCCTTCATTTATAATATTTTGGAACACCTTATTCCAATTTGTAACATTTTCTACTTCAACATCCTTGCTGCACTCCATGATTTCTTTTACCACATCACAATAAAAATCTATATTATTGGAGTCAAAATTATTTATCTTCACCCAGTCTTCATTAAATATCTTCTGCAAATTACTGATATCATTATTTTGGCAAGCAGAACATAAAGCTTTCCACAAAAATTTATAATTGACAGCAGTAATATAGCCCTGAATTTCAAATTGTGTTAGTAACTCATCATACTCGTCAGGGATATAAGTGTCATTAAGCGATCGGTTAAGTGCATTTCGGGATTTTTCATGTTTTGCTGCCTGTAAAACTTTTTTATACTCATCTATAAGTCTATTTTGAACATATTGTAATTTAAGTTGAGGATTCAATAAGGCCGATGTAATAGATTTCTCCGTATCTAAAACTTTATTTAATGCTATAATTGCTTTATAGAGGCTTCCATTATTATCTGCATTTTTTGATAATATTCCACCAATCTTTTGAAAAATAGGAAGTGGATGTTCACATTTTTGTAAATCTTTAGAAACAGTGTCTAGTTCCTCATCTGAAAATAGAGAAGATATGCACTACAACATCAGTAATTATATATGTATATGCTCAATTATTATTGTAATGTCTGAAGTACTGTAATGTAATCTTATCAATAAAACTAATATTTTTTTAGAGACAAGATTCAGAAAAGAATATTAAAAAATATGGTAGGGCTTAGATTCTGAATTCTGACACCCATTATCTAAAATTACAATTTGGTTCCATTATTGTTATATTTTATTTTGTACTCATTTGTTATATAGAAATTATAAGATAGTAAATATTATTTTTAATAGGTAACAGCTAACAAATATAGTAAATTTAGTTCGAAATTCGAAAAAGAAACTCTCGTTACCAGGACTGCCTTTTAAGTCGTTTTATGTCGTTTGCCAAATTCCTGCTATTATTAAAAAAAAAAAAACAAATGGCATTTTCATCTTTTTGAATTTAAAATTCGAAAATAATGTTTTTAGATTGGTCGAATAGTTTTATTGTATCGTCTATGCAAAAGTGACAAGTCGGTTGTAAAAATGTCAATGTGCTCACGGAGCACTTCAAAAAAATTGTTGTCTTGTTTGTGGTCAAGTTGCCACTATTGTACTAGAAGATCGTAAGACGGTTACCGCTGACTGGTATACCGCAGTTTGTTTGCCATAAGTCATCACCGAATTTCGAAAAAACAATTCAAGACGTCATATGATACTGCACCATGACAATGCAAGTTCGCACACCGTCAGCCAAAACAAAGATGTTTTTGAGCACCCAAAATGTCGAAATTTTAAATCATCAGCCTTACAGCTCTGATTTAAGCCATAACGATTAGGGCTTACCTAACGATTTTTTTACGTTCTCCAAAATTAAGCAAAGTCTTTGCGGTCAAACGTTTTAACTTACCCGAAAAGCTGTTGACGCATACAAATCGTTTGTCCATATTAACTACCCCCACTTCGGAGTAGAATAAATGTTTCAAAAACTGATTTGAACGCATGCAAAAGTCTTAAATATCGCGGCGAATTCTTTTAAAAACAATAAATGGTAATAATCTATTAGATTGTCTATACTGATTTCAAACGATACAACTTAAAGGGCAGCTCTCGTAAGTCGTCGTTAAATTTAGTGCAGAAATTATAGCGGAACTCCGCTGAAACTGTAAATTTACCGCAAATTTCCAGCTGGAAACAAGACTGCGGGATTGCAAATCTTTGAGACTAGTAATATATCCTTAGTAAATAAAATACATACCTGTAAAGACAGCTGTTCCAAACACATCATGAATCAAAGGTGCTTTACCAAGTTTAAACAAATGCGTACTAAGAGCGTGCAAACAATAAATAACTCGTGGCATGTTTTTCTTGTCATAAATATCAGTGGTTTCGGGTTGAAAAGTCTAAGGAGAAACAAATATTCAAATAGGATATGCAACTAAATTATACTAATATTATAAAGCTGAGTTTGATTGTTTGAACGTGCTAATCTCAGGAACTATTGGTTCGAATTAAAAAAATATTTTTGTGTTGGATAGTCCCATTTATCGAGGAAGGCTTTAGGCTATATAACATCACGCTACGATTAATTGGAACAAAGCATTAGTGAAAAATGTTGTAAAAATGGGGGAAATTATTCATATTTGAGGGCTTTCGCTGCGTGCGTTACGTAAACGGTTCAAGTTAACCAAAAAATATGTATAAAAGAATTATTCTTCTTTAAATGATATAAAAAAAGTCCGTGACATCTATTAAAATTGACTCACTATAACCTTTTTTTTGGTAATCAAATTTAGTCGAAATTAATGCATTAGTGCCAATTATTTGCCAAATAGTTTTATTAATATAATAATATAAATCCTTATCATAATAACGGAAATTGACGCGGACGAAGTCGCGGGCAACTACTAGTATAATTCTATACCAATGAGTACCAAATCAAATCTAATTTTGTTTTACAAATAACAATAATTTATATTTAAAGTTCTAAACACCTATAAAATTGAGTAACTCCTGCTGTTAAAGACAGTTTTTGCTATCTATATTGTTATTTTGAATAATTACTAGATTTATACTAACTGTACTAAAAGATATACTATTTTTTTTTTCATGAAAATTAACCACGAATAATCAATGGATAGATCAGGCTTTTTAGGTTTAATATATCTATTTTCTTGAGATGATTGATGATGCTCTTTGCATCTTCAGGAGAAAAAAAAGGTTGTTTTAAGCTGTATAAGTTACTATCATTTTTTAACTATCTCACAGGAACTCTTTAATTTTTCGTGATTAAAAATATCTAAAATATTGACCAGAGATGTAAGATACCATATATACAAAATTTTATTTAAATCGGTCCAACATTATCGGGAGATTAGCTTGTATAAACAAAAAGAGAAATAAAAAAATTTAAAAAATCTGGATGTGTTCTATTTCACTTTTAATATCCCCCTGAGTCAGTTTATAGAGTTCTTTTTTCTATGTACAGACATTTAACCTCTACAGTTTTATTATATTATATTATATGTATACATATATATATATAATATACCATACATATATAACATATATATATATATATATATATATATATATATATATTAATAATGTTTTTTTTAACTTACCAGGGGTAACTCAGTTCTTTGTAAAATTTGAAGAAATTTATTTATATTATCTGTATGTTTGAACTGTAGACCCATAACCTGAAAACCCCATGATATATAATCATTACATAAAGACATTTTTAAAAAGGGCTAAGTTTCAAATATCATGCATATGGCCACTCCACTTTCTCAAAATAGTTTCATTATCAATACTTATATTAAAAAAATTTAATGGAAACTAAGAAGACAATAATTATGGAGGGGAGCAGATATAAAAAAATACACTCATGACTATTCAGATTTTTCAACCAATTTCTAAAAGCAGGAGGTTCTTAATTTGGTTGTATTTTTTTCGTTTTTATTTGTTACCTCATTCATAACTCTGTAAATTATAAACCGATTTGGAAATTTATTTTCTTATCAGAAAGAATATATTTACAGATTGACCTCATAGAAATTTTATTAAAATCAGTTCAGTAGTTTAATTTTGAAATCAAAATACTGGTTTTGCCACTATTAAAGTTGGATTTTTGTGAAACAATCTTAAATTATTCATAGACACAATTCAAGATTGTTTTCCTTAAAAAAGGTGTGTTATGTACTTTTAAATATACATTTCATACTGCTGAAAACCATTATTTCAGTCTAAGGTGGGCCAACCAAATAATTTATATTATATTATATTAGTGTGAGTATTGCGTCTGTGCATTTTCTGCTAGATTAGCAAAATAATATATTTTTTGGCTTACCATGATCTACTGGACTAATGGTGGCAAAGCAAGTGATCAGCTAGTTGGCCACTCCTGGTATATATTCCTAACAATGGATTACTAAGCTCTATTTCTAACAGTCCTCTCCTACTAGTATTTTAGTTTGTAGGTGTACTTGTTAGTCAATTTTAATTTTTTTTTAATAAAACTTCTAAAAACACTACATATTGAAATTTAGGAATTATTTCTCTTTAACAAAATTTACATTATCATCATCTCAGCATTTAACTATCCACTGCTGAACATAAACCTCCCCATTGGGGAGATTTTGCCAGTAGTTGCTATGCTTGACAGGCAGATTGGTAACAGCAGTTAGGCTTTGGAGATGTTTTAAGAGGGACACTGCTGCCCATCCCTCACCCTCCCTTAGTTGCTTCTTACAACACCCATGGGAAAGGAAGGGGTTTCCTATTCTATGCTGGGACCACACAAAGTTATAAAATTTACATAATATTAATCAAATATTAAATATGTTTCATTCATCTATAGACACAACATTGACATAACAGATATATATATAATACTAGAGAGTTCATTACATAGTATTGAACTTTCTCATATTGTATTCTAGCCTCAAAAGCTTAACATTCCACTTAATCACCATGTAACTCATGTGCAATCTTGTATTGATAATCTGAATAAGGTAGCCTAAAATTAATAGTTGGGTTAAATCAAAAAGAAGTATAAATGTTCCATTAAATGATTTCAGAACAGTGACAACATAGATTAAATTTTTACCTTATAACGTCTTTGGTCAATATCATAAATTTTATTTAATGGAAGTGCTTCAGGAGCTATAAAATTCCCAAGCTTAGCTAAATAAACTCCATTGCGTAAACTTTCCTCAAAATCGGTAGCATGGGGTAATTTTTCTTTTAAACAAGTTTCCATCCATATCTTTGCCTCTTCCAATCTACATAAGTACTCATATGCAATAGTTCTTTGTCTGATTACATCCATCTCATGTCCAGTTTTTCGAATATCTGAATCACCTTAAATATAATAATGTTTAATAGATTTATTTATTTATTCTTTATTGCATCACTTAAAGAATAATATATTTTTCCGTAATTTAATTGCGTGACTGGTACAAAGTTTATTGATTAGAATAACAAGTAGCCTATGTTCTTCTTTATCATACATAGTATTTGTATATTAAAATTTCGTTACGATTCGTTAAGCCAAAACAAACAGACTTTCACATTTATAATATTGGTAAGGATATATTACTACAGATTTCATTTTAATACCAATTGTACTTAATAAAATACAATAGGACACAGAAAGTACAATAATAAGTTTTATTATATTTAACTTACAGTCATCGATCTTTCCAATACGAATTTCATTAGTATCTTTCTGAAGAAAAGACATGGTTACCAATGATCGTTTTATTACAATATCTTTAAATTTGCAAAACTAGCATATTTATTTAATAAATGTAACTTAAACCACACACTACTTCTTCAATAAAGTAAAACTGAATTAGATTATAATAGGTAAGCACTTTAATCAATAAGTAATAGCCATCATTTTGGAATAAAAATATTTAAATTTTTAATTCCTGATACAAGTAAACAACTATTCAAAACATTCGTCGGTTGAATCCATAGATTTTTTTTTATTTATTGTGACTTTGGCGAAAGCCATCAATCAAAAGGTAATAATCCATAGATTATTTTATTTACCATAGATTAAGGATAGTACCAGTGGTTGAACCCATAGAACAAAATATAACACACATCAGGAAAATCAGAGAAAATAGAAAATATAAATGCTACACTAAGAACAAGAAATTACCCTAAGAACAAGGAATCACATAGAAGGAATGATAAAATAAAAACTATAAATCATATGGTTGCCTTCTTTCTTCTTATGCATACTAAAGAGGATGAAAGATACACCATCAGTAGCTATTTTTCTCAATTCATAGCAGGTTAATAGAAATGCGTAAAATTTTTATAAGAATATTCATTGTAATTCAGTTCACTATGAAATATTCAGTGAAATAATTTGCTTTTTCAACCTCGCTCTGACTTAATCGTTTTGTGACAATCGCACGCTCAAGCCACGCGTTTGGCTGGCCGATGGCGCCTAATAAACAATTGAAGGACTACTGTGTTACTTTGCAGCGTTTGCATAAATACGATAAATATTATTATGTAAGATTAAGCCATGTTTTAGTGAAGAAATTTGTTTTATTATTAATCCAATTTTATCGTAATTTTACAATGTTTTTTGTGGGGGAAAAAATATGTGATTTATTTATTTATAGGATTGCCAACATAAGATACAGCTAAACAGTTCAATACAATACACTGGTAGATTAGATCTAACTGTTCTTATATTTATAGACAACCATAGTATGCCTTGAGTTTGATAAGCATTAAAATAGAATTAAATTATTAAATGTCATTATATGAGTAAAGATATTAATAATATGAATAATAATATAATATAAATAATGGAAATTGTATTTAAATTATTATAAATTATAAATAAATATAATGTAATGGAGAGGTATATCAACATTTTATATTAGCCATGAATACAGATGATTTTAGCCGAGAGTCCAATCTCACCCACCACTTTTGCACAATGTGAGACCTATTTATTTTCAGAACACTATTAGTCTACCAGGATAAACCCAGGTTTATCCAAATTAACATAATTATATTAGCATACCACTTAGGTTTATAAATATATATAGGTATATACATAATGTCTATAGAAAAGATTATTATTATTATATCTACCTTTTTGCATTGAATTTATTACAATCTGTCATAATATATACTTAAAAAGAAATATTTAAAAATAAGAAATAATTCGTTTTTCGTGGTTTTACTGCTTTAATTCTTATTCTTATATTTCTTATAGTCTTATAAACTTTGTTTTTATATCTAATATGAATGAAGAATTTAATGATTTTGGACCAGAATATAAATTGAAACCTGTATCAGTTTGTAAATGTATAACAGAAGGCTCATTATCCGAAAATTTTGTAATATCGGCACGTAAACAACAGATTCTAAGTACTGTAGCAAGAACAGAAAGTTATTTAAAAGAACGCCGTATACCTGAATTATTACGCTTTCTAGTGACTAAAGTAATTGCAGAAACATCCAATAAGCCAATGGATTATTTGGAGAAGTTACTTGATGATTGTATGTTATTTCGTGCTGGTCATGGACCAGCTCCAGTTTTGTATGAAAGAAGGTATGTATTTGGCGTAAAGATATTTTGTTTATTTCATCCCAGACTATTAATATTTAATATATTTATATTCAAATACATAGATAGGAGGGATAGGGATTATTAGTAATGGGGAAGTTAATTCCTATTACTAATAATATATCCTACCAGGTCGGCCTCCACGCGGTTCTTTCTGGAAACCATTGTGATTAATTCTTGTCGAATCCGTCACAAACGTCAAATTTACCTGGTTTTATAGTCACCTATCGTCCCTCACTGATAACCCGCCTGTGTATACCGGTAGCGCTGACGGGGTTACTTTTTCATTTTTCCCATACCTAAATATAACACATTTATTTCAAGATTAACATTTAAATTGTATGATGTCTAAATTAACCAATTATTGTAAATTGAGAGTATTAATTAAATCAAAGGAATTAGTGGAATGGATTTTCGTAAGATAATACCTATTTCAGTAAAATATTCTGAATTGTTTTGTAGGCACCTGGAAGCAGTAATTAAAAGTTTTGATCCTGGACAACGGGGCTGGTTAAGTACTGGGCAAATACGTCGAATTTATACTACTTTGGGCATTACTCCTCCAGAGATTTTTGAAGATAAGACCTCTTGCGAAGTAGTTTTAAACAGCTTAGAAAAATCACAAGAAATAGATTTGTTTAGTTTGGTGTCAGCAGGTTCATATACAGATGACGATGAATATTCTAAGTGAAATAGATTGCAATAAAAAATAACGAGTCATTATTATTTAGCCTTTAAATAACTATCGAGATATATTCTTGCAAAAATTGAAGGTTTCCAATCTCTGATTAAAGGTACCTATCAATCCTTAGAACAAATATTTATAAATATGAATAAATAGGTACATAACTTGAGATGGTTTGTCATCTACAAATCTATATGTATCTACAGTACAGGAGGTAATTTTCTATAATAGTCAAGACTGCGCAAAGAGTGCATCAACCAGCGGCAATACTCTTGTAAAAAAAATGATATCACAACACTTAAGGACAGAAGAGAAAAAATGTTGGGAGTCTTGATACGACACGACGAACTTATGGACATTATATAATAATAGAAGGTAAGATAGAAGGAAGGAGGGGAAAAGGGAGACCAAGGCATAGTTACACCAAGCAGATCAAGGAAGGAGTTGGTGTCGTGTCGTATCAAGAGGTGAAAAGACTCGCTGAAAATCGTAATGAGTGGCAAGAGCTCTTAAATTGGATAGATAGATAGATAGAACATTTAAGGGTTAAAAGCGCAAGAGGTAAATATATATATATAACAAAATAACAATATAATAAAACTTACAGCTACATAGGTTACAATTTAAAACAATCTTTCTGAGAAACTGGTCTCGGTACTAGGACAACTCGTTTTACAGATTACCAGGCTCCAGGTTAAAAAAATAGCGATTTTCATATGGTAACAAAAAAATGTCATCTGTCAACTGAAATTTCGAGGAATTGTTATTGGTTTGGCTTCAAATTTCCTTTAAAAAGTGGTGAAAATGTCGAAGAAACCTCTTCGATCGCAAGCAAGAAATATTGTTTTCAATGTTTATCAAAGAATACTTGATGAACAAGGTGCTATATATAAATGAATTAGTAAAATTTTATAAGTTACATGTATGTACTAGTATGGGTGAAAGGATAAGTGAAAAGTGAGCGAGTGCGTGTGACCACGTCCGTGTGTGTATGTGTGTGTGTGTGTGCGTGCGTGCGTGCGTGCGTGCGTGCGTGCGTGCGTGCGTGCGTGCGTGCGTCCGTGTGGGCGCGCGTATGTTGGAGAAAGTGCGTGTGTGCATAATCACTACATAGTATAAAACAAAGTCGGAGTCGTTGTCTGTCCGTCCCTATGTATGCTTAAATAAAACTACGCAACAGATTTTGAAGCGTTTTTTTTAAATAGAGTGATTCAAGAAGAAAGTGTATATGTATAAAACATGCATAACAATGTGGAGAAACACTGACAAATTTAGAGGTTTCTATTGTAATGTCGTAAATAAACACATTTTTTGCGCTTACATTGTAATCGCTGGCTGAACCCCACGAGATAAATCAAAATAATGTACTACAGTATTGTACACCTTAAAAAGGTCAACAAAAATTTCTGCGATGGTATATGTCTATCTCTTAAGGATAACCCACAATAACCAATTTTTATCCTTTACATTTTACGGGAAAAAATGGCTTATTTACGAAGTGATTTTAAGCAATACATCATTAATTTTTATTCAATTAAGTACCTTAAATACATTCTCCATTTAATATAGATCAATATGGCCCTTTACAGCATGTAATTAAATAAATCGTTTCGAAGATATTACAGATTTAAAATGACATAGGGATGCGGCGGTACCGGCTCGGCCATCGGCGCGTGCCTATAAATAGCGTGTCGAATTTTGCTCTATAGCACTTTATCATGTTTGTATAGTCTAATGATAAAAAAGCTGTAAATGTTGATTATAAGGACATTCTGTAGTAGGTAGGTATATTTAGTATTAGCATTGCACCCGTGCGAAGCCGGGGCGGGTGTGTATGTATAATGTAGGTTTATTAGTACATGCGCGCGTGTGTGAGTGTGAGTATATTCACGGTTTCGAATGTGTATGAATTTTATTATGTATTATATAGTACAATTATGAAATCTGTACAGTTGTATTTATATTCACAGTTAGGTATCGATAAAATAAAATAAATAATATAGTATCTAAAACAGACATGTAGTCGATGTGTATTAAAGATACTTCATTATGTATTATTGATTGATTGATATATTTATAGAACTGTTGATTTTTCACTGCTTCGCGACCTTCAGCAACCCCCTTATAGAGGCTCGGGGGAGACCCCCAAGGGGTCGCGACCACACTTTGAAAAACACTGGTGTGCATAATTCAGTTTTTTTAACACTACAATAAGATTTTTTGTCTCTGTATAAGTCAGTTTTTGTAGCCAATTAATTACAATATTTTTATATCTGTGTCTTGGATGCATATACATATAGAAAGAATATCATTAATTTTGTAACAGATATATGATTCAAGAAACCTAAAGAATTTGTTTGAAAATGAGGTGTTCCATTTTTTACTTGTACAAACCAAGTCCTTACGACGTCTATTTTCAATAATTTGAGGATCGTAGTTTTCGATCCATATAGATTACTTTTTTAATATAGAATATAAAATGAAAAGCTGTCGTGCAGTGAGGACACCACATCTACGATAAAGATGAATTGAAATGGGAGAGAATAGTCCTCTGAACTTAAGGACAGCCCTCTGGGCACGTAATAATTTCAGAAGATAGGATTTGGGGGCACTACCCCATAATGTTATACAATAAACAAGAATGGATTGACATAGTGCCAGATAAATTATTTTTATAATTTTATTATCAGCGACACGTCGCAAATTTTTAAAAATGTATATTAACTTACATACACGCATCGTAAGTAGATATATATATGTGATTAGAAGTTAAGATTTTTATCGACTATAATACCCAAGTAAGTTCCAATGTTTACTTTTAAAAGGTGAAGACATTTGCACAAAAACAATGTAGGGTTGCAATAGGAATGTGCTGTTATATTGTTCTCATTACAAGTTTCACCATGAGACAGCGAAGAGCTGTGTCATCAGCAAAAGCAATAATTTTTTCCATTTATCAACTCAAGTTCGCAGAGATCATTAATATATGCTAAAAATGGCGTAGGATCCAGTATGCTGCCCTATGGGACGCCGTGAGTTAGCGTAATACTATTACTTTTAAATAGATCATGCTGGATACCTGTTATTCCCAAGTTTTGTAATTTATCAAGTAATATTGGTACAGAAATCGTGTCAAATGCTTTTATTAAATCAAGAAAGATTCCTATAGTTTTTTTCTTTTTTATCAAGGTTTGAAACTATATAATTTGTTAATTCATGTATGGCATCATTAGTGGACTTATTTTTTCTGAATCTATATTGAGTGGGGGATAGAACCTATAATATAACTCGTATAGAAAATCCAACGTTTGCGAAGGCCTTTTTTGTGCTACTGTTAAATCAATGTCATTCATTGTATTTTGACAACCGGCTGTCATTAATGTATAATTTTTACTTTTAGGTATTTCAATTTTAGTAATAAAATTGTTTTTATTGTTTTACGAATTTCGCATTATGCATTATAATAATTGATACATAAAATTATATATATACGCATTACATATATACACGTTGATATAAATTAAATTACTTCTTTTTACTACATAAGCAACAGGCGATGTGGTATTGTTCATTCATGAAAAAATACTATAAGAGTATTAAAAAATGTTTATGATTGGTTTGTGTATACATCTTGTGTTTTTATTTTCAATATTTGATATTTATTTTAAATCACCGATTGTTAAAAACGTGGTTCCTTATCAACCTCATCATGAAGCAGTCGCCGATAGACTTGTTCTCTTTGTGGTAGATGGTCTAAGAGCAGAATCGTTTGTTAATTACACTACTATGCCCTATTTAAGGTATTACTATAACCTGTTTAAATCTATATTTCTTTATTTTTGATATATCTATATATTCATATTTAGATTGTTTGTGTAGAATGTATTAAAAAAGTTTGTTTGATTTTATAATAGATATTCTTTTTATACTTGTATGGGTACTCAGATGGTCTTAAGATGAGAAACATGATTATAATATTATGGTCCTGTGCTATTTGGTAGTTATTATTTGCAATTTATGTGAATGCATCACATATATTTATAATTTGTAGCAATTAACTTTAGTTTGAAATGAGAAATTGCAATACAAGTTGAGTGGTAGAATTATAAATTACTAACTATATATATTGTCATAGTCGTAGAATACTGACGGATTTATATATATATTAATTATATATATATATATATATATAATTTATCAAAACATTGAGCTATTATTGAAATACATATTCTTACTTATTTAAAGTGATTTTAATATTCTATAGGCAAATTGCAAACTCGCATGGCAGATGGGGGATATCTCATACAAGGATGCCTACTGAATCAAGACCAGGCCATGTGGCTATCATAGCTGGCTTTTATGAAGACCCATCAGCAATAGTCAAGGGCTGGAAAGAGAATCCTGTAGATTTTGACTCAGTTTTTAACCAATCTATTTACACATGGTGTTGGGGTACTTATGACATTCTAGAAATATTTACTAAAGGAACAGTCAATAGTCACATATATGTAAATAAAATGGATCCATATGATCAAACATTCAGTGCAGATAAAAATACAACTCTCTTGGACAATTGGGTATTTGAGAGTGTTAAAACATTTTTTCAAAATGCTCATTATGACAAAGATCTATATGAGAAGTTGCATCAAAAGAAAATTATCTTTTTTTTACATTTATTAGGAACTGATACATCAGGTCATACTCACAAGCCAATGTCACCGTAAGTTATAATTCATTATTCACATGCTATGCTATGCTATTAAGCAATTAATGGTACGTGTGAAGATGGCAATGGCAGTTAGTCATTGTACTCATATTTACTTTTACCAAAGTTCTATCAAGAGCATGTTTTGTGTGTACAATTTATGTAGTATGTCATTGTAAAATATTAGTTAGTCATTATAAAATATACTAGAAATAGATCTGAAGAAATAAAAATGCTTCAGAAAGACCTGCCTATGGGGTGTTTAGTACAATCAAATAAGGGTTCTTTTGGAATTTGTATGTATGTTTCTTTTTTATTTATTTACATTTTAATTTCAGGAATTTTTTAACAACAATTAGGTTTGTTGATGATAATATAAAGGCTATTGAAAAATTGATAAGAAATTTTTATCATGATGATAAAAAAACAACATTCTTGGTAACATCCGATCATGGCATGACAGACTGGGGTAAGAAATTTGTTGGATACCTAGCCATCTATGTGTTCATCACTTCTATAAGCCCTTACATAGGGTTTGAATGCCCACGGCATTTACTTTTTATAACATTTTATAAAATTTTGAAAGTTATTAAAAGGCTAGTATTGTAGAGGTCACTTATCTGTAGATATTATAAGATATATAATTGGTGTTAAGATCTGTGAAGTAAAGGGTACAGAATTAAAGGTAAAATAAAGTCTTTTTTATACTTTTGTAAAAAAAAAAAATATATATATATTACTGTATCAATGACAGTCTTAAATTCCAGTTCTGACCTATATGTTCCAGGATTAGCCAAGTTGGATAATAATAGTATTTTTAATTTATTGTGTTGGCGGATTTAGCCAACATGCCATACCTAACATAAATTAAGTACTGGGGAAGAGGATTGTTAGCAGTGAGGATTAGTGGCTCCATTGCTAGTTTTTTTTTTAATGGATGATAATGGAATGGCTATCCTTTCTGTGCTGTCTGTTTACACTGGCGGGGCATGAGTGAGGGATGACAGGTGAGAATGAAAAGGCAGTTCAGCCAGCCCATCATGATGAATACACTTGGGATTTATTACGATGGTGTCCGGGGGGGGGGGGGGAGGGCCGCATGGGGGTTGACCTGACAGGGTATATTACTAGTAATGGGATTAGTAATCTGCAATACTAATAATCCTTTCCTTCCATTGCTAGTAATATACCTTGATAAGTCAACCTTTACACAATTCACCTTGGAATTAATTATGATTAATTTGTTATGATAAGTCTACTGACCGCACAATATCCTCACCCATCATCATTCACTGGTACTCCGCCAACATATAACTATAGTGCAGGCAGTATTACTCTTTTCATATCATCTCATAAAAAAGATATGTATTGTATTTAGGGCATAAAAAAATTTTGTACTGGTAAATATAGCAACAAAACATCAGTCAGAGTGTCAGAAATTCTGTAAACAATATTTTTAATATCATTTATACTTGACCTGAGATTGTATGGGTTTATGTTTATGTTTACCATTAATTTATGTTGTGTTACTTTCACTTTTTTTGTTTTTATATATAAATAGGTTCTCATGGCGCTGGACTCGACCATGAAACTAAAACTCCTTATGTAATATGGGGAGCAGGAGTGCAACAAGTAAAAAAGTGGCAACTTGATCTTGACCCAGAAACAAATGGTATGTCATTAAAGCACAGATTAGATATAAATCAAGCGGATTTGACACCGCTTATGTCCACTATTCTATCAATACCAGTCCCTGTTAATTCTATAGTGAGTATAAATAGCAAGTTTTATATAACCTTTTCTAGTTGTCTAATTATTTAACATAATTAAAAAAAAAACAATTAAATTACCATACATGCTTTAAAACCCTAATAGCTAATTTTATGGCAGCAATAAATTAATTTATTTACAAAGCCATCTTGCATCATTTTTTTAAATTTGTGTCTACTTGAAGTATATGTTACAATTGATGGTGTTGCAGCAGTGTAAAATAAATTTTAAATTATAAAAAAAAAAAAAAAAACTACTAACACTGTATAAAGTACTCTGAATATCCAATATAATCACTTATTGTCACATTAATTTGAATTAAATACTATAAATGTATCAAACATTTTTTTTTTCAGGGACAGTTGCCTTCAGAGTTGCTAAATATGACTTTATCCAATAAAGCAAAAGCCATTTATAGTAATAGTAGGCAATTGTTATCACAATACAATACTAAGAGATTGAATGTAGAGACCAATATTATACAAAAAATATACAAACCTTATGAGCCATTCAACGCTAGAAAATATCAAGAGATTATTGAATTTACTGAAAAAATCCTTTCAAATGGGACTAAACACAATGAAGATTATGAAAAATTAATACTCTTGAGTTTAGAAGTGATGCATTTAAGTTTGTCTGGATTGAACTATTATCATAATTATTACCAGCAACCACTACTGGTTTTAGTGACACTGTCTTTTATAGGATGGATTGGAATTCTACTAAAAACGTTATTAGAACAAAAAATGCATACTCAAATAGAGTCATCTAATATGCAGAACAAAAGTTTGAATATTATTAGAAATAAGTTTCGAACAAGTTTATTAAATGCAGTGTTTTTATTTCTGCTTGTCATATTTGTATCTTTAGTATATGGTAAAATCTTGTCAGAAGTATTTATTTGTATTTTAATTTGATTATTACATTATGAATACTTTCTTTTTTTTTTCAGTACAAAATTTGCCTTATCAGTATTATATTTATGTCTTGATGCCAATTTATTTGTGGTGGCATACTCTGTCTTCTTTCAATATTTGGATATTGTTAATAAAAGATATAAAAAGAGATGGGGAAGTATGTACAGTTTCGTCAGAAATTTTATATTACACGTTGGGATCGATAGCCATGGTCAGTAAGTATGTCATTTTATACCTAATTTTGACATCAAAAAAGATAGGAAGGGAAGTGGAAGGAACAGGTTAGCCAAAACGAAAATAGTTAATTCTGATGAATGGTCTGAATCAGATGGCAGATTATCAAGATTACAAAGCTCAAGTGAGGCCACACATGGAATCTCACCTGTGGGCAGGAGCGCCACAGTACCAACTCCTTCCGTTGGACCGCATTCAAAGTCGGGCAGCTCGAATTGTTGACGATCGGCGTCTTACTGTCCGGCTCGACCCACTGAAACTGCGTAGAGATGTTGCATCTCTGTGCATCTTCTACCGAATTTATCATGGGGAGTGCTCTGAAGAATTGTTCGGATTGATATCTGCTGCAGATTTTCACCATCGTACAACCCGCCATAAACTAAAATTTCATCCCAACCATCTGGACGAGTGGCGGTCCTTTACCGTGCATTTTTCAAGGCACTTTCTCCCACGCACAACCACTCTTTGGAATCAACTTCCAGCAGCAGTATTTCCGAACCGATACGACAACATAACCTTCAAGAAAAGAGCATATTCCTTTTTAAAAGGCCGGCAGCACACCTGCAATGCCGTAGGAGTTGTGGGTGACCATGGGCAGCGGTAGTCACTTACCATCAGGTGAGCTGCATGCACGTTTGCCCCCTGTGTTGTAAAAAAAAAATCTCTACCGAAATTTCTTATGTAAAGAATCATATAATTCTGATTCCACGCGTCGTGGCAGGATTTTAATACGAATGTTACATTGATGTTTTTTGGTATTTCATAGTATATCACTATAAAATATTATTATTTCTTTATATGACATAATATCGAGATTTTAAATGAAAAAAATTTAAAATTTCCGGAAAGAATTTCCACTGGATTTTAGTTGATTTTAATTTAGACTTTCGGGAATACTACTGAAAACCGCATCTAATTTGATACATACATAAGTCTGTACTTATGTCTTTGTCTGTACAAACAGACAAAATTATTAAATGTGATTGTTTTAGCTTCTATAAGTCTTATTAAAAACTCCTCATATTACTTCTTCTGAAATATCTCCCATGTACAGACATCGTTACAATTTTATTATATTAGTAAAATGTAGATTTCATGATTTTTTAACATGCCCATATTAATTTTAGGGTATATCATTTACTCATAGGTGGATGCTGAGCATACCATTGTTAAGTATGGGGGTCTGGCCTTACCTATGTTCATTGAAAATTCATTCAACAAAATTACTATTATTTTTATGGACTGTTGGTTGTATGTTGCTTAGTATTTTTTCATTTACGCCCATAGTTGGAAAAGACACTTACATAGAGTTGGTGTAAGTATCTTTCATTATATACTTATATGAATGTGTAATATTTGTTTAAAATTAGAATTATGTATAATAACTTGCTCATTTTGAAATGTTCTTATAATTCTTTAATATAGGAAATTTATTTACAATTTAAACTTTATTATAATAGCGCTTCTTATTGTTAATCTTTTATTGTAAATATTTTGTGATTATTTTTCCAGTTATAATTTGTTAATATGTGATCTATTATTTCAAGTAATATATTATTATGATTTTAGTCTTTTGGCAGGAGCAATTTGGTCAATTGTAATTGCCGTGTACATGTGGAAATTGTTACTACCACTTTATCGTGATAATCGTGCGAGAAGGAAAGATATAGTATTGACTATTTTACAATTAGTATTATTAATTTTATCTCTACAAAATATTTATGTGCAATCAAAAAGATTTGACAGTGGTACAGCAGTGTCCCAAACATATCAAGCTATGGCATGGATTATTGCAGGTATTTAATATATTTTTAATATTTTGGACTAATCGTTAAATTTTAAGTTTCTTTTCGAAAATTTTAATAGATCTTGACATCATTTCTCAACCAACTTTAAAAAAAAGAAGATTCTCAATTCCGTTGTATTTTTTAATGTTTGTTACTTAAGAACTTAGTCATTTATAAACGGATTTGAAATATTTTTTTCTACAATAAAAGGATATACTTTCAGACTGGTTCTATAGAAATTTTATCAAAATCGGGTAAATAGTTTCGTTATTAATTTCAGATATACATATTTAAAAAAAATTAATTTAATTTTCGGTATTTTGCAGTTACGCTAATTTTGTTTAGTTCTTTGAATAACACAACTAATATTAATTAAAAATATTTAATAACATATATATATATTGCTTTTATTTCAGTTATTTCAATAGCAATGCCGTTAATGTTTTCAAGAAAATTGATTTGTCGTTTAATGGCTATTAATACATCAGTTTTAAATTTTTACTTATTATTATCAGTGTCGCATGAAGGTCTGTTTATGGTCGCACTGATATTCAATATGTCATGTTGGATTTGTATTGAATTTAAACTGCAGCATTTTAAGAATATGAAGGTAAATAGTAATTTATTTGCTTTTTGTCCAAACTTGTCACGTTTACAAATACACAAACGGTAAAAGAGAAATTATCCTAATTTCTCTAAACCCATTTCTCTTCAGAAATTGAATTTCTCCATAATTTCCCGAACAGAATTCTTTTTATCCAAATTTATGAAAAAGCCCTGAAAAACTGGTAACTCTGACCAGAAAATTCGAAGAAAATACTAGATTTCATGACGATTGTTTCGAGTCTATAAGGTACCAAACATATATACAAAACCTTAGGACTCTGCACTCTCTTTACTTTTTTTCGAAACACGCATTCTCTAATACTAACAATTCCCTAAGGTTGACTGGGAGAGAATGTTTTTAGTATTAAGTCCGCCTTGTACACATACTTGTACTGAAGAATAAATAAATATAATTTCTCAACCAAATGACACGTAAGTTAAACCGGTAGTTATTACATTAAAATATGTTGTGACTACGAACTTTCTACAATAAAATAAATACAAACACACTATAGGTACACAACCGACTGGCTAACATGGTATTTTCTTTTATGGAGAGTATTGTATTGTACCTTGCAAATGGGTATTATGTATGGTACTTGTAAATTTGAATAAACATTAATAATAATTTCGTTATTTTAGATAATTGAATACACCTTCGCTAATTTGGAGACGTCAAGCAATTTAATTCCAATGGAACGCAGTATTAGCAACCAAGATTTTAGAAGAGCTTTCTATTTTGTATCCTTTAAATGAAGTGAATATGTATTATGATTTAATTAGTATTACAACAAAAGACCTGTAAATACTACTTTAATCATTGTAAAAAGGACTAATATAAGAGTAAACTGGATAACAAAAAGAATTATTAAAATCGGTACAAATGATGAAGATATACACGTATAATAAAAAAAAAATCGATATAAATTGTTGTAAAACCAGTTATTTTGATTTAAAACCTAAACTACTGAGTCGGTAATAATAAAGATTTATATATTTTAAATATAAATATGAAAGTATATCGTTTCAGATAAAAATATTTTTCCAAATGCGTTTATAAATGGTAACAAAAAAAAAATACAACCAAACTAATAACTCTTTTTTGAAGTCGGTTGAAAAAACAAATAGGTCATTAAATGAGAGCAATAATTGGGACTAACATGGAAGTAAATCTTATTCATTGCAAATATAATATTTTTAGAATTGTCAAACTTTAGTACGTTGTCGAAAATAAATATAGGGCTTGCATAATAGACCTTTTACAGTATTTATGATATTTTTTAAGTTCTTTCGTATTTATTATTTCTGCAGCTGTCACGCACTGTAATAATTTTAACTTTTCTATAGCTTCCTCAATTTTCACATATATTTTCCTATAACTTATTTGATCAGACTCTGTACATTATTCTAGCATTTTTCGGTACAGGCAACATTGCGTCATTAAATTCATTTGAAATTAGATGGGTAACATGTTTTATAACGTCATTTAAACCATTCATTATTACTGGACTTATATTGTTGAAAACATTGGCCCCATTTTTGGTTGTGGCGTGCAGTTTTAGAGCAGTTCAGCATTTGACAAAGGTAAGAAATATAGATAACTGTACAAGTATTTTTATTTAGATAAAATATTCTTCTGCATACTAAACATTACGTGTATACGAATTTCATGAAGATTACAACTAATTTTTTATTGTTGGCCGAGATGTAATCACAGATAATATAATATTATGCCTTTTTGTTCTTTTTTTTATGGATGATAATGGAATGGTAACCCAGCCTGCGCTATCTTTATACACTGGCGGGGTAGTACTAACAATTCTTTCTCTCTCTAATACTATACTTTTTTTTTATGGGTGATAATAGAGGTCAGTTAGCCCATCGTGATGAATTAAACGAGAATTGTTCACGATGGTTTCCAGGGGGAACCACGTGGAGGTCGACATAATATTGCTAGCAATGGGGCTGTCAAACTCCATTGCTAACAATCCCTTCCCCTCCCCCTTCCTAATACTATACTAGTAATGTAATAGATCGAAGGATAAGCAAACTGAAGTGGCAATGGGCTGATCACATACCTCGAAGAACCGACAACCGATGGGGAAGAAAGGTTCTGTGTTCGGTGTTGAACGACCCTCCACTATATGGAACGACGACTTCAAATACATTGCAAGGAGTCCGTGGATGCAGGTAGCTCGGGACTCTTCCCTGTGGGTATCAGTTCCGTAAAGTACTACTAATGGGGGAGACCTATGTAGTGGACATTTAATAGCTGATATGATGATGAATGCAATAAAATAACTTCGTTGTGATAGATGACAGTATGTATTAAGGGCGGGCCGGGTGGAACGTGCTTACTGGGGTAGGTTACCCAATTCCTTGGTACCTACTCCAGGATGCGAATGGAGAATCTGAGTTTATTATATGCCTCTTGGAAAATTATCTTAAATACACTAATGATTTTAATTACTAAACTTCCTTTCGTCATGTATCATTCTATCAATTCTACCAATGAATCTTCAAGTTAGGTATAGTTCTTCTAAATCGCTATAAACCGGTATTTCATGTTTCTTTTATTACTATGATGGCAAACAAGTATACGGCCCGTCTGATGGTAAACGGGCCTATGGTAGCCTATGGACGCCAGTAACATCATTCAATGTCACGCATGAATTGTGGACCTTTAAGAAACCTTATTGAAAAGCGTGTGCATAGAATAAAGCATTCAGATGCGGCATTGAGCTACCAAAAACCAATTTATCTATGTTTAAAAGTGACTAGTGATGAGGATTAATATAACTATTGGAAGTATTAATAATAAACAGTGTACAATTATTATAAATGTGAGCTATGTTGAACTAAAACCCAATTGGAGATTATATTTTACAATATATGTATATTATTTGGTCAAAATAATATTTGTTCTTTTTTTAGGCACCTATTGGATATCTAATTATAATAGTATTAATTTATTCCAATATAATGGGAATTCAGTTACTCTACAATGTTAAGAATACGGGCAGCTGGCTCGACATTGGGACGTCAATATCACAATTTGTAATTGTCCAAGTTATTACATTATTCATTGTATTGATTAATCAATTAGCTAAGATTTTGACTGATCTTAATATTTATTCCATTGTTAATCAATTATTTGGCAAAAGTATTAAAAAATATGTTTAGACAAACATTTGTTTTATTCATAGGCTATATTTAAAAATATGAAATATATGATTTCATTACATATAGTGGTATATATATAACTAGAAACAGCCAATGCAGCAATATACTTTAATATCTCATATAAAAACAAAGAGATAATGTTTTAGGTATCAACTTAAGGAAAAAGTTTAGTTAATGCAAATAACTAGTCCAGGAATACTTTATGAACTTTATGTACATATGTATTATAATTAAGTTTATTTGTATAAAAATATTCTTTATTGTACACAAATATATTATTAAGAACAATTAATTTTTAAACAATGTACAAAGGCGAAATATTGTATGAATATGTAAAATTACCGAGTCTATTTGCACTAAAATTAGAACAGTTCTTGTTTCTAATTATATATCTACTGTTGCATGACATCATATACATAATAGCTTACATATACAATTCAAAATCCATTCTGTTTGATGTATAAAACTGGCTATCTTCTCCATGTTTTCTCACCCAAACACCTGTTTTGAAATATCCTTCTGTTGACCATTTATGCATTTGTTGTGTGGAATGTGGACCTGACACTTCTTCATCATTTTGATTCCATTTGAATTCCCAAGCTACCTCTTGATTGTCTTTTTCATCTTCATTACTGTCTGCTACATGATTTGTATTTTCACTTTTATTGTTACCCAGATTCTGTTTTTCTTTTTGATCAAAATCATCTGCATACATGTCTAAATTAGCATCCTCATTTTTACTTTTATGTTTATTTAAAATGTTATTAATTTTTTCATAGGTTTCTTGGTATATATCCATATTACCTGTCTTGGTTAAAATCTGGTTAGCTAATTCTGTTATTCTAGTAACGATTTTACTGCCTTCATCAACAATACCTGCTTTTTTCCTTTTCCAACGTTCAGCACTCGATACTTTTGAATTAGCACCTGCAATATTACAATGTGCCATTATAGAATTTAATTATAGAATATAATTAAATTATATTATAGAATTATAGAATATAAAAAAAATCTATCAGTATCAATCAAAACAGCTTATTAGCAAGAAATAAGCAAGTAATTAGGTCCTTCGATTGTTACTGATTGAATTGTTCTTCATGATGTAAATATAAATATTTTGCTTAAAGTAACATTTTAAAAATATTTATAAAACATAAATTGATGGTGTAGTTCTTAATAATCTATGCTACATCTTCACACCTAAGATACTACAATTTGAAGATAAAAAGTATTCAACTCATACATTTTGCCAGTAATGATTTATGAAACTAAAACATATTTAGGTGCTGCACTGCTAGTCTGTATTAAGAAGCTGCAAGTTACTATATAAGCTATAAAGAAGTAATTTTTATGGTTTTATTGGATGATTATGTTAAGTTATGAAATAAGGATATCCATAGAAGAATCAAAGCAAATAATACAACTCAAGATAAACAAACTTGTTTATCTTTCGAGTTGATGAAACTGATGTTGTGGTGTGATGTGATTGAGAAGTGTCAAATAACTGAAATGATCTTGTGTGGTGACTCTATATTACAACCTGCAGTGCATTTCTTATACTGCTGGCAAAACCTGCCCAAGGAGGAGGCTTATGATTAGCAATGGACAGTTAATGGCTGATGTGATGATGAAGTACAGTACATACCAAGACGTTGTAATGCTTTTGCAATGGTTTCCTTTGGCTTGATGTGTTCAAATATTTCCTTGTAGTTTTCAATTAAATCAAATTTCTCTTCAGCTTCATCATCTTCACTACTAGATTCATCACCAAGTCCTCTCATGTCATCATCTTTATGTACCTTATATTTATCTTCTGGACGACCTTTAACCTTTACCCAGTCAATGTTGTCAAGCCAGCCATCTCTGATCTCCTTTTCTTTTTTCCAATGATAATGACCTTGCATATCAAAGTGTCCTTCTTCAAGTTCTTCTTTCATATTAAAAGGAGTAATTGTTATCTGCAATTATTATCATTAGATAGGAAATAAATTATAAATATATATAAAATATTCAGTTTAAATATAATTTAATAAAGATTAAACAAACATAGTACTTTATAAATATAGTACTTTTATTGTGTCCTATTTAAATAGTAGAAAATATCTATTAGTACAGTACACAAAAAAAATGCATAAAATTAAGTTTTAATACCTAAATTAGTATACTTAATACATTTAAAATGATTGGTTATATTGTTTATATGAGCTCACTTACTTCTCCTTCTATTCCACCTACACCATCTTCTTCGCCTTCAATATCATCAGCATTAAGGACATTTCGCTTTTCTTCCTCTGCACCACTATCTTCTTCATCTGAATCTAAAGAATGCTTCTTTCCTTCCGTCTTCTTTGTTTTCTCCTCTAAGTCGAATGCTGTTGATGCAGTTCTTTTAGCCATAGTCACTGTACATTAATGTACTTATAAGTTGAACTAAGATTAAAAATAAACCTAAATTAATAAACAATTACCTATAAAACAAAGAATAAACATTAAAACGAGGAAAAACTTAGAGAAATTTTAGCGAAACAGAGATTACAGAGGAATTTTCGTGTAAAGTGCTCTAGGCACTGTCCGATTAATCGAATGTCGACTTAATCATGAAAAAAAATCAAATTTTAATCGATATACTAGCTGACTCGGCAAACCCTATTGCGGCATATAAAAATTGCGATTAAAAACGGGTTGATCGTAAAAGCGTGACAATTTGAATTTGTCTATATTTTTCAATAATAAATCATAACAAAATGAAATAAAAAAATTTATCAAAAAAATAAAAAAAGAATATTTAGGGGTGGGTCACCCTTATGATTCAGGGGTATGAAAAATAGATGTTGGCCGATTCTCAGACCTACTCGATATGCACACAAAATTTTATAAAAATCGGTAAAGCCGTTTCGGAGGAGTTTGGTGACAAACACCGCGACACGAGAATTTTATGTTTTAGAGATATATATATACCTCAACACCGTTTAGGGATATTTCATATAAAGATCTTAAATTCTAAAAATTCTGGCATTTTTTTAAAGATATCTTATTTTATAGGTTTTTTTCTAACGATTCTAAATTTTAATTTGAAAAAATACTTAAAAACAATTGATTTACGTGGCATTACTAAGGTGAAATTTGGATGTTTCGATTTATCTGTCATATTTTTGGAAATCTTTTTTGTCAAATTAATATTTTAAAGCCAGTTAGTGATTGATTCAGAACTTATGCGACTGTTTTCTTCATGCAACGGCACCATTTAAGAAGAGAGGAGATGTTACGGGCAGTAGGCATGCTCCAAACGGGGGCTACTCAATGGACGGTTGCTGAGGAGATTGAAACAAAACAAAATGTGATATCAAGATTACGGTCACGTTATTATACTACTGGTGAAGTGGCTGAAAAACACCCTGGTGGGAGGCGCATTACCACTAACCGGCAAGACCCATTTTTGCAAGTTGCCACGAGAATGTTACCAAATGTTACGGCCATGCAGTTAGTTCAAAGGCTCTAGTCAGAGCACCAGTTGCTTGTAAGTGACCAAACTGTGTGGGGAAGACTGCATGAAGCTAACCTGCATGCTTGCAGAACGCTTCGTACTCCAGCGCTGCGCCAAAGAAATCGTGAACGAAGATTACAGTGGGCCCGTGAACATTTACTCTGGGAGGATATCTGTAATACTGTTTATCGATGAGTCCCGATTTGGTTTTAATCCTGATTCACGAAGAGTACGTGTATGGCGAGTTCCTGGTCGTGCGAGCCGTTTGCGACATCCCCAGGAAGTCTATCCTTACCATGGCGGGACAATTATGGTTTGGGCGGGAATTCGTGTCGGTGGCAGGACAGATCTCGTTTGGATTAGAAACACTATGACGGTTGAAAAATATCATAACCAGGCGCTAATATCAATTGTCCATCCCCATCGACTATAAATGGGCCAAGAATTCTCACTCATGCAAGACAGCGCCCGCCTGCACATAGCGGGAGTCGTGACTAGCTGACTGCAGGAGCACGATGTGTCAGTCTTAAGCTGGCCCGCGTGATTACCAGACCTAAACCCTATAGAGCACGCGTGGGACATGCTCTAAAGAAGGGCTGTGAAGGATTTTCCTGCAAATATTGCAACTGAAGAGCAACATTTTTTGCATCTAAGCAGGACCTGGGACAATATTCCACACTAGACTGATTACTTGATTCAAAGCATGAAAAACTGCTGCTGAACCGTTATTAATGTCATGAGTGGTTTTAATGACTTTTAATTTTTGTATCATTTTAAAAAAAACTTGAACATATAGCTTTATATTTCTTTTTTCTTATAAAAACATTCATCTGTAATTTTATCATTTTTCCATTGTTTGTTTTTATTTAAATAAAATTTAAATTATGCAAAAAATATGACTTTACTTTTATTTTGAAGTGTAGTCTGTTAAATGGGCGTTTCAAAAATATATACATGTCGCATGTTATTTATATTTTCATTTCAGTAAATTGAGAAAATTCAAAATATCTCTAGACGATGTTGATGTGTGTATGTGGCATTGAATTGATCTAGCGAATCGATATTTCTTCATAGAAAATTGTCATTCTTTATAACAAATAATTTTTTAACTAATAATATTTGTTGAGCTTTTTCCACAGATGAAATCACTTCAAACCTTGACTAGGCTGTATGGGTCGTGCTCTTTGCCTATCCATTTTTTTTTTGGGCGAATTTTAAAATAACATCTCTACGAATCTGTCATTGCTGTTTTAGTAATTTGAAATCATATTAAATTTATTGTTTACGTTACTTACCAACATTAGTTTAAAATAATTTTTATATGTCAATAGGGCAAATTAACGTGTAATACATAGGTAGTTGGTAAAGTGATTTAATCAATAAATTCATGATACATCTAAAAAAATATTCATCATATTTAGACATTTTCATAACATCATCTTTATTTAAAAGCTGTGCTCTTGTGGATGGAGTTTTTGCTTAGTCTTTTTACTTCTTAATTTAACTTATGAGATTTTATTTTTCTGCAAAAAAATTTTGTCATTTTAAAGTTTTCATAGAAAGGCATATGTCGAAAAATAAGGATATCGCTTGTGCCTTCAATGTAAGTGAGAGGTAAGTTTTTGAAAATAAAATATCTTGTATGGTAAATTTCACGTTAATTGGTGAACGCTACTGGCCCTCCCAGTTTTTAACAGGAAAATTATCCACTGACAGAGTCAATGAAGAAACAAATATATTTTAAAATTTAGGTATAATATTAATAACATTTTTTTTATTAGAAAGCTTTATTTAGAAGACTTTGTATTTTAGAACTTTTTTAATTACAATTAAATATTGCACTTGTTTTTTAGTTATAAATTAAAAAGAGCAAACAAAGTAAAGGAACAACCAAATGTGGTTTTTGTTTTATTAAAAAAATTGCATGTAAGTGTTGAGACTGCAGTAAACATTAGTTGTAAATGCTATAAAAAAATTCTGATAGACTTTTAAGAATAATTTCAGAAATATTTTTAATTTAATTTTTTTTAATTAATCATTATCATTGTAGGTGAGGTTTATGCCTAACAATGGTGAGATAATGGCTGAAATGATGATGATGTTAGATTACATTAGCCTTAAGTGTTTACATAATTAAATATTTTGTACAAATCAAATATCTTTTTCAGTATCAAAGGAGAAAAGTTAATATATCCAGCAGCAACAAGAAATAGTGAACCAATACTGCAAGTTTTAAAAAGATTCATAATTTGTGATATTGATAAAATAGAAGATGTTAGTCCTATATTTCTGGAGATAGCATCTGGTTCTGGTCAACACTTATTTCATTTTGCACCCTATTTCCCTGGAGTAAAATTTCAGCCATCGGAAATTGATGAAAATTTATTTGGGAGTATTACTTATTATGCTCAAACATGCCCAACCAAAAATATGTTACCCCCATTACTGCTTGATATAAGAAATAAATTGAATTGTTATGGTATTGATGATAATAGTATTGATTATATGTACAGTGCCAATATGATGCATATCAGCCCTTATGAATGTACTGTTGGACTATTTGAAAATGCAGGTCAGTATCTTAAAACTGATGCTCTTATGATCACTTATGGGCCTTATAGTAAAGATGGAGTAATAACTCCTCAAAGCAATATTGATTTCAATGCAGCTCTTAAAGCTCGAGAACCATCTTGGGGTATTCGTGATATTAATGATTTAATAAAATTAGGGGAAGAGAATAGCCTGTCTCTTATAGATACTGTAGAAATGCCTGCTAATAATAAAACATTAATTTGGAAAAAAAATTAAGTAAGTAATTAAATAAATTGAAACAAGAATGTCTTCAATACTATGTTTGTATTATGAATGTAATCCATCTCTGTAATTTATTTCTTTAAAGTATTTAAATATATTGATAAATTAGACATGTGCATTTTTATGTTTTCCCATCCATATGTAGTAAGTTTAAATATTGAAATGTTATATTTATACAATTAAAAAACCCACATTTATGAAAATGAGATCACAACATAACTTACCACCTAAGCCAATTACGAACGGAATGATTAAGTGGTAATAGTACATTACTGCAGCGGCCAGCAACTGAGGCATTGATGAATTATTGATTGAGTCTATCAATGCCTAGTTGTGGCCAAGGCTTGTATAATACTTTTCTCAAACAATGCGCCGAAATAAAAAACACGATTTTACTTTTTAAGTTCAATGACGAATAATGAACAATAATAATATTTCACGCGCCATAATGTTTTGTTTTTTTTTTTTTCTATAAACAGCTTTCTATTTGCAAGCCAGTTCGAAATTTAAATAAAACCTTTTATTAGTTACCTCCTTGGTAGCCATGTTTCGAAGTAAAAGTCATTCCATTTTTAAATAACAGGACAGATATGAGTTTACATAGTAATTTATCTGGCCGCAAAACACGACAGATATGGATTTTTATAGAACTTTTGCCGGTCGCTGCCCGCATATATCTGGGCCAGTACGGCAATTTTGATTTATCTCGAAGAAGATTGTTAAAATAATGCTCACATTTCCAAGCATGTTTGAGGAAAAAATGTAACCAACTATAAATTATAATTTTTAAATCGCTCTGCGGAAGCAGTACAATGTTCGTTCGTTAATTTTTATATTTAAAAATATTTTATATTTTCTATAAAAAAATTTGATAAAATTTCTGTAGGACCAATTTGAAAATATACCCTTTTAGAATAATTTGTAACTGTAAGAATTTTTTAAACCGGTTTATAAATGATGGAGTCATGTGGTATAAAAAGCCGGTCAAGCGCGAGTCGGATACGCGCAACGAGTATTCCGTACAAAATCAAATTTAATTTTTTTTGTGAAATACCAAATTTCATGATTTTAGTTCAACGGGAAGTACCCTATAGATTTTGATTCCTTTTGTGAATGTCAAAATATGGGATATAAATGGAACATGAACAGCCGTATCTTTTGATTGCGTCGATTTAGAAGTTTGATCACTCCTTTAAGAGTTTGTAGACCTGAGTATATATTATTTTCAACATTATACTTCCACGCGTTCTTAAAAAAAAAGTGTCTTGACAGACGGATGGATGAACGGACGGATAATGAAGTGATGATAACGGTTCCATTTTTCCTTCGGAGATACGGAACCCTAAAAAAGATACAAACCACTATTATTATTAGTATTAAGTTTTAGGCTTAAGCGCTGCATGTTCTAAGTTTTATAAGAGACGGGAATTAACGTGATCTTTTAGGTAACATATGATACCTTGCCTGAATTTTCTTGACGTTTCGACCATATTACATCAGCGGTCGACACAAGTAGATCGACTTGGACCTGTCATGTCTTCGTGTTTAAATTCGCCATGTTAATCAGTACAGTAATTGCTGAACATTTAGGTACTAGAAGCGAGTACCACCATTGGATGGATGGTATCATCGTTCACATATCTTTTTCACGGAATAAAGTTTTTAATCAAAAATAGGACATGAAAGGATTATTTTAATATGATAATGAAATGACAAGCCCACCTGTGCTATCGGTTTACGCTGGCGTTGCATCAGTGAGGGATGATAGTTGACGATGAAAGCGGGTCAGTTAGCCCATCATGACGAATTCCGCTAGATTTAATCATGATAGTTTCCAGAAGGAACCTCGTAGAGGTTGACGTGATATGTCTATTGTTTGTAATGGGGAAATTAGACTCCATTACTAACAATCCGTTTTCCCCCATATGAAAGGATTGAAAGCAAGAAACATAAAACCGTTCAATCGAGAAGACGGTTTTAAATTCTTTGCGATTTGGAATCCTGTAATACAAAAAACATAACAACGGTAGTGTACAATCGATAAACCCATGTTAGTGGTGCGCGAATCCGACGAATTTTATTACTTGAATAATTAATAATCACTAATTTTATAATTCAACTAATAAATTAGTAATATATATATTATATCCGTTACTGTAACAGTAAGTGGTAGTGAATAGATGATCAAAAATAAAAACCTTTTTCTTTCGATAATAATTCTATATGAGAAATATACTAATATTATTTTTTTTTACAGCTGATTACTTATAACAAGTGCAAATTTTGACTATATATATTAAAAATTAACAGAAAATCTCATCATTCTGGTGGTTATATTAATACCAACTCGTACATGAACAATTACTAATGAATGATTTTAGAGATTAGTAGAAGGGATATAGTGAATGATAAAATTTGTAGTCAATTATATAAAATTAGTAGTCGAATGATTTAAAAATCATTCTAAATTCTGTAAATCGTTTACTTGAGTAGACATTCGAATCTGATTCGAGTTGAATAGCTTGTCCCGGCATCACTAGTTTATTATTTTAATGATTCTATATTGTTTTTGTTATTGTTTTTATTAAAATTATCAACTAAATTATATTTTATATTTGTATTGAAATGAATCGTTTTGATAAAGAATTTATTACAGAATTGTTTATGGATAGTGATAGCGTTTTTACAGTAAATAGATTGGTTTTAGCTGTAGCCAATGTTATAAATGACAATAATGATAACATTACTAACTTCAATGAAGAGCTAAATGAAGAATTCCAAGTTTTAAAAACTATTTCAACAACAGATATCAATGCAACGTCTGTTGCTAAAGGGGTCAATAGTTATTATGAGAATACCATAAAAAAATTTGATGATTATGAGTATATGAATAAGTTTAAAATGAAGAAAGCTACAGTTCAAGTAAGGAATTAGTTTTTAATTATTTCTTTTTTCTGTTTATTAATATTAAAAGAGCTTTTGCCTTTAAAAAAAATATACGAACCCGATTGCATAGATACAAAAAATTTTATAGTGATCAGATGTTTTAATCAAGATTTATTTATTGTTAATCACAATAAGCTTTTTATAGTTGTAGTACAATATTTAACCGCTTTAAAAAGTAGTAGGTTTTCAAATCAATTGTTTTTATTTTTTTTGTGTGTCTTCATAAAATATACTGATATTTTTAATTAATATATTTTTTTATATAATTCTCATCATTAAAATCATATTATTTCATATGATACTTAATGCCATATTAAGTGATCGCCCACCTGATGAAAAGTGGTGATTGTTGCCTATAGATATGAACAGCACCATGGTCAACAGAAAGCTCTGTGATGGCCTTGTTATACCTCCTGGGGGTAAGGAGTTGTTATTAATGGGAAGGTTAGTCTTCTATGTTATCAATATGTCCTATCAAATCAACTTCCATGAAACTTCTTTTGGAGACCGTCATAGTTAATTCCTACTGAATTCACAATGATAGAGTTGGCCTATCATCTTAATTCTTTTTCTTCACTTTATATATCACTGGTGTTCTATATTTAAAAAATTTCAACATTATTTTTAGTATTTCAATGTTTATATTACAGGCATTGGTACATTTTTTAGCTGAACATGTGATATGCGATGGAACAGTTATTGTGCCTCTAGAAAAAAAGGTGCATATATTTTTATGGCTTATGACTAATGATACATCATATCAAGATACTGGATTATTGTTTGGGCTACACAAGTCATCAGTTAGCTATATATTTCAAGAGATAGCCTCAGCGCTTAGTGATCAGAGATATAATTTTATTAATTGGCCAACTATTGAAGAGCAGCATATAACAAGGTTAAAGGTATATAGTAGATTTAAATTTCCAAATTGTGTTGGTTTCCTTGACGCTTGTCGTTTTAAAGTTGGTTCTAGAAGGAAAAAAAATAATGTACTAGATACTGTCCTTATGCAGGCTGTCTGTGATGAATCTCTAATGTTTATAGATATACATATAGGTAGTGTAGGAAAAACAAAGAAAAGTAAAGTGTTTCGGGAAAGTCAACTATCTCAAGAATTGAAAAACTTTATTCATTTTGACAATCATATACTAGGGGATTCTGAGTATAAATTAAAAAAGAATTTGATAACTCCTTTTTCAAGTGAGGAGTTGTTGACTAGTGAGGAAATGAAATTCAATGAGGTGCATTGGAAGGCTCGTAGTTATATTGGACATGCATTTGAACTGCTGAAAGAGAGATTTCGGAGGCTTAATCATATTGATGTCTGCAAACCAGAATTTGTTGCTACTCTGATATATTCAGCTTGTGTACTTCATAATTTTTTATTACTTCATGAAGGATACCCAGAAATGAAAGAAGAGGCTGTTGTATGTGATGAAGGTGTTACTATTGATAGTAATATAATTAAAACTGCTATTGAAAAACGCCAGTTTTTATGTAACTACATTAATTATATGAATATGGACAATATTTAAAAATTCTTTTATGGACCTATTTAATATTATTTTTATCAACATCCAGAAATGAGTTTTGTCTTGTTTCTTCCACAAAAAAAAATCATGTTTGAGGATCAGATAGTGAGATTATGTTTATTAGGACTGAGGGAAATTTTAAGAAATTTCTTGTATCCATACATACAGCCTAAACCTCTGAAATTGTCATATTCATGTTTGGATCAATAAAAAGTAATTGTCACTTATTTTGTTTTAAAGAACATCCAAAGTTATCATTTGGTAAGCCATTTCAGCAGATACCTTTGTATATAAAAAGAGTGACCTTGGATTTCTTACCATGAGAGAGTGATACACACAAGTTATAGTAGTTATGAAACATGTGTATTCATATCTTATATGAAATCCATATTCAAAATATTTTCTTTTTGATTCATATATTTGTATGATAATAATGGCAAAGAAGCCACTGGTTGTCTGACACGAAATTGATAACCGTCGCCTATACACAAACAGTATCATGGATGTGAAGGAATATATGTATTATGTCAAATGATAAACGGTATTATGGTACCCCTCATGTGCAGCCATGTGCTTCTAACTTCACTGCAATACTGATTATATATATATATATATATATATATATATATATATATATATATATATATATATATATATATATATATACATTTATATATATATATTCTAACAATTGTCTAATATTTATAGTATAAGCTCTGCTTATTTCGGGATTAAATAATGCTGAGTAATATCTCTAAGGTATTTATTATCAGAGGGAGACTTTGTACAAAAGTTGTCTATTTGGATACCATTGTCCCATTCTTGTTTCTGCCATAAAGCAGTTGTTTCGGTTTATACGGCAAGTTACAGGGTACAGGAGCATAATAAATTAGTCCTCAGAAATGGCAAGGCATGAGGGGTATCATGGCCAACATGGTACACTCTCCATGGTACTATTCATGACTATAGAAGATGTTTTCCTATTTTCCATCAATTGAACTGTCAGCTTGTTTGGAGTTCTATGTTGTATAAAAAAATATTTACTATTTATCTTAAAATGTAATTTGTAATTTTTTTATACTTAGGTATTTTAATTAAATTATATTAATAATTAAATTATAGTAAATTTTCAAAGAAAACAAGTTTAATATAATAATACTTATATTTCTCCACTATCATGGGAAATAGATAAAATCACTAAGTATTAATTTGATTTATTATAGTAATAAAATATAAATAAAACATTTTTTTTCAAATAGCTACAGAATTATGTGAAATGTACAAGTTGTAGTTTTACAATTAGAGCAGATTAAGGACAGATTTACAACAAATTTGAAATGAAAATGTAATGTTCACATTTGTTTATAAACTTTAATTATACAATACACAATAACCGTTATTTATGCTTATATTTTATACATAGATATTTTTTTCTGCTTAACTTAATAGACTTTGATAGCTTTACGGTGGGAACACTTTAAATACGATTGGTGGTTTTTCAGCCGTGTTTGAATCCATTTCTAAAAACAAAGTACAAATATAATCGTTATGAGTATGCATACAAGAATATTTCTGTGCTGAGGACAAGTAAAAAAGAATATTATTTGAAAAACAAAAAAAAAATTGGCAAATATATGTTGATTTTCTAGGTATTATCGTTAACAACTATATTTTGAGTATGTTGTGTAGATCATTCTATATTTACAAAGCTTGTTAGGCTTCATTCAGTTCATTTTATGTAAACTGAAATATAACAGGAGATTAAATGTATCTATAGATACTCTTTCATGATATTATCTAAATTACATTAGGCACTAAATTGGCAACCTACAAGGCACTATGCACTTAGCACAGCAATTTATGCTATAACTGTATTAATACCGTATTCATTTTTTAATATGATAGCAATAGATATACACAATTTTATTTAAACGCAAATGGCTTGTCTAGTTAATGAAGAACAATAGTCTACCTGGTGATATGTTAGAACTTTAAAAATATTTCTAGGCTGAAATATTAATGGGTCTCTTTCATTATATGATTTTTAAACAATGTTATTTACTCATATAAATAAGACCCTTCGACTGCTGACTTTTGATTACTTTTATATAATTGTTTCAGTTGTTCAGTTTACGCATGTTTTTATAGCATTATATACATTTAAATATATTTCATATTTACAATGAGCTGCCTAAAGAAATTATATATCTACCTAAATGTGATTTAATGGAATGTAAAAAGAGATTTAGCACTAAACTTGGAACAATTAAGAAGTACTTAACAATGGGGCTTCCTGTGAAAAATATTGCTACACTCAGCAGTTATCTATATTCAAATGTAAGAATGCTATGTTTTTAACATTCAGTTGTCAACTAGTAGGTATTCATTAAGGTACCAAGATGAGTGACAAGTCGCGAGAAGTCTCTGCTAATATATGTTTGTCGTTCCGGGGTCAATAATGTTAGATATGTATTTATATTCAAAGTATAAAATACAAAGTTTTGATAGTGATATCACTCGAGGAGGTACCTTGGGTGACATTTGCTTTTTGTTGTAAAGTGTAAACTGCTGCTTGGCATTTTGCAAATGGCGTGGTATATACTTAGAGTGACAAGCATCCTCGGCGTCAAGTTGCGACATAACGAAATTGCATACTATCACGCACTAGAGAGATGAATGTACTGTTGAAAAAACTGCGTTGAATAAACACAGTGATAGTCCATACGCGAAAGTTCCCTAAGAATACCACACAGTGCAATGTAAACACTGCTTTTTCACTGTTAATGAATGGTAATAAAAAAAGAAATAATGAAAATTAATTTTAAAGCGTAATTAATTTTAAAAAAAATCTGTTATATTGAATATAACACTACTGCAGTTAACTGCATAACATTGTGCAGTACAAATACAAGATTTTATAAAATACATGTGATTTAAACATAATAATCTTAATCTTAACTTAATTTCTATTTGCGCATTTACTAGCGTTGCCAGATGAGTTTTTATTTTTCTCTAAATATTTAATATATATTTTTTTAAATTAATTCTTTGTCAGTTTTACTAAATTATCACTAAATAAGCGACAAAAAAAGATAATAGCCTTTTATGCTAACCTTATAATGTCAAAACTTAAATAAATTACTCAATATTCTGCATACTGATTTTATTTTTATTCAAAATTGCAAAAAAAAAATACCCAATGTGGCAATGCTAGATATTAACGCTTATGATGGAAGCCACCATTGTTTCATATAAAATTTAACGATTGCCAGTTTAGTATGATAATTATACGTAATTTATTTTCTTTTTTATAAGTACTTGGTAAATTTAATAAATAATATTGGAACCCATGTTTTTTTTTATCGAAATAACAGTGCATAAAATGCACAAATACCTAGCTTAAATAAAAATGTTCTATACTAATTAATTGAGTATATTATTACTTTTGTCTATTTTATTTCTGAATAACTAAATTTGATAAAAACACATGTTAATATTGTTTATTAAATATATCAAGTTTATAATAAACACATTAAGCATCCGTGATGAAAAGTTTAAATTTGTTCATATAAAAGTGCGTTTCTTTAATTTACTTATTTCATATTTTTTATATATAATCAATTTTTCAAACTTATATTTTCACTGTCGCTATACAGTTTCGACGAGTATGCCATACGTTGGTATTATAATTAAAAATATTTTTTAACGTAGTGATAAAAGATTTCATTTTATCAATTATCCTAGTCTCACCAATCTTTGTGTACTTAAAGATTGGTTATTTTTATATCTTAATATTATTACTATAACTAGCTCAAACTGTACAGTCAAGATAAAAACAATATTTACAATTCTAGTATAATCAACAGCGATCACACCAAACATACACATCGTTACAACCGAATTACTCGGAAAACTTGGCACACGCGACACAGTTCAGTTCATTCACTTTGTAATAGATCCATATACTGTCTGTTTAGCTATTTTTCAAATATAAGTCTTTTTAACTTTTTGTAAGGTACCGCACTTAAGATCCTTATCAAGTGATTCGGTGGAGTTTCTTAGATCTAGTGTACGTTCTTTGCCAAGTTCAAGATGTAAATTATCTTGTTTAGCAAGTGGTCCTACGTTGGCCACCATGTTAACATTCTTCGATCGCGTTGCCATGAAACTTGTATTAGTGTTTAATGGCGTTTCCAGAGGACTCCGTCTGAAACATAATGTGTCCGCATTATCTAATGGAACATATTTGAAATAAAAAGGGAAATGTCTATACAACTAGTGATTTTGCCAATATGGTACAATATTTTTAGGCAATGTACGTGCCTTTACGCAGTGCAGAATGACTCGTGTTATAATACAATCAATAACATATAAATAGCAGGCAGATCATTTACACGGCGCAGTGCACGCAGATAAATTTAAAGTGTTTACAAGAAATGAGCGAAAATTGGGGATTACACTCACTTCTGGAAATCATAAAAACTCGCCTGTAAAGGAAAACTATAGCATCAATTTTTGATTCTTTGGTATAAGAATAATGTAACTGATGTTTTAATGTACCTGTTTAAATGATTATGTTGTTCATTAAAGGGTGAGGTATCTGTAAAAAATGGATGTCGAAATCTTCGAGAAAAGAGATATCCGATGACAAATCCCACCATAAGTGTCACCAGGCAAGATGCTACCACAGCTGTTAGTAATGCTTGAGCACTGTAAATGTTTCCATCAGCTGCTTCGACCGTTAGTAAATCTGAAATATAATGAAAACATTAACAACAGTTCGACGAAACAAAGTTCTTTGATGTTCTTAATATTTTAATTATTGCATGAAGATTTTTGTTTACCTGTTTCATGTTTATTATTAGTATTTTTCTCTTCAGATAAAACGTTAGTCTCAACTACTTCTATTAGTATTTCATTGCGTATGTCATCAGAATCTGATAACTTAGGTTTCTTTGTTCCCGGATTTTTATTACTATGCCCTGGCATAAGGGCTGGCAACTTATTACATATATCAGTCTTTCCATATTCTACATTCTGTAAAAATCTCTCAGGATTCGGAAATTGCCTATTCCCGACCCAAGAACATTGCTGTTGCTTTGAGTCCCATGCACAGTGGGGATCTTGCAATGATATACACTCTCTGAAATATAATAAAGAAATATTACTTATTTTTAATTACTCACATACTTAGAATACAATGTTTCACTATTCCCATGTCATAAGATGTCGCTAAGAGAATAAAGCACAACATACTAGTGCAAAAGAAAGAAAAGTACTTCACCCTGTGGGTTGTTCTCGGCGTGGTAATAATGTGAAGAAAGGTTTGTGTCTAATACTAGGACATTAAAATTGTTAGAGATGTTTATAAATATATGTAATTTTTTTTTATTTATATTATAAAAATACAGACAGAAATTATGTTACGTTAGCATTCAGAAACCACGTAGGGGTATATTAATACTAAATACATTAAAACTATTTAATTTGTATTAATATCATGTAAGAAGTATCGTTTTAATTTATATTTGATGTTGCTAATAGTAATATTATCCCGTACATCGGTGGGTAGTTCGTTAACAAGTAGAGGAACTAGATAGCCGTATGCTCACCATAAATATAAATACCTACTTGTATTCTGTGTAAGAAACATTATTATTGTAGTTTAATAATTAATCAAGTTTATAGGTTTCTAATAAACGTAGAATTGATTATATACGGTTAGCACTGTTATGTTATGATTTATGTTACATTGTGCCCTTATCTCAGCAAAATTTTCTTCAATTTATTAAAATTGAACATTTTATAGTAGTATCTAGTACGTAAAATTGTATTTGCTAACGACTATAATTGTTACTACAATATCTAAAAATAAGAATTGCTTATTATGTATGGTATTTATAATGTGGCGGGTGTGTTAATGAAATTAATGTTTTATAGCAATACATGACCAATAGTAGTAATACTGAAGTAATTTGATTTACCTGCAAGAACGCACGTTGCCACAATGTGACAACGTTACTGCCTTTATTATATCTCCGGACGCAACAATCAGTTTCTCTGTAGTAAGCGCTACGTGCATTTGCTTGATAGGCATACCTTGAGGTAAAACTTGCACTTCAGATATTACAACAGTCCTTACAGGGTTTTTGCTATATTCATCTACACTAGCGTCAAATTCTCCTTCATTAGATGCTACATTCACAGCCTTTATAACTCTGCCGTCATCCGTACCTACATACATGATATCGTATTTGTTACCGTTCATTGCTTGAACTTGGGGATGAACGGCAATAGCGGAAAATCTGTATTGCAAACTAACTCTAATGAGAATGGGTCGTGCCAAAAATGACGGTACTGCTTTATCCATTAGTGGATGAGTTTTTATAAAATTTACAGCAGAATCTGTAAGTGTTCTGCTATCTCCTATGCAAGTCCCAGGTCTTGGTTCTGGTACTTTATGTTTTTCTAACGGCAGCCAGTTAGAGTTCATGCTTTCTTGGCCTTTGAATGGTCCTCAAATGCTTCCAAAATATCTCTCATAGCAAAAGCACAAACAGCTGACCCTCCTATAGCATTTTGAGGGGTCGTAAATACTGCATATACGATATCGTTTCTACTGCTGCTACTACCATAAACACCATTGATGAGTTCAGTAGTCGCTTCTGCAAATTAATGATCTTCGTTATTTAAACTATACCACGATAGATAACATTATTTGAAATTAATATGGCTACTTACGAATTTCATCAAAATAAAATGGATATTCTCCCGGTATAGAACAGTTAAGGCGTGTTTTTAAAAAGGAAGTCCATCGGTCGCTGAATGTGTGAGGGCCTCCTTTATCGTTTAAACAAATTCTTGCAATTCTTGAGTATACTGCCTAAAATTGGATAAAAAAATTTAAAATTTAGACATATTTATATATATTTTTAATAAAAGGTAATAATGACATGCGCTAGTGGAGGATTTATTACTAAATACATATAATCATATTAGCCTTTAACTGTCCATTGCTGAACATAAGCCCCCGCCCCTCAAGGGGAACCTTGAGGGGCGGGGGTTCCAGTACTTGCAACTACAGTCAGAATTTATAGATGTTTTAGAATGGAAGGAATGTGCAAAGTTATATATGTTTGGTAATGTATAATACGTATATTTTCGAGTGTAGAGTTCGTCTCCACTTGTTTACATACCTTTCCGCAATTCATATATTCAACAGCTGTTTCTCGATAAAAAAAGTAAACGTGACTGGTAGAAGCAATAGCTCCAACAAATGAGGGGTCGTTAAGTAAACGAAGATCAGAACGTTCTGTTCGTACAGGTTCACGATAGATCAGTGGGTCAGTTCCAGAAAAATCTGCAGCTGTTGCCGTGTACAATTGCCCATCTGTAAAAAAGATATATACATATGTACGGGTATATTATCGTTATTTGTTTTCATATCATGTGAATAGCTTCAGGTGCTCACTAAATTTAGATTCTCAGGCAAATCCGTTAAAGCTTCTATTATTCCACGTATAGATACGGTCTCACTTTGTTAATTGGAACTGAGAGATACCTACGTCGTAAAGCATCTACATTTAAAGGCGGTTTCTACGGTGGTCTCACCAGACGGAATGATTTTCGCGCGAATACAGTATTTATTTTCAATCGACTTCAAAAGGAAAATTTGAGTAATATGTTATACGATATTTTCGCCAATAGATTCAAACCGATTATGTGTATACTGGTTTCACAGAGATTGTTCGAATCGATTTGTATGTTTTTTTCTTTTTATTTTTTGTGATTTCGTTTTTATCCCTTTTCGATTGTGTTAAGTCACCCTGTTAACTGGAGTTTGATGTCAGTAATTAACCATAAAGATAAATTACATATATATTTTGAATGAAATAACGCTCAAAATATATATGTATTTTATAATATTGTTTGTAAAGAAATCTATTAAGTTAAATTTGACCTACTTGATTTCAAATGTTTTGCAACTGTTTTTTTTTTATATATAAAATATATGTATATTTATGTATTTTAAAATATTTTTATTTCAATGAATTAATTGCGTTGTTCAATATTGTAATTTTAAAATAATAGATGAAATATTTCTGTTTTCTTTGATGGGTTCTGTTACGTAGTAATCATTATTTAATCTGTGACTAGGTTTCTAACTGTACGATGGTTCAGTGATTAACTGTAAAGGCAATAAATCGATCGATATCTCGGTCGCCGTGTCGTGTTTGGTTCAACCCCCTCAACGGGTTATACTTGCAAGTACCGCTTCATGCAGTCACGCTGAGTGATCATCACAATATGTGACCGTAACTAGGATGATTTAGTAAAAATAATATAAACAGTATATAGAGATTGAATTATTAAAGATTTGATAAACATTTCATTGTACTTACTGGCATATATAGCGGTGGAATTGTGTTGAGGGTCGTATGGGCAGCGGCCGGAGGCATCGAATTCTTCCATAGGCGGTGATTGTGATTGCCGGGTATATCGCCGGCAAAGAGGCTTAAACGCGTTTGTTCCGCAGACCAACAACCCATTGTGTGTCCGCGCTACGACACGTGGGTAATTTTGACATTCATCAGCTGATTTTCCTTTTACTTGGCATAATTCTCGGTGTGCATCCGTTGACTGCCATTCTAGACGCTGTGAACAAAATGGATGAAATTCTGAAATTCTGGCGTCAACATAGTATCGTTCAAAACAATTACGTAGATCTGTTCGGTAAGAGCCTGTAAATACTTTTCTTCTTGTGTCTAGCGTACTGTTTGTAAAGCATACATTTATCCGATTTAGCCGAGAAAAACTGCCATTTATTCTGGTTTTATACTTTTAATTAAAAATATAAATTAATATTTGAATGATGTGAATACAGTGATATACAGCATATGTTTTACATATACGCTATATATAAGTAAATAACTAAATGTACATTTGTATCATATATGTAGGTGTCTGTAGTATTAATTATGTGACATCGACACAATTTACTGCTATTTACTTAATAACTTTTGCGTCACATATCTATTTTATAATCCTTTTATAATAAATTATTTGATGAGAAATTGAAGACGTATAGAATTAATAATCGTATTACAGATATAATCACACAGAACCTTGATAAACTTGTTTAAATACCCACGTAATAAATGAATTTTAACATAATATTAATCAATAAAAATATAATTTGTGTATTTCGTAGAGTAAAAACAGGATGCATTGGTTTTTTAATTTGAATTTTAGTTAATAAAATTAGATACCTACATGCTAAGTGAAATGTATTCTGAGGAAATGTAAGTACGTACAGATCACAGGAAATCGTGGGTGGTCGGGTTCTTTGCTTTAACCGGTTGATGTGTATCGAAATTGCAAACATGAAAGCTCGTGTTTGGTGATTTCGACACCAAGTATCTACACCCATATTGTAGTGAATGTAAATATTGCTGACCCCCAACAATCTGGATTCGATGTCTGTCTGTATTATTATTTATTCTGCAATACCTATCCCTCTTTATATATTTGTATCTAAAGTCTATTATTATTTTTATTAAAGACAAGCTTTTTGTCCGCTACCTTGTACGCGTGGATTTCAGGATTTCAAAAACCAATGAAATAGACCATTTCTAGATTGCGTATCATGATAAAACGTACACCGGTTTTTAAATTAGATCTTCAGGAACATGATTGTAAAATTAGCATCCAATTTGGTGCAGTAGTTTTTGTGTGATGCCATAACAAAAAGAGATAGTTACAGGCATAATTAAAAAAAAAATGTCTTGGTTTTTATTGGTCTTATTAAGACCTATAATTTTTTTAATGTCTTTTACGTAACGACATCGTTTAGTTGCAATTTTATTATATTGATGAGATAAGATATGAACAAAAGAAAAATAAATATATAGTTAATTACATTTTTTTCCATGTGTATCTGTTATCATAAATGATAAATTACTTGTATCTATATAATTGTCGATAAAGTCGATTGCGCAGTTATTGAAATACTTATTAGGTACCTATTTACAATGGTAAATTGTAAAGTGTCTATCTAAAATGTTTGCCTAGACTTTACTTGGAAGATAGAATTAGCTATGAATAATTAATATATGTATTACCTAATTATTTAACTACGGATAATGGAATATTTTCTTCTCCACTTGGTAAACCTAAACATAATATAATGAATTGTAGCGATGCACGTTCAAGAAAAAGTAACCGTGCATACATAATTAGTAACTATTCGGATGCCGTCGAATGAACGCAGTACATTGCCGTGCGTGAATAATTCAACGCATCACCGCACCGGCCGGCATCGGCTCTCTAATATCTGACGAGTAATTTAAAATATTAAGCTTGACGCTTAGATTAAAACCCGACGGTTGGCTCTGTGGTAATATGTAAAATATGCGGGCTGTATTAAAAATTTCTGGACCAGCCGAGTTTATATGAAAACTATTAAATTAAGGTTTCCAATCACAGAAATAGTGCTTGTAATAGTGAGTTTTTGTTTAATGTGTTCATTGGTTGTAATCTTTTTTTCATTACGGAGTGGCTTCTCCTTTTAAAACAGTTCTTCATTATTTTAATTCATACTACTTCATCATATCAGCCGTTAACTGTCCAATGCTGAACATAGGCTTCCCCCATAAGGAGGGTTTGCCAGTAGTTGTTATGTTGTTAGGCGGGTTAGCAACCGCAGTTAGGCTTTGGCGATGTTTTATTAGGGACGTTGCTGTCCATTCTTCGACCATTAAGTTCCCTTGGTCGCCTCTTACGACACTCACTGGAAAGGAAAGGATGGTACATGCCGTGTGATCCCGGTATAGAATGGGCATACATGACATAGTACCTAAATTGATCAATCATACATAGAGGTTGGCATAGAGAAAATGCTATATAGCATAAGTCTGCCTTTTATGCTAAACATTTTTTTTTGTAACTTATTTGATAAAGTATCCCTATAAATGTTATAAATTGAAAGTGAGTTTGTTTGTCTGTTTGTTATTTTATAGAGATTTAACAGCTTAATTACTATGAAATTTGATATATACTTATTGGACGAAGGACGAAGAAGGATATAGGCTATTTTTTTTTTATCTTAGTAAACATATTCCGATCACGTGGATGAAGTAGCGAGTAAAAGCCAGTAAATAAATAAATAGGAAGTTCAAATTATATGATACGTAAGTTTATTATATATGAAATTAACTAATTTATGTAAACATCTTTTTTACGAATAGATTCCATTTTTTCTATTGAATAATTGATCTCCTGTGTTTAGTAGTATCTATAGGAATCCGATAGAAATCCCTAACGTAATAAATAAAACATCAAGGCTAAGTAATTTAAATTTATCTGTCTGTTTTTTGATGCGAAAACTTTAGCAATATCGGGCAGAAGATGGCTGAATGCCAAGTACGTAACATTGCGCCCTACGTTCTGTTTCGTGTTTTTAACTCTCTGAAATCCTATTAGGTATTTGTTATTCCCGACGTAATATCTACCTATACCTGAACCAGGTAGGAAAATCATTAGGTGGATTCCTATTAAAGTAACAATTTATTTATCTAGTTCTGATTTATATTTAACCTAAAAATTCTTAATCGATTTACTGTGTTCCAGAAATACATGTGTATCGTGATTCAGCTTCCGCATTCAAATATAAGTGCTTCCATTTAAAAATCTGAATAAATATGTGTTATACAGACATAGCATTTATAGTATGGTAAAGATCTTACAGGATTTGGAAATAAACATTGTGCTCTGCGAAATGGGCCGTAACTAAGAATAAATGGTGAGTATACGGCTCTGGGTAGCGAATATAGCTTGTATGGGAGAGACAAGATACACAAACCTGCAGTAGAGCCCGATATCATTTTTAGTGTATCCAGCTCAGTAACGATAATACAAAGAACAGTATTGTATTATTAAAGATACAGGTGTTCTGTTTTACATCATATTTCTATTTTTATCCGGAAACAATTTAGAATACATGTTATGTTTATGAATAAATCCCCTAGATGTTGATGTAGGTATCAAATGATCAAATTAATTCATTGTAGTGATACCAATTATTTGCAATTGAAATTGTTATATTTTGTTTTTAGGATATTGCAATCAATGACTAATTTTATTTTAATATTCAAAGCATTGGGTACTCTGAAGTCTTTGTTAACATCGTTAGAGACCAGGAATTTACCGTGAAGATAGATTATGTTAAATTGTTACAAGAAATTCACAATAAGGATAATACTTTAATAATATTTAGAATTTATGAATATGGGTATTAATAATGTAGACTTTATTCTGTAATAATGGTACTGATAGTACCATAGAAGAATGATCTTGGTATGTACTTTTTATTATTGAAAACTGTACCCTATGCATAGTTAAAACTATGAATACTGGCAATTGTATTGCAAAATTCTTATACCTAACTGGTTTTTACATTGTCGGCGAGGCTTAGGTGGCTGAATCGTTTTACGACATAAATAAACAGCACAAAAAGTATACAATTGTATCAATCAGGCAGGAGTGCCCGCTACCGTATCTTTATAAAACCCGTTATCAAGTGCTCCATATTATTAGGGTACCGTAGCAGAATAGTGAAAACAGGGCCTTTATAATTTTATAATCTTTAAACTGCCATAGTTTAGCTTGCCCTTATTATTATTATTTTAGCCCTAACTGTCCACTGTTGAACATAATCGGGAAGGTTATGTTCAACAGTGGACAGTAGACATAAGGGGAGTTTTCGCAGTAATCGCCACGCTTGCAGGCGGATTGGCAACCGCAGATAGGCTTTTACATATGTTTTAAAAGGGACGCTGCTGTCCATCCCTCCACTAAAGCTCCTTTAGTCGCCTCTTACGACACCCACGAGAAAGGAATTATAGCTTTAGTATTTAAGGGTACTATGTATATGGATTATTTAATATAATTTTTACAATATAATTTTTCGATAAGGGTATCGATATTTATGAAGGATCTTTCGAGATTTTGAAGGAGGAGGAGATGAGATAGTCTTTGAAAAAGTTATTCCCAATGTGATCAAATTATTATTATTCTAAAACGTACTCATGTATATTAAAAAAAAAAAAAAATTACAACTTAGAATATTAACTATTAATTCTTTTAAAATCTATCTACAATACAAAATCATTTCGCGGATTATTGTACCTAATGTTAATAATTTAAAGATGAGAAATAACAAGCAAAAACTTTAAAACCAGTACACGGAACTTTATTAATAGGTGTACGACATGCTCTTGTCAGCTTATTATCTTTTATCTCAAATACAACAGTTCTGCCTGTGGGTTTGGTTTGTTGGTGCAACTGTCTGTCTGCCAGCCAGAAAGTTATCAAAATATTATTTTGATATTATATCATATTCACATAAACAGTTATATTTACGTACGTACTAAATTGAAAGAATAAATTTTCATTCTAACTCAAGTTAGTGTATTTTTGTCAATAATGGTAATTTGAAAGTTTAAAAACAATTACTTAATTTGATAGCTGTCATAAAGTTTACCAACTAAATATAATTGTATAGGTAAGCAAATTAATAAATACCTGCTCTATATTCTCCGATAAGTCGTAGAGGCTGAGGTTGTAGACCATATTCCTGAAAGATAAAATTAGTCTACATAATTTTATTAGTCCTAATAATTAAGTATGCACATTTTAACGAGGCTGCTCTATAGAGGAACGATGTTGAGACGCTCAGCTCTGTTACTCTCGCCTAAATACAAATTGATATTCCTAGGAGAACCCTATATGGATATTACGTTACTAGATGCTAATTTCCCGTAATCGATTCCAAACTTTATGGTGTGAATGAATATAAATTGGTCGAGCTTCACGTGTTTCTGTTTATGTTAATATAAACGTATTTACTCACCTTCCTCCCACTATTATAGAGAAGTCATCTTTGTCTAAAATACGAAAGTGGTCTGGCGCCATCGCGTTGCCTACGAACTGTTCAGAAGTTTCATCGCCTATAACAAACCAATTAATTAAAAGTTTTACTTAGTTACTGCAGTTTAATAAAGAGAACTAAGGTTATTAAGCCACAATATAAATGCGAGTAGCTATTAATAAATAGTTGGTCTCGGTTGGATTACGTTCAGGTTGGTGATCAATACTTGTTGGCAAAAATTTTTGGATATTAATTATATGGAAGAAATTTGTACATTTTAAGTAGAATATTGGCAATGTAAACTCGGACTAGTTGTGTATATTTATTCTGATTTATTATATCTTTCATACCTAACATTGAAGCCCGAAACCACATAGAAATATAATACGATTCAATATGTGCTGTTTTTCGGATGCTTGTGGAGAAATCTCTTTTTGTGCACATTAAACGAACAATGTTCCCATTGTACAACGATTAAACAACAATGGACGTTAGCGATTTCATAACAATGCTTGAGAAATTTTCACGTGTCAGTCCAAATCTCGATAGGACCATCTTATCGGTAGCTTGTTGCTGTGACATTTTTGATATGGGTTATGAATTTAATGATTATCAATTTTGGCACATTACTTATTGATATTTTGTTATCTACCTACAATTTTAGTTAGACATTCAACGAATTATTTGTTTTCAATTGGCATATATTTTATTTATGTGCATGTTACATGATATCTTTTTGATAGCTTAATTTTATCAAAATGATAGTACTAAATTTTACAGTATTTATATATATATATATATATATATATATATATATATATATATATATATATATATATATATATATATATATATTAGCCAATTTTAAGCCGACTTAGGTAATTGTATTTTTATTTGAAAACTTTATGAGTTAGTCACATACAAATTTTGTCACATTTGAAGTCTGGCTTTTGTGGAACAAAAGTCTCTTGATGCTTTTCGACTCTATCAATCGCTTTGAAATTTGGCGTACAGGTAGTATTTGTTGTGTTAGAGAAGGGCATTGAGAAGTTAATTTTAAACTTTCGTGTTGTTTATATTCGAGTAATTTATATCTCGATCATGACCGTAAAAATTAGTCTACAGCATATTTCAATTCTAGACTTTAATAGGCCATAGACTACATTTTAAAGACTAGCGAAGTAACTAATACGAGTACAACTACTATTATCGTAGATATTAAACTCTTACCGTATTTGACTTCTATGCGAGCACTGGAGTCTGGCATCCACGCTTGAGCCGTGGACACTAAGAGCACCAGTAAGGCTCGGGCGATGGCCATTTTGGTTTAATACTTCTCTTTTTCGATACACGCCATCTTCCACTGCGCACTGGAACAGAAATATAAGGAATGGTTATTTTAAAAAGAAAAAAGTTCATATGGAAAATCTTATTTTTAAGTAAATAACCATTGTATTATATTTAGGAATTGTGTAATCTTATTTTTTGTGTTGTTCATGATTGTATATTTTTAATGTAGCCACAGAAAATTACTGCAAACGATTTTAGCAAAGATTATATAACTAAAAAAGAATTTAAAAACAAAATAAATTACGGTAAAATTTCTCATATCACCTAAAATATAACTACGTTCATTCAAAAACATTTTTTGATCTCTGAGAAAGTTTGAAATGATGCCCAAGGTATATTGGTAAATGGTCGTGTAAATGAGTTTCGGAATCGATTCATAGCTATTTTAGAAAAGAAACTTTATTTAAGTTCAGGTTCAGTCAGTTCATCTCCATTTAAGAGATTCTATTTATTCAGTTATTCCCCCGTATGTTCGTTGTCTGATTTTTCAGAAATAGAGCAACAAATATGTTTCAAGGCAATACAAGTACATAATTATTATTTTAAAAGTATTAATTTAGAAATTTAAATGTGGCGAGAAGAAAAATAATGAAGGGTTAATGACAATTTGTGGAGGATGTCGTTGCAAACGTGTTACGTTGCCGTCGGTCTGGTTCTTGGTCTCACGGGTTGGACGATGCATGCACGCAATATACATTACGCTCAAGATTCGCATTCTATTTTTTTTTTCATTTAACTATTCCAGCGATCGTGAGAAAAAGAACTCGATCGTCCCATTCCCTTAACTGGATATCCACTCTGTCACGATATCTCGTTTTAATCCACCTTTTATGCTTCGATACGGTTTATTGCAAGACGTTCCCGTTTTTTATACAGATCTTTACTTTGAATTGCTGTCATAAAGAGCATAATGTTGCAGAAAAGGCTATAAATGGTTTATGATTTCTACATAACTACCTATAGCTAACATATAAGCATAATTATATACTATGCAATTTTTATATACAAACTGTTTATACAGTATATTTTAATATATTTTTCTAAATATTGTCTATTTGTAGGGTTTTATATTAAAAAGTAAAAATGTAATGAATGTGTTTATCTTCTTGTGTCAGGCATTTTTCACACAAAGCGTTTGACACATCTTGTCATTTTGTATAGTTATATACTATTATCACCGTCTAAAGAACTTTCTCTCGTTACATCGCGATTCAAATATCCTTTTTGGAATCACCAGTATTAAACCCTTCAAAAATATGGCATTATTTAAATTTATTAGTGATAAAATCAATACTGAAGTGACATAACTTTAGCGTCAGATGTGTGTAACATTGTAGCTAAAAGGGTTGACAATTCGCATAGAGGTAGGCGTTTCTATACGCATTTGCACAGATGTGCTATAAAGTACCTATATACAGTACGTAGAGCCCAGGGGCGCTCGTTGCGATGTAATATTATATTTCTTAGTTCCGCGACCATCTGTTTGGAGTATACATCGGATACTACTACGCAATAACTCGTTAGCGAGAATTCAGCCACCCCTATATATTTTGGTTCGAACCTGCACTTAATTTATTGGCACGGATCTGGCGGCAAAATTACCGGACAAAACAAACGAGCGGTTACCGGATAAAAGGTAATAACATCGTTATTCTAAAAATTATGATTATTTGTCAAAAAATGATCAAGACTACCTTCTTGTATTTATAAAGCCATTCATTTTCTACTGACCATAGGTAATAAGGTTCTCAAACTGTCTCTATTTTTTGTGTCTATTAAGTGTTTCTTTGATAATTTAGTATCATAATATTAAAGATTTTTTATGTAAGAGGGCGACAAACGAGCATGAGATCATCTGATGGTAAGTGCTCACAGCAGCCCATGGCCACTAATGACCACCAGGGAAGTCGCCAATATGTTGCGGGACTTATATATAGATTAATTTTTTATTGACAAAAAGATATTACAAATATGGGTAATTTCAATATTTTTTGTCCTACAACTAATATAGATATTGTATATAGAGATAAAAAGTTTAATTTCACAAAGTGATTTAATGTAGACGTCTCGGATCGTGCCATTTGCTATAGCAGTTTATAACTGAACCGGTTACAGTAATAAAGATGGCATTGCATTCTGATATGTACCTAATACGAAATAAGAAAGGTATAAAAATTCAAATGAATATTTAATGGAGTGGTTTAGGGATGTTCCGATGTTACAGGTGTACCATACATCGTGGTTAATTCTCAGGTATATATTGGAGCTTTAGTGCGTAGGTAATTTATGTATATATAAAAATTATGTCAAGCGAATTGCTTGCGAATCACTAGATCAATTTGAAAATATTTTTTCAATAAATATATTGATTTAGGAAACAGAATTTGAAATTTAGACTATATCGGCGGGATCTGTTAATTTAAGTTTATTTTATATACCTACCTAGTTACCTATAAATTTATTTCTGTTATACTTTAGTTTGTGTATACCAGTGTGGTATAATCAACGATTATAATTTACAAATATTATAAATTGTATAAGAGAGAGAGAGAGAGAGCATTGGTGATGTGTATGTGTGCGTGGTGTAAACAAGATAAGGCTACAATTACTTAGATGCGGTTGATATTTGAGCCTGGGTGAGAGTGGGGTCTGTCGAAGTTTCACATGAAACCATGCAAGTCGGGAAGCTGTGGTTCTTTTTCTGCTAGCGCAATAAATAACCGTCACGGTTAAGTCTGTAGGCTAACATAGGATCTAAAGGACTATGGTAAGACGATAAAACGCAGTTTCGTACCATTTTTCCATATCAGCATACAATTTATTGCCGCTTCTGGCGTTGTCACGCGTGAAATGTGTCTCTAAACGACGTGATAGGGATAGAGGGATAACTACGTGGTGAGACTTGAAAGTGGGGATTGAGACATCTCGTGAACAATTTAAGTATGATTTGTTGATACATTGTTGTCTGAAACTGACATATGTGAACGTGAATGAACATGACAGACTCGATACTAATGATAAAATATATGGATATTAATGTATCAGAATAAAATGTATGCAATATTATCTACTTATAATAATGATATGGATATTTGAGCGTCTCGCACACAATGATTTCCCGCACCACGTAGTTCGGGCTACGGTGTGAAGTGTCACAGTCTTAGATTATATTAATCTAAGGCTCAGTGCCCTTTTTCGACTATTATCTAAAATGATTTAAACTATTATCAAAAATACTGTGGTGCGACTTTTTCGACTATTATCTAAAATGATTTAAACTATTATCAAAAATACTGTGGTGCGAAATACCCCATGGAAAAAGAATACAAGTGTATTTAAAGCAGTTGTCTAAACTTATGTTTATCTATTTTGTTTAGAATTATTAAAACCGTCTAAGTGTACTGTTATATTTTAATTAACAAAAGAGTCGTTTTTAAAAGATATGTATATTAATAGGTATATATTTATATAAATTATGTACTGACCTCACGAATAGTCATATCATAATTGTACATACATTGTAATAAACACAGGGCAATAGATAACTTAGAGGTCATTAGTTTTTAGGAGTCTGTACTGAAATGGTTCACTTGTCCGTATCTCATTGGATTATAACTTCGTTATGATTGCAACAATTTTATGGGGTCACGTTTTACATAAACCATTATACTATGTATGCGTCCGTCTCTATTTTATGTATTTGATATAACCTACAATTAATATACTCACAGTTATATTATTTATCAGTTGGTACTGATTTTAAACTGTATTTTATTATGTTTATTTTGAGCTTCTAATGATTATTTTTTGTATGAATATTTATTATTTGTATTACACGGTCTCAGACAACGAAATGACGTCTCTACATTATTTATAATACGTATCTAGAACAATAAATACAAATTTATAATTTTCAGCTATATTGATATATAGCTTTAGTATTACTGAACCCCCAGTTAAAGTATGTGAAATGCGCACTTAACTAGTTCTTCAAACCGTACTTTTCAAATCATACGTGCGTCGGTTTCCTAAATTAGCAAGGCCTCGTTTGTAGTATTGTTACTTACCAGATTAGAAATACAGTTATATTTACGAACTCTGGGTCGATGGTCAGTGAGAGCATGTAGTACGCATAAGAGACTAAATGTATGTCAACTATGTCAATTTCTAAATGATTGTAGACATGAAAAGATAAAATCCGAGGTTTTGTATAAAGTTCATCGAAGTCGTTAGCATTTAGTCTCTCTAATTTGCGGTTGGTATATCATGCCTAACAACGCTAACCCTAATGATACCTATTTATGAAATTGTAAAATTTTCATGCATGGTATGATATTAATTTTTTTTTTGAAAATATGTATTTACACAAATCGTATATGTAACTGATTTTGTATGAAAGATTCAATGTATAGTCAAAAATTCAAAGGCTCTATTCACCTCTCAAGGCTATCGAGCTATGAGGGCGTAACAGACAAGATTGTTATAGGTATCAATTATCTATTAAACTATTAAAAAATTAGGCACGACATAGGTAAGATATGTTTTTAACAATACTTTTCAGCTTATTTTAGGGCTTAATATAATGCTGTATTTTTTCGATGTTGATGATTATTTTTGTAATTGCAAGTCTGTTCTTATACATTTGGTCTACGATAATAATTTTGTCTTAAGTATTGTGTAATTGTATAGGTAAGTATAAAGTTTTTGTGTCAATTTTATAGCTGTGTTTTTATAATTTTACATTAAGTTATTTATGAGTATTATAAAATATAATGGTAATTTGCAAGGTTTAATATGTTACAAAATACATTGTATTGCAAATTTTTCGGTAATATTCCAAATATCACTGAATATTTATTAATTGATCATGGTAATTGTTATTACATTGACTTTTGCTTGGAATGCAATATGAAGTTTAATTGCAAAATAATGTCATTTACATTAGTAATAGCATTAACAAGTACTTACTTAAAACAAGTTTTTACATTGAAATATATAATTTTATTGCTTTCTAATTAATTGTACTTTACCAAATTTCAAATTACAAGGTATTAATTATGGTCGAATGCAGTAATAGATTCCTCAAAGAGATTTGCTTTTTTGCGAGAAATAATTTAATTTAAAAATACCGTTGTGCCTAATTTAGGATCACAACATGTTTTGCTGGTTTGAGTCATAGATGAAAGATCAATATATTTTTTTATGTGATTTACAAAACAAGGATTCCAATTCGTTTGCTTTTTTATGACCACCTGTTCTGTGATTTAATTTTTTTTGCGTTTAGAGCTTTGTATACGTTTCTGTTTAGGTATGAAATATCGTATTTCTTAATTATGTAGGTTCGTATTATTTTTTTCCTATAATATATTTTTAATACATAATAATTGTTTTTTATTAAATCTTTTTTAGTTAGGGAATTTATCAATAGAATACCAGAGGTAAAATATGTACCAAAGTCGTTTGCTTGGGCACCTCTGTCCTATTCGTGTTTTTACCGTGAAGTAGTTGTGTTTGCATGGCTGTGTTTTGATCTGAAGGGTGGGATATGTATGACAGTGAATTTACAGGGTACAGAGGAATACCACTTGAGTCCTCAGGAAAGGCAACGCATGGGGGTATCATGGGCGAAACAGTATACTCTGTTATGTTCATGGCACTGCTCATGTCTATAGGCGACGGTTACCACTTCCCATCAAGTGGGTCATCAGCTTGTTTGTCATTCTAAGATGCATAAAAAATTGACAATTTACGTGAGTCTTATACATTTATAGGATTATAAAAAAATTACCTATAGACATTTTATCTACTCGAATTTGTCATATTGTTATGACTATCGTTTGTTATATCGTGTTAACCTATTGACCTCAACATATTTTTGTCCAGCAGCATCTGGTATTTTGATTTGTGCATGTGACGCATGCGTAATTATGCAGGATGCGATAATGTCATTCATTAATTATGAATGTCATTTACTAACACGAGTAATTGTTTCCTCTATTTATACGCGTAAGGTTGAGGAGTCTATTGAATGAATCACAATTTACGTGATGTTTAAATTATCTTAGATGCTAGTATACAACTTGTCTTTTGTATAGGTTGATATCAATGTAACGCCTACGCTTTATCCAAAGAATTTAATAAAATAAAAACGTTTGAATATGTTTTTCGATTTTAAAACATAATGAAATCTTTATTGTAAGGGCCAATACGAACTAATTTTCTAATAGATTTAAGTCAATTATTAGAATTTTAGTTTATGATACTCCATAAAAAAGTAATTACACAAAATTATCGAATTAAGATAATAGGTTAAGAGAAATGCCTCATAATTTAATATTATAAATATGTTGAAAAATAGAATTTTTATTAAATGCTGGCTTAGTTTATATCTACATATTTGTTGCGTAGTTGCTACTACATAATTATATTATACTTAAATGTAGTTATATATTGCTGTAATGTATCTACCTAATTATCTGTAACTTATCGTTTTATCTTTAAAAGCATTGCTTACTTTTGTCGAAAGAACTAATAATAATAAATAAAAATGTCGTGTGGTTAGTATAGAATAGGTCACCCCTTTCTTTCCTAGGGGTGTCGTAAGAGGCGACTAAGGCACCTGGTGGAGGGATGGGCAGCAGCGTCCTTTTAAAACATCGCCAAAGCCTAACTGCAGTTGCCAGACTAGAAGCCAAGTACTGGCAAAACCCCCGTTATGAGGACGGCCTATGTTCAACAGTGGATAGTTGACGGCTGATATGATGATGATGAAGTAAAAAGTCTCGTCTTATCGATTAAAAGAATAAAGGGGCTAGTCTAGTCACAGCAGATATGTTCAAAGGAAAATTTAGTTAAATGGGCAACCGTGTTCGTTGTTGACTCTACTATCGCACTAGTCGTAGTTTATTAACACTGACAAAATTTTTCTAAGGAGATTAGTTCAATCCAAATACATATATGAAAATAATCGTTTGTACCTATCTAAATAGTATATAAAAGTAACTATCTAAATTGTTTGTATCACTGCGCAGTTTATATGAAAATTTTCAAATACTTGATAATTTTGATTCAATTTAAATATCTTCCTTGGGGAAACTTGTCCAGTTCTATGACTACCTAACATAAACTTTTAAATAGAGTAAAAAAAATTTTTTTTGACTACCATTGATTTTTATAGGTACGTAAACTTTTTTAAGTGTAAGTCTGAGTAACAAACTGTGTTATTAACTAGGTTCAATTAGCAAGCTGCTAGCTTTCTAAATTATGGCTTGTATCCACCACACGGTTGCACACAACAAAAGAGGGCACAAACAACTGTGCTTTTGACTGTACAATTTACTCCGTAGAGCAGACTGGTCCGTGGAGCGACGCTAGCCGTGTGTCAACAATGGCGCTCTCTCCTTCGTTCCCCTATTCGAGTTTTTGTTTGTACCGCCTCCACACATCGAGTCTATGTAAGGACGTAGATGTGTACACGGACTCTGTGAGGGTACTCACCGTGTTCAAATATGCAACGTTTAGGTAATCCAAACGTGCGTTTTCAATCCAATGGTCATCGCATCACTGGCGATTGGGCATACAAAAATGAAATTTTAAAAACACTATATATACATCCGCACTTTCGTGGTGAGCTTTTTAACATAGTCACAGAATCCACAACACACTGAACACGAAACACGTAGCAACCACAAAATCAGTGTCTGTCACTTTATTCACAAAACCGGTTATTAAGTAGGGTGTGCAACAGTTGTGTGTTTACTATAGGACGGAGTAAAGCGGTCCGGTAGCGCAGCACCGGCGTGGTATCACGGAGCACTCGGCTGGGGTACTGGCGCGACAGAGGCGCCCCTCTATTCTCGCAACAGAACTGGCTTGACTGGCCTATCTGCCTCTTTTTCTAACATGCGCGTGAGTCGCTGCTATTACTTCGATACAATACAACAGCGTTACCAGTTCTACCATATTTTTTGTTTTGTGTTGACGTTTTCTAAATGAGGGGCCATAAAATAGAAACGTACTCCGTTGAATAAAAAATTAGAGGGCTATGATCTTAACGTTAAACTGCCTAAGAATTTCCTCATTTTATACTGCTATATAGAAAATTAATGTATTTACGTATGCTATTACGTATTTGGCAACTAGGCAACTACTATTTGGAATATATTAAAGCATATTTTTTGATCGATTAACATTAGTAACACTAATTAAATAAATTCTTTATTTGACTGATTATGTAATTGTGTAATCTATTTTCAATGGACTTCAAAAAGAAGGAGGTCCTCAATTCGGATATATTTTTTGTTTGTTACCTCATAACTTCATCAGTTCAAAACCGATTTGAAAAAATCTTTTTTTATCTGAAAGGATATACTTATAGATTGGCCCCATAGAAGTTTTATTAAAATCGGTTCAATAGTTTTTAAATCAAAATAATTGTTTGTGTTGTGGGACACAATCTTTAATTATTATAATATCTCAGTTACGTTTTAATGGTATGCCATGACGTACTTGTAAGCGAAATAGTAGTCAACTTCATAAAACGGCATTGGCCGCATGTGGCAATCCTAGTTTATTCTTAACGTCTATGGGTTCATCCCTCGCTGTGCGCTCAGGTAGTGACGTTAGGAGAAAAGACAAAAAATAGATATAGTGGTGGCATTTACTATGAACAGAGACGGTTATGGAACAAAATTGAATAAGAATTTTGTATTTATTAGGTATAATTAAAAATTGATAAACAAGAATAATGGATAGGTGTATAAAATTAAATTTACTATAAATATATTAAGTAAACAACAATATACAATATTAAATTTACCAAATGAAAATGTTAATAATAAGTTTAATTAAATAAGCAAATAAAAAAAAATATGGAAAGAGTGAAGAGAAAACAATAAATTTAACTCTATCCATAAGTAAACTATAATAATTATAGTTTACTTATGGATAGAGAGATAAACAGAGTTGTCATTGTGTAACAATTATGAGTGTGGAGTGTATGCGATTGTCTATGTTAGCGAATCTATTATAATTGGGCTCATTGCTCTATAATATTTCTATTTACAATATATTTTATTAATTACTTAATAGGTATTGAAAAACATCTTCTTAGCTGCCGTCAATTTATAAAATCTTGTTTATCCAAGAACAATTCTCTGGCCTATTTGATAGCTGGTTTTCAGTTACTGTTGGCTCTATAGGAATTTTTTAACCTTTGTTATGAAGTACTCTCATAATTATGACATAACAATAAATTATTCATTAAATTCGTCTCGTTCGTCGACTTCATCTTTTTTCATATAAATCTTCGAAGCACAGGCCAAAATCTATATATATATATATATATATATATATATATATATATATATATATATATATATATATATATACGAAAAAGATGTTAATATTTTGTATATATATATATATATATATATATATATATATATATATATATATATATATATATGTATAATGTATATATATTATATATATGAAATTATTGTATAATATTTTGTACATATTTTTGTTTATGAATAAATAATATAAAAAAAAAAAAATGTACTCGTGTATGCCCCAACCACATTTAATTCGTTCATTTGTAAAAATCAGTTAAAAAAAAACAAAATTGGAATAGACTGCAACGAGATGCACTGATTTCTATTTATTGTGGGAACGTTCGTACGTGACAGGTGCTACTTGGGGCCGTACCTGCGGTATTATGCGCCCGCAACCTCATATAAATTTATTAACCATAGCTGTCTGCTATTATAATACAAAATACTGAAATAGTGTACTAACACTTAACTATTTTTTAAAAATAATTTATAATTGTATATATATATAGTCCGGGTTTAGTACAATATTTTGCAAAGAAAATTATATTTACCCTTGCAGAGTAATAATTTGCTAAATTTTTATTTTTATTAATTAACTGCTAATTAATCTGTTAAGAAGAAAATTAACAAATATCGATACATGTCGTTATCAAAATTCGTTAAAAATAGGTATCGCTATATAGCTATTTCAATTAACAAGAAATTCTGGTTTTCTTGTCAATTGAAATAGCTATTAAAAGAAAAATAGAAATTATTAAAAAAAAAAAAACAGTAATTCTTTAGATTAATATTCAGACTATTTGAAATAGAGACCCAAGTTATCACAGTGTTACAAGAAACATTATTTTAAAGGATGTAGATATTTGCAAATTGATATTAACTAATTTCTATAGACCTACAATCACGGTTCGGTTAAAAATTCGCTTCTAGTGATATTGACGTTTGTCCAAGTTCATTAAAATTGATAACCTTTATAAGATTGCGGTTTTAATTTGTCCAACGCATATGTACTTATAATTGTAATATACATAGATTTTAGTTAGAGTTGCATTAAATTGTAGGATATAAGTACATATATAATACATATATAATAATGGTGTAGGTATTTATTATGACTAAATCTTTTTTATTCATCAAAATTGATGATGGTATCGCGTATTTCTTTTAGATCAGAAATCGGTTAGAAATGTAAATTTTGTTTTCATTAATTATCTAAGAATAAATTATTACTATTAGATTAGATTTATTATTATTAGAGTATTGCATTCATAATAATTAACGTTATTCTTTTTAATAAAATTAAATAGTGGTAAATGTGCATTTTTTTTACGACAAGGCAATTCTCCTTGTACCTATTCACATGACATAAGAAGAGTTTGCCTGGAGTCACGAATACACAACTACTTACATATAATATTACCTGTACGTATGCTGAACGATGTACTCACTCGATGTTACAACTACATCGGAGTAATTAAGCCATTGGCCCTACGTTCCCGAGGGATGTTGTTTAGTATCTCTGAGAGTTTTGAAAGCATCTCAGCTTGTTCTTGTTTTGTGCTCTCCTGCTTAACATAACATTTGGGAATTATGTGTTTAAAGGTCTCTTACAAGGTCTGACTATACAATATGCAGATCAGTTACAAGAACCTATTAACAATTAAGTTACTAAAGATTATTAACAACAGTAAAAATATCTTTTTATAATTATGTTATTTATATTTATACTGAATGTGTCACATATTTTTTAATAAATACTTAAATCAATAATAACAATAAATTAAAAAATAAAGTTCAACGATTATTATAAATGATTACTAAAAATCAAGCACCAGGGTGGTCCAGTGAGGATCGAAGTCACTTCGAAACAATATACTCGTATACCTTCATATTATAAGTAGTTGTAAAATGTCCTGATCTGATTTCGATGAGAGCTTCACAGATGCACAGCCTGCAGAAAAATATCAGTAAATATATCTCATATTGTGACTTTAAATTTCCTGTAGTATTTATTTTTTAAATTTTGTAGAAGAGACTGTTTCATATTTATGGGTAGGTTATGTACCTATTATGTATTAGATATGTAATTAGATATTAATTTATATTTTACAGTTAAAATGTATTTCTTTCACTATATGGGTACAGTAAATAAATAGTTTGCTATAACTATATATATATATATATATATATATATATATATATATATATATATATATATATATATATAGATGAGAATGAAAACAGGCCAGTTAGTTGAAATTATAATATTAAAAATTAATAGTAAAGTCTCAGTCATCTACATACACATGATATTATGGTACTTATACCTATGTGCATACATGTGAGTTATTTAAAAATAAAATTATAAAAATTGAGGCCCTTAAAAGAGCAATAAATATCAACATTATCTCATTGTTTATCTAAACACAAAGTCGTGTACAAAATCTTTAACGATAGAAGACAATGTATTGTAATAGAACAAAAGGCAAATAGAAACAGAACGTATTTATTTGCCTATGGCGACACCACGTAATGTCGGACTTTCTCTTGAATAACTTATTACAAAAAGATAAGTAGGAAGAGGTCCAACAAAATGGAATGTTGGGTGGGGGTAACAGATGTACCTTATACTAAAAGGACGTACATGTCATCATATTAGGAAATTCATTACATAATAATATAAACCACCGACTCGTCTCACCTTTGCACGTAATATGTAAACGCTCGAAAGTTTTGCTTTTTCCAATTTGATTAGAAAACCTTGCTATTTTTTCACTTTGATTGCAATAATTGTTTATATTTTTCAGTGTATAAATTTTTCGGGAAATTATATATAGAAAGTGTAGTGTGATAAAATAATGAAAGTTTTACTAATAGACAGTCATGTGGGTTACTAACCACAAACAATATTTAAATAAGTATTGCGAACATTTATAGTTAAAAAATATGCTCAAGACATTCAAAGGTAGATTAGACTTATAAATAAAATATAAAATTTGAAATAAAAGAAATTAGAAATGCAATCTTACTATCGTTACTTTAATTCGGAGCGTTTTAGCTCTGAATTACGCAATCAGATATGAAACGGTTTACGATCTCGCCTTGCCTATTTGCATATCACTGGGTAGCGGGTGTGGGTGCGGAGTGCGCCGCGAACCGGGACAATATATATCTCGACGAAAGACGTCGCTATCTCTCCCTATTGTACAGAACAAGAAAGGTGCTTCTGTTACTGGCGGCTTGCCACGTCCAAATGTAAAAAATAATTGGAAATCAGGATCGGAAATATTTTCATGTATTCACTTATGTGGAACCATTTAGGCGCTGATCACATGTCATATTATGGGAAGTACCTAGTCCCGAAAGAACGTGGATTGTTCTTCTCTTAAGATGATGTGAAATTAGATTTTTTTTAACTATTTGTACGTACAATTACAAACTATGTGTTGTATCAATATACATGAACAAAATGTATAGAATCAACTTTTTTTTAAAAGGTATGTTGAACAGGTCCA